GTGTGCAAACAATTTAAGCCCTTAAGGTGTCAAGGCGTCCGAGTACCTATGCAAAAGGATGATTTTTTGACTTGCAGTTAAATAATACCCAATTATTTTGAATACATTGAAAAATTTTGTTTTCGATTCAAATTTCCGGTTGTTGAAATTGAAGTGTCTGTTTATATTAAAAATAAAAATTACTAACTAGGTATGCGGTGCGACTATTTTAAGGGCATGGCATTATGTATTGTTGCACTGTGCCTGCCTCCCCCTAATATAAGAAGTATTTTTTTGCAAAGAGTTTTGTATAGGTACTATCACTTATTCTGTGGTTTTGTTTAAATTGTGAAGGTCGCATACGACCAAATTTATTGGCCGCGCGTCTGGCCAGCAAGAAACTTTTTTTAATAAGCGTTCTTTACGTTTGGAAATTGTTTTTCCTAATTATTTTCGAGCAAGATGCAAAACAAAAACTTTAACGTAATATGATAAACTTTAATTATTTATATCTATTTCCATTATTGCAATCAAAGCTAAGGTTCTTATGAATTTTTAATCAGTCTCTTATCGTGTGCAGTGATGTATTCGTTAAGTTGGTGTACTAATGTTTTACTAAGCAGTGTGTTATTTTCAGATATGAAATGATACAAAAATGTAGACAAATAATAAAAAATTTATTTACAAACACATCAAAAACAGTATCTTAGTAAGTACCTAATACAAATTATATCATTTTTTAGTGGTGATGGTGGTGCTCTGGGACGATGTGGTGGGTGTTGTGCTTCACGGTGGCGTGGAACCTGTTAACAATAATTAGATTTAAAGATTAGAATAAGTATTCGTTTAAAAATATTTGCATTTCTTTAAGCAGTGTTTGAAGTTCACCTAGTATTTTGGTACTCGGTAAGTATAAGATTGCGTGGACTTTTAAAAATATGATGTTGGGTTGGGTTTATTTTTGAACTTACCCAGTGTGCTTGTCGCTGTGGTAGTCGACGTGTCTTTCGGAACCATCAGGCTCGTGCAGAGCGTAGTAGCCCTTCACGGCGTCTCCGTCGCGGGTCTCGTGCTGGCTCTTGAGGTCTCCGGTGTGCTTGTCCTCTACTTTGTACTCGAACTCGTATTTAGGGTGGGCCTGGTGGACAAACCAAAGAGGTAAAATTGGTGCTACAAGTAACTCGGCATCGCAAACTTACCAAAAAAAATTCTAACTTCATTGATGTTACAACGATAAGCGTACTTACATAGTAATCGTAGTGAAGTTCATGATGTCCGTGTTTGTCTTTTACTTCAACAGTGACTTTCTCTGGTTTGCCGTCGTGGCGCGAGATGTGCTGCGAGGAGTAGCCGTGGTGGTGGCCGTGGTGGCCGTCGTCGGACTGGGCGGCCACTGCGGCCAGTAGAGCAGCGAGGCACAGAACCTGAAATTATTGGTAAGTGTAAGGTATAACAAATATATGGGAGAACAAAAAAAAATAGGAATCTAATGCTCGCGGATATTCCTCGCCTCATACAATGAATACTAGCTCAAGTTGCAATCATAACTTATAAAGTAAACAAATAGTAATTTTAATTCATTTCTTATTACCTTTGTAAACGTTTTAATTGTTGTTATTCTTATCAATCCCAGTGGTAAACTGATACAAATTATTGAAAGTAGACGGCTTTTATAATTAACTGCATTCGGCTTATCTAAATGATTGGCAAACAAAAAGCTGCTTTTCGAAATTTTGCAATGTGACAATTTGGCGAAAGGTTCAGTGACTGGGCGGCAAATTTTATTTTTAGCATGTGTGTAACTGTACCTATGTCTAAATAAATTTTCAACCTGTTGCATGAATAATTTTAATCAATAATTTGTAATCAAAATCATTAGTAACCAATATCACAACGACTATTAAAGGAGGCAGAGTTTTATATCTATGTAAGTATGTACAAAATACGGGCGAGGAAAATGTGACCCTAGGAGTCCAAGTCGTGTTTTTCGAAATGTAACATCAGATCAGTTTTAATACTTTGAAGGAAATAATTGAAAGATCTGATATGACTTGCTTCGACCGTCGACGGACGGTTTGACCTCTCGTTAAAATCATTAATTTAAGCCTTTGCTATAGGGGATTTCAGTCAACAATGTATGAAAACTAGACACCGTACTAAGAAGTCGTTTAATATTTTATATTTTTTTAGAGGTATACAACTTTAAAATGAAATGTAATACCTACGTAAAAATATATTTTGTTTTGTTTAAAATATATTCTTATGTCATTTATGCTACAAAATGATTTCGGGCCTAAGGGTGCCACGATTGGCTCAAATGTAGCGTAATCGGGATGTCCAATTTTCAATTTATTTTTGGAGCAAGTCAGTTTTGACGGGCACACAAGAAATACATACATTTTTTTATGTAGAGTCACATAAAAAATAAAGTTAAAAATTTAAGCCCCCCTCCATTCCAAGAGTAGGGGGTGGGTCCACATATGGGGGCATTTTTGTCGATTAAATTGACATCACAACATCGCCTTAAATTATCGCTAGCCCTATCCCAAACACACTGTAGAGTAAGTAGGTCTCTCTTGTTTTAATATCGTCCGGTGTGTGTGCGTAGGACTTGCCTATTTGTATGTTTTTTTTTTCATTTCATCTTACATAATTTTTAACCGCTCTATGACATGTTCTAGAGTAATCACCCTTTCACGAACCAAACGTGCTTTAAACTTACAACGAAAATAAATTGTTCTTACGAAAGTGTAAGAACGTCACGTTATTTTATTTTACATAGAAATTGCTCGAGAAAATACTTAATAATCTAAGTAATTCATAAGCAGGAAACAAATTATAGGTATTCCTTGCTCCTTATAAAGAAAAATATGTAAAGACGCATGTGTTAGAATATATATATCTACATACCTGATTTATATTAATATTCCATGGTAAATATGTATAATTGGTACACTATTTAACTTGTTAAACACTACACACACAAAACATTGCACAGCCGCCATATTAACTGACAGATTGAAATTCAGATTTATATAATTCGTAAATTAGAATTTATTGTAAGGTTTTTGGTTTCTTAATAATTCAGAATTTAATTANTAATTTATCATAATAATTGTGTTTTAATAGGATATATTTTCATAGGCAAATTTGATCCTTCCCAAAAATGTGGAACTGCAAAATTCAAATTTTCTTACATTGATTGCAAGTCAGTGTCAGGTTGTATGTTAAAAAAAATCTATCAGAGATAATGATAATACAGGGTGTTACTTTGCATTCTTGCCATATTTACAGAGGTTACTATATTACTGATACTGAACACAAAACCGCAAAAAAATAATGACCGAAAAAATTATTTTTTAATCTTGAGTATTTTATTTTATCGACAATCTGTTAAACACACCACTAATTATCGTAACGCATGCACATCACTTGTTGGCGATGGCGATGGAGACTTTTTTACTTTTTATTGTATTTTTTAATATTTATGCAATCTATTGTCTTTAAAATGTCTTTTTGACACTTGTAAAAAACTGAGAAATCCATCAATCACAAATCACGTTATAAATAATACAAAAATGTCTGAAGTGTATTCAAACAACGAACAATTTAATCAAAATGGTGCTTGGAGTGTCTGCAAAACGTCTTAGACGAAATGCTTGATGACGTACCCTTAGCGTTACACCAAATGCTCTACTACCAGCAGGATGGTGCTCCCCCACAATAAGGACGTCAAGTGCGCGAATAATACGTTTGGTGAACAGTGGATTGGACGAGGGGTCCAGTAGCTTGGCCACCACGATCTTCGGACCTGACACCAATGGATTTTTGGAGTGACTTGAAACGACTGGTATGCGCAGAAGAGATAAACAGTGTAAACGCGTTACATGAAAGGATTGTTTTAGTGAAACTGTGAGACAAAACGTTTATGTGTTGTGAAAACTAAAGCGAAAAACCTACGCTTCGCCGTGCTAGACTGTGCCTTCATCAGATGATCAGAACGGAGGACACTTTGAACACTTGNTAAATAAGTGCCCTGGAAAAGGGCTTTATACTGAATAAACCATTTGAATTTATAATTGGATTTTTAATTTGGAACTTGCTTATTTATTAAACTACAGTATCTATTATAGTCCTATATATTTCCACGGTATAATACGATATGATAGGAATATAACTTAAAGTATTTTATGCTAGATTTTGCTTATTATTATTCTTCTTTTTGTGGTAACTTTATTAATTAAAGAATCTGCTTTAATACATTAATATTTCTTTTTAAATTTGCCATTATACCTACATGTTTTGCATTATTATAATCCTTTGCGTGCCAGCTACGAGATAACTCGTAGTACGGGATTTCGGCATGGTGCCGACTACGAATATATTCGTAGATTTTTTTACACAAATAATATTTATTGGCACTACTGTTACAGGTCAGGTGGGATTTTGAACGTTAAATAGGAAATCATTTGGTCAGAGTGGTCTACTCCTCCCATTCCGTTATTGTAGTCAACAACAGTTATTAGGTTTTAGTTTAAGTTGATTCCTGCGATTTCTAGTAGTTATCATTTCAGAATTGTGCATATTTGAAATGGTTAGAACATCGCGTTTGTCTTTCCATTTGCATACGGCTATACTCGTAGTCCGCATAGTCGAATGAATTTATGTTTCTACTATGCCAAGTACGATTTATCTCGTATAGCTGCTTATATGTATGTACGGCATACAGCATAAACAAACATCAAAATATTCTGGCGCTGAAAGGGTTAAGATTATGACGTATTATTAACATAATACTATTAATTTGTGCCGAAAATTGTATTGTCTACCGAAGACCAGGGTCGTGGCATTCCTGAAATGCTACTACTCTATGCTACTTAAGTCGCCCGCGTTTTCAGTATCACGTGTATGTTTTAACTAGCTGTGCCCGCGACTTCGTACGCGTGAAAACCCGTTCTCGCAACATTTTTCATTATTGCTCTGCTCCTATTGATCGTAGCGTGATGTTGTATAGCCTATAGCCTTCCTTAATAAGTGGGATATCTAACATTGAAATAATTTTTAAAATCGGACCAGTAGTTCTTGAGATTAGCGCGTTCAACTAAACAAACAAACTCTTCAGCTTATTAATATTAGTATAGATTTAATTTTTTAAGTTGTTTATTTATTTAAAATACTAACTTAATATCCCCACGACAGAGCAGATGATTTTTAGCAATCGTATTACAATTTTTTTTTCCTTAAAAACAATCCACAAGCATTAACAGTAACTGCTCTACTAAAAATTCTAAATATATACGAACAAGTGCTTTCAAGGATTATAAAATTAAATACCAAAAGTAAATGTAAAATAACATTTATTTCTTAACCAAACACACAACAAACGAGCAGGCAAAACAAGTATCACAAAATAACGATATAATGACTAGGTCTTAGTTTCAGTGGTGATGGTGATGCTCTGGGACGACGTGGTGGGTGTTGTGCTTCACGGTGGCGTGGAACCTGGACAGAAAAATAAAAAGTTATTTTAAAACGATTAAAAAGATATCGTTTTATCTGCTGATTCATATGCACGGTTACAATTAGTAATGGTCCATTAGTGAGACAGGAGACTAAACTTATCTTCTTCAAAACAGCCATGTTTTCATTATTTTAAAATTTTCATAATGTAAGCTAATACTCACCCAGTGTGCTTGTCGCTGTGGTAGTGGACGTCTCTGACGGAACCATCAGGCTCGTGCAGGGAGTAGTAGCCCTTCACGACATCTCCATCGCGGGTCTCGTGCTGGGTCTTGAGGTCGCCGGTGTGCTTGTCCTCTACTTTGTACTCAAAATCGTATTTAGGATAGGCCTGGCGGACAAAACAAGAACCTTATTAAAATACAAAGTTGAACCAATCGCTGTATTATTTGCACGAAATTTTGCGCAATCTGTTTTTAAGAACGGGAGAAGTTGTTGATGTACGTGTACTCACATAGTAATCATAGTGGTGTTCATGTCCATCGTGTCCTTTAACGCTAACTTTCTCAGCTTTGCCATCGTGGCGCGAGATGTGCTGCGAGGAGAAGCCGTGGTGGTGCTCATGGTGGCCGTGGTCGGACTGGGCGGCTACTATAGCCACCAGAGCGGCGAAGCACAGCACCTGTTGAAGAATAAGCTATAAATTGTACTATTTTTTAATTATGTAAGGCCTCAAAATGGTCTACCTGGTAAACCTTAATCTGTTATTAAGTATTTTTCATTTAATTCGAGTATTTATCACCTTGGAGAACATTGTTATTGTTGTGAAGTCCAGTGGTTAACTGATACAACTGATAAAAAGTTCGCGACTTTTATAATTAACTCGTTCGGTTTATCTAAATGATTGGCAAATAAAAGCTGCTTAACGAACGTTTGGCAATGCAAAAAATGTAGCGAAAGGTTCAATTTATTGCGGTCAAAATTTTATTTTTGGTTTCAGTGATACCGTTAAATGACAGATTAAGGCCCATATTACGAAACGCTCTAAACTAGATCTATAATCCCAAGCTTAGTTACAATCATAAGCAGACACTTTGAGAGGCCTAATTTCAATAAGACTTTTAAGACCAATCACAGGGTCAATGTAAACGGAACCTAGTCCAGTCATTATAGTAAGTTCACCTCGGAATTGGAGATACCCAGCTGTAAGTCTGTAAATACGTGTATATTGACACCCTAAAAGTTGTCTCAAAACCTACATATGGTAGGGTGTAAGCAACTATTAAATTTCAAGGTCAACGGTCACAAAAATCGGTTTTTTGCGCTTTTTTTAGAAATATCTCATATCCTATGGGTTTTTTGCTATTTGTATTTATAATCAATATTGTAGAATACTAAATTCTCTACAAATTTTGTTTNGTATTAGGTTTACTTTCAAGGATCGTGTAAATACTAGTAAAAGCCCAAGTATCGCCCAAGTTTGTCGTCTTTAAGTTCTAAGGACACTAAACGATTAAGGTGATTTTGACATGAACATCGAATCATAAGTTGCAACGTTCAAAGCAGCAGCATCAAATCATAAGGAGTGGAAGCGTCTTAATGTCAAAACCTACACACATTAAGATTATGACGTATTATTAACATACCTACTATTAATATATGTGTCGGAAATTGTATAGTCCACGGAAGACCAGTGTCGTGGCATTCCTGAAATACTACAACTCTATGCTACTTAAGTGGCCCACCTTTTCAGTATCACGTGTGTTTTGATTTATTTTTTTAAGTTGTATAATATGTTGATTTGATATGATTTGATTAAAATACTAAACAAACATTTTTTTCTTTCTTTCTTTCAAGTCTTTTTTCTTTCGAGTCCAAAAAGAGACTTATAATTTGGAAAGGAGTTTTCCCCTTTACATCCTACTCAATATTTCTTGATATTTTTATACTATTCGAATAATTGCGGGTTTTTCACATCTCAGATCTAACCAATTTACAAGCTTTGCCATTCCATCACTGCAACTATCATCATTACAATAAAATACAGCATCATGTTTGAATTTAAGTAATCAATCACTTAAGAATAAAATGTTTATTTATTTAAAATACTAACTTAAATCACCATGATGATTATTTTATTTACAGACAGAGCAGATGATTTTTAGCAATCGTATTAAAATTGGTAATATTCTTTAAAAACAATCCACAATCATTAACAGTAACTGCTCTACTAAAAATTCTAAGGCTGAGTTGCACCACCTAACTTTGACAGTAACTATGACGATAATTGTTGTTTTTTGTATGGAGTTTGACAGATTTTTGACGTTTTTCAAAGTTAAAGTAACATGGTGCAACCCAGCAAATTAAATATATACAAACAAGTGCTTTCAGGGATTATAATATTAAATACCAAAAGTAAATATAAAATAACATTTATTTCTTAACCAAACACACAACAAACGAGCAGGCAAAACAAGTATCACAAAATAACGATATAATGACTAGGTCTTAGTTTAGTGGTGATGGTGATGTTCTGGGACGACGTGGTGGGTGTTGTGCTTGACGGTGGCGTGGAACCTGAAGAGAAAAGAAAAGATTAAAATACCTTTTAAAGGTAACACAATTTTAAAGATATATTTTTATCTGCTGATAATCATTTGCACGTTTGCGATCACTAATGACCCATAAGTGAGACAGGAGACAAAACTTATCTTGAAAAAAAAAATTTACATAATTTTAAAGATATACCTATCAATTTATGTGCTGTTTAACATTTGCACGATTACAATCAGTAATGGTCCATTAGTGAGACTAATATTATCTTCATTAATTATTTTAAAATTGTCATAAAGTACATTTTTACAGTTACAAACGTAGCTAAGGCTAGAAGCTAATACTGACCCGGTGTGCTTGTCGCTGTGGTAGTGGACGTCTCTGACGGAACCATCAGGCTCGTGCAGGGAGTAGTAGCCCTTTACAACGTCTCCGTCGCGGGTCTCGTGCTGGGTCTTGAGGTCACCGGTGTGCTTGTCCTCTACTTTGTACTCAAAATCGTATTTAGGATAGGCCTGGCGGACAAAACAAGAACCTTATTAAAATACAAAGTTGAACCAATCGCTGTATTATTTGAACGAAATTTTGCGCAATCTGCTTTCTAAGAACGGGATAAGTTGTTGATGTACGTGTACTCACATAGTAATCATAGTGGTGTTCATGTCCATCGTGTCCTTTAACGCTGACTTTCTCAGCTTTGCCATCGTGGCGCGAGATGTGCTGCGAGGAGTAGCCGTGGTGGTGCTCATGGTGGCCGTGGTCGGACTGGGCGGCTACTATAGCCACCAGAGCGGCGAAGCACAGCACCTGTTGAATAATAAGCTATAGATTGTACTATTTTACAAGTATGAAAACTGTCAAAATAATCTCAAATGTAAAGTCTAATCAGTTATTTGGTATTTTTTATTTAATTCGAGTAATTATCACCTTGGAGAACATTGTTATTGTTGTGAAGTCCAGTGGTTAACTGATACAACTGATAAAAAGTTTGCAACTTTTATAATTAACTCGTTCGGTTTATCTAAATGATTGGCAAATAAAAGCTGCTTAACGTACATTTGGCAATGCAAAAAATGTAGCGAAAGGCTCAATTTATTGCGGTCAAAATTTTATTTTTGGTTTCAGTGATACCGTTAATTGACAGATTAAGGCCCATATTACAAAACGCTCTAAACTAGATATATAATCCCAAGCTTCGTTACAATCATAAGCAGACACTTTGAGAGGCCTAATTTCAATAAGACTTTTAAGACCAATCACAGGGTCAATGTTAACGGAACCCTTATAGATTCGTCATGTCTGTCTGTCTGTTCGTTACAGCCACTTATTTCCGAAACTATAAGAGCTATACTATTAAAATTTGGTATGGCAAGAGCTTCCTCGTTGTGGATAAAAAAAATGTAGATGTATTCTGTGAACCGCATTAAGATTTTGAAAGAAAAGAAAGAAAGAAAGAAAAGTATTTATTCGATGCAAGTACAAAATTAAATAATAAATAGGTAGATATAATAAAACCAAACATGAGTTCATACAAAAAATGTTTTTTTTTGTGTTTCAGTTCTATTTTTTTTTTCATCAAACCGATACGTGTGTGATATCTGTGGATAGGTCTTCAAAAGTGATATTTTTCTTGTGCTATCGTTCTAAAATCTAGTAAATTATTTTTAATCTGTGACTACATGCAGTATTACAGATACGTAGCTACTTGTATTGAAAAGTGCCTACCAACTACAAGTTCCAATTAAATGCAACACTGCAACAATTTCGAACAAGTGTTTTCTAATGTTGTATGTAGGATTTCACAGCCGTGTTAGAAAATTAAATAATACCAAAAATTTTTTATTAAATTTAATTATTAATAATTTAAGTACATACGAGTACATGTCATAGCTGTGTTTGAAATAGTGCAAGAAAAATTAAATTAAACTAGTTTTAATTTACTTTATGTTCTACTCGTAGGTACCTACGAATAGTTTATAGCTAGTTCTGGATTTGTATGTGATATTGATATTGTTATATTACACCTAGTTGCTGAATTGATCATCTTAGCTGTAAATAGTTGTGATTTGCTTACATGCCTGATCAGAACTTAAATTAATTACCTTACATTCTTACAGGAAAATACATGTTTACTTAAACCACTGGTAGCTTTTAATTATTTTATTTGCTTCAGTCTAATGTGGCTTATATCAGTATTATTACCATCTACCAAAATATTTACTAAACATTAATTTTTTGCGTGCCCAAATGAGCGTAAAATACCTGAAGCAAACCTGTTTAAAATTGTTTCAGTATTGCATACCCAAATTGGGACCTCTACTACATACACTTTTAATTGTCAATGATTTGATACATTTAATACTGATATTGTGCCAGGATTACAACATTAAACTCCACGCTGATATAAAAGTTGGAAATTAAAAGTAATTGACATCAGTTGATTACTGAAGTTGAGTAGAATAACACAACAAAAAATGAAAATGTTCTCAAAGGTAAAAATATTAAACGATTCGTTAAGTATTTCAAATCATTCAGTCTAATTTTGTGTAAAGTTCGATCGAAACCTAGATTTTTCAGCATTTGAAACTCAGCATCACTTTTAATTAATACTAATTATAATCTTAATCAGGTGCTGTGTTTCGCCGCTCTTGTAGCCCTAGCGGCTGCTCAATCTGAACACGGCCACCACCACCACGGCTACTCCTCGCAGCATATCTCGCGCCACGACGGCAAAGCTGAGAAAGTCACTGTTCACGTAAAAGACAAACACGGACACGTGCATGAAATTCACGACTACAAAGTAAGTAGATACGCTTTTACATAGAGTATCAATAAATAATTCTTATTTGTAAAGGTTTCTACTTCCTCGTTGTGGATAAAAAAAGGGCATGATAAACACTAACATCTGAGTTACCTAAAATACTTAAAATCTTGACGCTAAAAATCGTTTGCTCGATCCCTGTCAAAGCATAAAATAGGAGTACAAATTGTGTATAGTTGGAGCCACTAATTTATGTGTGTGTATACCACAACACAGTCATCCCGAAAATATTTAGCTTTAATTTTAATTTATCTATCAATCTATCACTTGTCCACTAGGCCTACCCTAAATATGAGTTCGAGTACAAAGTGGAGGACAAGCACACCGGCGACCACAAGACCCAGCACGAGCACCGCGATGGAGACGACGTGAAGGGCTTCTACTCCCTGCACGAGCCTGATGGTTCCGAAAGGAAAGTCGACTACCACAGCGACAAGCACACTGGGTGAGTTCAAAATCTTCTGTATTATAATTTCATGCTACTTAATTAAATTTAGTTGATATAGCGTATGGGACTATTCCCACCACTGCAACTCCTGTGTTGCCAGGATCTACAGCTTGACCGCCAAGTGTTTAGGTAATATAGCTTCTAAATATAAAAAAAAAATCTAGACTCAGCATGGTTTATACTGTCTTTAATTCGTGAATCTGTTGTATCTAAAATTTAATATGCCACAGTAAGAGACAACTGTCCTCAAGTTTTAGGTAATGGAAAGTTTTAAAACAGAAGATAACTTATGTTGATACTGATAAATGAAAGAATGTACCTATGATGATAGTCTGTGAGTACCTACATATTTTTCTTTTCCAACAGGTTCCACGCCACCGTGAAGCACAACACCCACCATATCGTCCCAGAACATCATCATCACCACTAAACTAGGACTTAGTCATTGTTAAAATGCTATTTTGTGATATTCTGTTTTGATTTTGCTTGTTTTGTTGTTGTTGGTGTAGTAAATAAATGTTAACTACTTTTTCTATATTTGAGGCATTTGATTTCATTTTCTAATATATTATTATTATTGTGACCAGATCTAGGAATTGTTCAGTGTTCACTAATGCATTTCATCTCTAATGGTCAGTTAAACCACAGAATAAGTAATAGGTTAAACCCATTGGCCATTCGTTAAATCGTTTGATGACACAACGTCTTGCACATTAATCAACGATTAAAGGAATGAGTTACTAATAAATATTTAGTATTATTCAGAAAATATAAAATGTAGTAATTGTTGGAAGTACCTACTAGTCGTATAATAAAAGATTGCTTGTCGTAGTTGGATTGCAGTTTCAACTGTCAGTGTAAAAGTATCACATGTTATTTAATCAAATTTATAAATAACAATCGATAATTTGCATGATTAAAGACCAATAATTACTTTAGAGTTCGGGGCATTGATTGATTCACCTATCTGTGCTTCATAAACCCTGTATAATTAGCCTTTGGAAACCTTGTGGTGTGCATAAACTTTGTCTAACACAAATTTCCCATATAAACTAGACATAGTACCTATTTACGAGTAAACGTATGTTGGAAATAGGCCAGCAGAATGATATCTTTTAATGTTGATATCCGTGCTCCCAGTCCTAGTTTAAATTAGTTTAGATGTTCTCATACATTTAGTATCATAGCCCTTTGAAGATTATGAATGGTCACACTTTGGCCTATTCATTGATCTGGTATTTATGAAACAGCCTAATATTATGTCATGGCCAGATACTTATTGAAATTGATCACTTCATGATGTGGCCGACAATGCAATTCATGAAATTATTGTAGACATTTCATGAAACTAAAAACATATTCATACATGCACAATGCCAGATTAAGTAAACGTCTTGTGGACAAAATATATTTATTGATCATTTATCGTAATATAAATTGATTGTACCCATCAAGGTACTATCCTAATATTTTTTTAAAATAACTAAGGTACTTTCCTATCGTTTTGTCTCTGTGGTGCAGGCGGCTGATAATAATTCAGATATAAAATATACAAAAAAACCTACACGAATTACATTTATGAAAATTAAGTTTTATACCTACTAAAAGGGCAAACTGCAGTCAGCAACTTAACTGAAATGAGCAATGTTTTTAACCAGTTTTCCTTTTTAGGGTTCTGTAGTCCTGACAAGGAACCCTTATAGTTTCGATATGTCTGTCTGTCTGTCTGTCCGAGGTTTTGCTTGTAAACTATTGGCACCAGAGAGCTGTAATTTTGTAGAGTTGTCCCCCCCCCCTCTAAAAATTAAACTGTTGGCTTGAAAAATATGGAAAAATTCGTAATAATACTGCTTTTCATGACCTTTCAAGGAAAACTATAACGGTTAAGATACATCAGTTAGTTTAAGAGTAATAGCAGGCCTGTTCATGTTCATCTCCGCGAGTTTACATCGAAAATAAAACACGCACGATGGCCCACCTACAGGATACTATTTGGCAAGGCCTCAAATACAAGCGAACATTGACTCANATTTACTTTATGTTCTACTCGTAGGTACCTACGAATAGTTTATAGCTAGTTCTGGATTTGTATGTGATATTGATATTGTTATATTACACCTAGTTGCTGAATTGATCATCTTAGCTGTAAATAGTTGTGATTTGCTTACATGCCTGATCAGAACTTAAATTAATTACCTTACATTCTTACAGGAAAATACATGTTTACTTAAACCACTGTTAGCTTTTAATTATTTTATTTGCTTCAGTCTAATGTGGCTTATATCAGTATTACTACCATCTACCAAAATATTTACTAAACATTAATTTTTTGCGTGCCCAAATGAGCGTAAAACACCTGAAGCAAACCTGTCTAAAATTGTTTCAGTATTGCATACCCAAATTGGGACCTCTACTACATACACTTTTAATTGTCATTGATTTGATACATTTAATACCGATATTGTGCCAGGATTACAACATTAAACTCCACGCTGATATAAAAGTTGGAAATTAAAAGTAATTGACATCAGTTGATTACTGAAGTTGAGTAGAATAACAACAAAAAATAAAAATGTTCTCAAAGGTAAAAATATTAAACGATTCGTTAAGTATTTCAAATCATTCAGTCTAATTTTGTGTAAAGTTCAAGTAAAACCTATATTTTTCAGCATTTGAAACTCAGCATCACTTTTAATTAATACTAATTATAATCTTAATCAGGTGCTGTGTTTCGCCGCTCTTGTAGTCCTAGTGGCCGCTCAGTCTGACCACGGCCACCACCACCACGGCTACTCCTCACAGCACATCTCGCGCCACGACGGCAAAGCTGAGAAAGTCACTGTTCACGTAAAAGACAAACACGGACACGTGCATGAAATTCACGACTACAAAGTAAGTAGATACGCTTTTACATAGAGTATCAATAAATAATTCTTATTTGTAAAGGTTTCTACTTCCTCGTTGTGGATAAAAAAAGGGCATGATAAACACTAACATCTGAGTTACCTAAAATACTTAAAATCTTGACGCTAAAAATCGTTTGCTCGATCCCGAGTACAAATTGTGTATAGTTGGAGCCACTAATTTGTGTGTGTAAACCACAACACAGTCATCCCGAAAATATTTAGCTTTAATTTTAATTTATCTATCAATCTATCACTTGTCCACTAGGCCTACCCTAAATATGAGTTCGAGTACAAAGTGGAGGACAAGCACACTGGAGACCACAAGACCCAGCACGAGCACCGCGATGGAGACGTCGTGAAGGGCTTCTACTCCCTGCACGAGCCTGATGGTTCCGAAAGGAAAGTCGACTACCATAGCGACAAGCACACTGGGTGAGTTCAAAATCGTCTGTATTATAATTTCATGCTACTTGATTATACTTAGGAAATATAAAATATAGCTTCTATAAAAATATTCTACTCTTAGCATAGTTTATTTATACTCTCTTTATCGTAATTCGTGAAGCAGTTGTAGTATCTGAAATTTAATATGCCACAGTAAGAGGCAACTGTCCCCAAGTTTTAGGTAATGGAAAGTTTTAAAACACAAAATAACTTATGTTGATACTGATAAATGAAAGAATGTACCTATGTGGGTACAATTACATTATACCTACTTATTTTTCTTTTCCAACAGGTTCCACGCCACCGTGAAGCACAACACCCACCATATCGTCCCAGAACATCATCATCACCACTAAACTAGGACTAAATCATTGTTAAAATGCTATTTTGTGATACTCTGTTTTGATTTTTCTCGTTTTGTTGTGTGTTTGTGAAGTAAATAAATGTTAACTACTTTGTCTATATTTGAGGCATTTTATTTAATTTTCTAACATAATATTATTAATTGTGGTCAGATCTAGGAATTGTTCAGAGTTCACTGATGCATTCATCTTACTATGGTCATTTAAACCCATTGCCCATTCGTTAAAACGTTTGATGATACGTTAATCTATGTATATTAAAGTCAGTATCATTAATTATTATAGGGTTGTTAAGCCAGTTAATCAAATATTAAAGGATTAGTTACCAATAAATATTTAGTACTAGCTTTCCGCCCGCGGCTTCGCCCACGTGGAATTTCACAGAAAAACTTTATCGCGCGCGTCCCTGTTTCACAAACTGGGATACATCAAACAAATTTCATATACTCGTAAATCGGGTCAGTGGTTTAGGCGTGAAAGCAAGATAGACAGACAGAGAGAACAGAGTTACTTTCGCATTTATAATATTAGTATAGATAGTATAGATAAATCAGAAAGGATAAAATCTATAGAGAGCTGGTGAACGCCAGACCTACGTCATTTTATAAAAGCTGAAAGTTTTCCAGCGTATGCTCCCAATAATAGAATTTCTTGTTGTAACTAAGCTTTTAAGGTACCTGCATGCCAAATTTCAAGCGTCTAACTTAAACGGTTTAGATTTTTCATACAAAAGGATTTTCCCGCTAATTCCCGTTCCCGTAGGAATTTCGAGAATTTCTTGTTGTAACTAAGCTCTAAGTTTACCAAGGTACCTACCTACATGCCAAATTTCAAGCATCTAACTTAAGCGGTTTAGATTTTTCATACAAAAGGGTTTTCCCGCTATTTCCTGTTCCCGTGGGAATTCCTAAGTATACTATAACCTGCCCAGGAGTATGAAGAATAATTGTATCAAGTTTCGTTAAAATCCGTCGAGTAGTTTTTGTTTTTATAAGGAACATACAGACAGACAGACAGACAAAAATTTTACTGATTGCATTTTTGGCATCAGTATCGATCACTAATCACCCCCTGATAGTTATTTTGAAAATATATTTAATGTACAGAATTTACCTCTCTACAGATTTATTATAAGTATAGATAAAAATCAGATTTTATGGTAGGTATAACGTAAGTAGAATTACAGTCTATTGAATATACAGAAAAAGCCACCGTAAAAGTTAGGCTTATGTTATAGCATAAAAGTTGAATTTTATATAAAATACTAGCGGCCGCCCGCGACTTCGTACGCGTGGATCCCGTTTTACCCCCTTCATCTATCTTACGCGGTTTAGATTTTTTCATACAAATGTTTTTTCCCGCTAACTCCCGTTCCCGTGGGAATTTTGCAATATCCTGTTGTAACTAAGCTTTAAGTTTACTAAGGTATCTGCATGCCAAATTTCAAGCGTCTAACTTAAGCGGTTTAGATTTTTCATACAAAATGATTTTCCCGATAATTCCCGTTCCCGTGGGAATTTCAGGAATTCCTTGTTGTAACTAAGCTTTAAGTTTACTAAGGTACCTACATGCCAAATTTCAAGCGTCTAACTCAAGCGGTTTAGATTTTTCATACAAAAGGATTTTCCCGCTAATTCCTGTTCCTGAGGGAATTCCTAAGTACACTATAACCTGCCCAGGAGTATGAATTGAATAATTGTACCAAGTATCGTTAAAAACCGTCGAGCAGTTTTTGTTTCTATAAGGAACATACAGACGGACAGACAGACAGACAGACAGACAAAAATCTTACTGATTGCATTTTTGGCATCAGTATCGATCACTAATCACCCCCTGATAGTTATTTTGAAAATATTTTTCATGTACAGAATTGACCTCTCTACAGATTTATTATAAGTAGGTATATTTATAATTTTTTGTAACAGGTATTTTACCTTTTTACTTTTCCTTTTCCATAATAGTAGTAGCCCTTGTCTTTCACAAGTTTCCCATATAAACTAGACTAAAGTACTTACATACGAGTAGGTAAACGTATAATGTTGGAAACTGGCCAGCAGAATGATATCCTTTGATGTTGATACCCGTGCCAGTCCTAGTTTAAATTAGTTTCGATGTTCTCATACATTCAGTATCATAGTCCTTTGAAGATGATGAATGGTCACCCTTTGACCTATTCATTGACCTGGTATTTATGAAACAGCCTAATATTATGTCATGGCCAGATACTTATTGAAATTGATCACTATTCATGATGTGGCCGACAATGCAATTCATGAAATTATTGTAGCCATTTCATGAAACTAAAAATATCACTATACATGCACATCTTATTGACTAGGCCAGATTAAGTAAACGTCTTGTGGTCAAATTATGTCGTATTGATCATTATCGTAATATAAATTAATTGTACCCATCAAGGTTATCTAATAATCTATCCCAATTATTTTTTAAAATAACTGAGGTAGGTACTATCCTATCGTTTTGCCTGTGTGGTGCAGGCGGCTGATAATAATTTTGATAAAAAATAATCTTAATATAAAAACCTACACGAAACATATGAAAATTAAGTTTCATACTAAAAGGGCAAACTGCAACTTAACTGCAATGAGCAATGTTTTTTAACCAGTTTTCCTTTTTTATTATTTAATTATTATGATCACAAAACCTTTGATAGCATCAAAACCCCACATAATGATAAGGATGTGAATATGGTTTGATATCATATAAATGATAAGTAAAATGAGGTACGTACATGATGTTTAGGTAATATGTAATATACTTTGGAATAATAATGATCACTTAATCACTTCATTATGAGACTGTGAAATTATCAGTCACCATGGTAGGTATATTATAATCGTGTATACTCGTACAATGGAATCAAATGGCACAAATATTAAAATAGTAACATTTATTTCNTGTAACATAAATTCAAAAGGTAATATGTGCTCGCGATTCGTTGAAGGAATCAATTTGAAAACTGACGAACCTTTTCATTCCGTGACTGTACATGATGTTATGTGATGGACTTACTTTGGAATAATAATGATCACTTATCTTGATCACTTCATTATGTGACTGTGAAATCATCAAGAGAGTGATCAGTCACCATGGTATATTATAATCGTGTATACTCGTACAATGAAATCAAATGGCACAAATATTAAAATAGTAATATTTATTTCCTAGACAAATATAAAGTATCACAAAATAACATTTTAACAGTAACTAAGTCCTAGTTTAGTGGTGATGGTGGTGCTCTGGGACGAGGTGGTGGGTGTTGTGCTTCACGGTGGCGTGGAACCTGTTAGAAAATAGAAAAATAGTTATTAAATCTTCTATTTTGAGTCTTATCACTTGTAAACAGATGCCTCTTACTAAGGAAAAGATTCAATATTGGGGTAAAACTCAAATATTCAAAGAGGAACTAAGTCTCATTCATATAAACATTCATTCATAAAATTTTGAACTCACCCAGTGTGCTTGTCGCTGTGGTAGTCGACGTGCCTTTCAGAGCCATCAGGCTCGTGCAGGGAGTAGAAGCCCTTCACGTCGTCACCTTCACGGTGCTCGTGCTGAGTCTTGTGGTCGCCAGTGTGCTTGTCTTCTACTTTGTACTCGAACTCGTACTTAGGGTGGGCCTGATGGACAAAGCAAAGAGGTACAATAGGTGCTAGAATAAGTTGGGATCGCAAAGTACCGAAAGAGATGTAAATTTTATTATTGATACAATGATAGCAATATTCATTAGACAGGGATTTACAGTCTTCTTTAAATGGATGAGGCTATTTTTTATACAAATGAAGATATTTTATTGGTACTCTCTAGAGCATTTATTATTATCTACTTACGTAGTAATCGTGAATTTCATGAGCGTGTCCGTGTTTGTCTTTTACTTGAACAGTGACTTTTTTAGGTTTGCCGTCGTGGCGCGAGATGTGCTGCGAGGAGTAGCCGTGGTGGTGGCCGTGGTGGCCATGGTCGGACTGGGCGGCCACTGCGGCTACCAGAGCGGCGATGCACAACACCTGATAAGAAAAATCCAATTAAAACTAGGCTACATGCTAGTTGCAATTAATTACACACATTAAGACTAAAAAATAGTTATTAATCTTCGTAAAATACAAATATTAAAAGTATTTAGCTATTGACGATTCTGAATAAACAAAACGCTTTATTTTGTACCTTTGTGAACATTTTTTTTATGTGTTATTGTTCTCAAATCCACTGATCAACTGATACCAATAACTTTACATCTGAGACTTTTATATCAGAATCGGATTAGCATGCTGTAATACTTGTACAGTACGGTACCAGTATTATGTAGGCAATTAAAAGTATAGGCACGTGTACTTAAGTAGGTTCCAATTTGGGTATGCAATACTGAAACAATCTTGAACAGGTTTACTTCGACTCTTTTATGCACATTTGACTACGCAAACAATACCTAATGATAGATTGTTAATGTTTGTTTTACGTTTTTACATTTATTAGTGCCAAAATTCTGATTTCTGTTAGTCAAAGAAAACCCAATTTAAATGTGGTAACAAAAGATACTGAACCATCTAATGATGTAGAAAAGGAATCGGAGGCGAACTGTAATAAAGCGACGAGAAATAGATCGATACTTACTGGATACTAGGACTTCATCTAATTAGGACAGCCGCTAATGACTCAGGGCTTGGGACAATCGGAACAGCATCGTTCCGTCTGAACCTTTACTTATCATTTTATGAATGAAATTTTTGCAAAAAGAGACATCCTTCACTCAAGCCGATGATGAATCATTAAATTCTTACAAAAAGAGGCACTTTAAATCCAGCGAAGATACATTTCGCACTAATCCAAAATTACATTATTGTTATCGTAAATATAGCAGAATTGTGGTCGCAATTTAGATAACAAGAACATAAATATAATTATTTGTTGCATCGGCAAATGTGCGTAAAACATTCTGTAAACCTGTTTTCAAGATTTGTTTCAGTATTGCATACCCAAATTGAGACCTACATGTTCGTAATACTTTTATACGTTTATACTTTTAATTGCCAGTCATTTGATATAATATTGATATTGGATCAGTATTACAGCACGACACTCCAATACAGATATAAAAGTCGCAGATTTAAAGTAATTGACATCAGTTAACCACTGGAATTAAAAACAGTAACACAAAAAAATNAAAGAAATAAACAACAATGATCTCAAAGGTACAAAATATAAGCGTTTGTAATGTTTTTCAAATAGCAAAAATAATATCTGTCACAAAATCTTTTTTTTAGCCTGAGTAAAATTTAGTATGAGTACCATTTTAATAGCTTTTGCCTTTTATCAGGTGTTGTGTTTAGCCGTTCTGGTGGCCGCAGTGGCCGCCCAGTCCGACCATGGCCACCACGAGCACCACCACGGCTACTCCTCGCAGCACATCTCGCGCCACGACGGCAAACCAGAGAAAGTCACTGTTCAAGTAAAAGACAAACACGGACACGCTCATGAAATTCACGATTACTACGTAAGTAGAGACGATATTACATATCCTTCCTACTAATATTATAAATGCGAAAGTTTGGATGTCATGATGTCTGGACGTTTGGATGTCTGGATGTCTGGATGTTTGTTACTCTTTCACGCAAAAACTACTGAACGGATTTTGTTGAAACTTTACAGTATTACTGTTTATAACCCAGATTAACATATAGGCTATAATTTATGACGATCTGTGACATACTAAATTTCACGCGGGTGAAACCGCGGGCAAAAGCTAGTAGTATCAATAAAGTATCCTCATTAGTATAAAATTAGCTCTACCCATAAAGAAGGCTGCAAGTCTCTGTCTGATGAAATTAATATCGTTGTAACTATTGAAGTTGAAAATTTTTGATGCCAACTAACTTGTAGCACCTATTCTATCTCTTTACTTTGTCCACCAGGCCCACCCTAAGTACGAGTTCGAGTACAAGGTGGAGGACAAGCACACTGGCGACCACAAGACCCAGCACGAGCACCGCGAGGGTGACGCCGTGAAGGGCTTCTACTCCCTGCACGAGCCTGATGGTTCCGTCAGGGACGTCCACTACCACAGCGACAAGCACACTGGGTAAGTTTTTGAGTTAAAATGCAAGACTACACTGTAACGAAAGTCCTGATAAATCAAACTAAAATGAAATCTATGTGTGGTCAAATTGGTCATGTTCTATTTTTTTTTTCACAGGTTCCACGCTATTGTTAAGCACAACACCCACCACGTCGTCCCAGAGCATCACCATCATCACCATTAAACTATTACGAGTATTAATATTAGGTTATTCGTTATTACGCTTGAATGTTATGTCGTTGAATAAATAAATGTTATTTGTACTTTAATAATTTGTGTGATTTCATTTGTCAACTCATACCATGTTTGTCGTATTTCCGTTAGTTCAGTATACTCACTCAGAGTAGTCAAGTATAATAATTTTATAAATGAAATTATTTCCTATTTACTTGTTATAAAATAAATAATAAATTCATTAAGTAAAGATAAATCATTCATTAAAAATTAGAAAGAGGTACAAAACTTCAATTCTTAAAATTACGAAATATTTGTCATTTCCTTTATGTTAAGCTTTCGGAATACCAGTTTACTAGATAAAACCAGATAAAGGAATTAAATCTAGAAAAATATTCTACAAAATATATTTTCTATCTTGTTTTTTTTTTTATAAATGGAATGAAGTAAAGAGATCATTACAACGATCGTGAAATATTTCGTTGAACACGAATATTATTGTATTTGAAATAATATGAAGTCATTGCCCTGAATGACACACAAGGGCCAACTGCTGTCAGATTCCGGTCTGTTAAAAGAAAATGATATAATTTATGAAACTCTAACTAGTATAAATTATTGAAAATGTACAAATTAATATACATTTTCACTATCATAATGATGAGAATGAGAGCTAAGACAGAATTCAAATTAAAATCTGCATAGTATACTTATCATATTTAATTTTATGTCTAATTTTGTGACAAAAGATAGCCAATATCCTTTTCCTATGTCAAATCCATATTTTTATAGAAAATATTTAATCATGATCGGTTTAGAAAGAAGCGTATGAAATGAACAGGAACTTTTTCATCATCTATTTTTGTCTCTACACTAATATTATTATTTCTTGCGCTGCTTCTTCTCAGCACTGGCCCATTTATTGTCCCGAAGCAGTGGTAAGGTATCTGACTGGGACGTATAAAAGTGCTTCTCAAAAATCTGGTAAACTTGTTTTGAATCCGTTCTATCATAGTCTTAGTCTATATTTAGCCTCATGGGGTGACCAGACGAATGCATTGCATTCCAGGTGGCTCTTTACTAGTGCTTCGTACAAAGTTCTCACTGCATTCATAATTGTGAATTCTCGTGATTGACGCAAAATGAACCCTAAATTCCGGTATGCCTTCTTACAGGCTTTAATTATGTGTCCCCGGAAACAGAGATCGGTTGTAAAATAAACTCCAAGGTCCTTTGTTTCCGTTCCGTTACGTTACATAGGAAAAGGATAGGCTGTCTTTTATCGCAAGACGATAAGAAGCTTTCATGAGTTTTATCACGCTTCATGTCGATAAAATGTGAATGAACATTATTACTTTTTGTTAAAAAAATAAATAATTTTAATAAAGATTTTTGGTAATAAACTGAAACCTGCACGCTAGCAAAGTATGGCCAGCTGATAATAAGAGCTTAAAGCGTGGTAGTCTTATCCTGAAATTAGAAATAATGAAACGACTTTTAAAGTCGAAAATTTTCTCCTAAACTAAAATTTCATTGCCATCGGCAATAATCCCTATACTCCAGTATACTCTTTCATTAAAGAGGTGAATATTAATTTACTCGAAAAGCTCCGAATTTTTCGGCATACCTAATAATTGTGAGGAACCTCAAAGGTTAATCAAATAATTGCATTCTTTCTTTGTACATACTGCTATTGATAAACTATTAGAAATGGGTATGATAGTGGTCTTACGTATATCAAGAAATTAATATTCATGAGTTAACCAATAAAATCACAAAATCAATATGAAACAAACATTTATTTATTATTCAACGATATAACAGTAAAGCGTACCTACTAACGAAATAACCTAAAAGGAACAATTTAGTGATGATGATGGTGATGCTCTGGGACGACGTGGTGGGTGTTGTGCTTGACAGTGGCGTGGAATCTGTGGAAAAAATACAAATATAAAACATGACCAAAATTGACCATCATAGATATCATTTTGGTTTAACCTATCAGTATTCAGTACCTTCTTATTGATAATTTTGTACTTTACTCAAAAACTCACCCGGTGTGCTTGTCGCTGTGGTAGTGGACATCCCTGACGGAACCATGAGGCTCGTGCAGGGAGTAGAAGCCCTTCACGGCGTCTCCGTCGCGGTGCTCGTGCTGGGTCTTGTGGTCGCCGGTGTGCTTGTCCTCCACTTTGTATTCGAACTCGTACTTAGGGTGGGCCTGGTAGACAAAGCAAAGAGGTACAATAGGAGTTACAGGTAAGTCAGCATTATAAAGTAGGTACCATAATAAGATTTACAAGAAGACAGGGACTTCTTTAAATGGATAATTATGGATTTTTTTATGTGAATGTGGATGTTTTATTGATACTCTATATAAAGCGTATCTACTTACGTAGTAATCGTGAATTTCATGCGCGTGTCCGTGTTTGTCTTTGACTTGAACAGTGACTTTCTCAGGTTTGCCGTCGTGGCGCGAGATGTGCTGCGAGGAGTAGCCGTGGTGGTGCTCGTGGTGGCCGTGGTCGGACTGAGCGGCCACTGCGGCCACCAGAACGGCTAAGCAAAGCACCTGTTTGAAAAAATGATGGTATAAAATGCAGGTTTACTGTTAGAAAACATTATGTGATAGCTATGAGACTTAGGAATGTTTGAATTTTCTTACTTTTATGGAATTGATAAATCAAAAAATAAGTAGGTAAGTAATTTACCTTTGAGATCATTTTTTGCTTGTGTTACTGTTGTCAAACCCAGCAGTTGACTGATACAAAATAATTAAATGTCTCCGACTTTTATATCACTATCGGGGTCATTATCGATATAATATCATAGTGATTTGCAATCGAAAGCATGCACTTACTAATTTGGATATGCGACACTGTAATAATTTTGCAAAGGTGTTTGCTCCAGTGTGCTTTATGTAAATTCAGACATGTAAAGAGAAATGTTTAAATAATCGGTGTGAGAATGGAAAATGGAAATTTCATTTGGACGTGGTTTGTTAAGTAACAATATTTTATTTGACAATTTGGCTTAGCGAAGCTGTAAGAATTTTCATGTTGCAAGAATTCTTTTTCCCCTAGCCTAGGTAGGTACTAGTTGGTGCAGCTTCTTTGGTTAAAATCGAAATAAATTAAAATCATTTCCTATTAACTAATTTGGATTGTTCAAAGACCCTAGAAAGTGAGTCGTTTAGCTTAGAAGGTAACCTTACAGAACATATTATTTTTGTTTGATAAATATATTTTTAAGCGCTTTGGTGTTCGATGTATTATGCAGCTAGCAAATCGAGTAAATATTGCCATGAAAAAGAGAGTAGGTACTAAAACTATGTCACTTTTGTAGCGGAGTTTTGTGCTGACACTGTGTAGGTTTGTTGAAGAAGACTATGCCCATATATGGGTTGGCATATTCATTTCAGGTCACCCAAAGGGCGATGGAGCGGGCTATGCTCGGAGTTTCCCTGCGTGATCGAATCAGAAATGAGGAGATCCGTAGGAGAACCAAAGTAACCGACATAGCTCGCAGAATTGCTAAAATCAAGTGGCAGTAGGCGGGGCACATAGCTCGTAGAGGGTTGGGGCAGGAAAGTTCTCGAGTGGCGACCACGGGCTGGAAAACGTAACGTGGGCAGGCCTCCTACTAGGTGGACCGACGATCTGGTAAAGGTCGCGGGAAGAGCCTGGATGCGGGCGGCGCAGGACCGTTCATTGTGGAAAACCTTGGGGGAGGCCTTTGTCCAGCAGTGGACGTCATTTGGCTGAAACGAACGAACGAACGAACGATTCATTTCTGCCAGCCTATTCCCAAAAACGATATTCAAAGTTTCAAATGTTTCCATCGCGTTGCCAGCATTTAACTGACAGTGACAGATAGTATAATATTTTGAACTATTATGTTGCATTTTTTACTGTAAAATTATCACTTCACGGGATTTATTGCAACAATCTCTTTTTTAACGGTAAATAAGATATTTACCCTCCCGACGTTTCGGCTCGGTTGCACGAGTCATGTTCGCGGGCAGACTGAAGAGATGCGGCGTCGTCGTCGTTAAAAAAGATATTGTTGCAATAAATCCCGAGAAGTGATAATTTTATAGTGACAGATAGACCCGAAACTACGTAACCGGCGCAATTGAGTAGGCCTGCTGCTGTACAATCAACTCGACAAAATTCTTGGGACTTTCATTAAATTTTCGGCTGCTATCGGATCCATAGTCCTATTCAGCAGGGTAGGATGCGCGCCGTGATATACTTTATCGACGTCAAAATGTATGGCCAAAATCGATAAAATGGGATGGGATCGACGCGGATCCTATCCTAGCCTACAGGGTAGGGATATTTTTGTAATTACTACCTAACCGCATCTGTGGTCTAGTGGCTACTACGAGTACTACAGACCCAGAGTTTCGGGGTTCGATTCTCAGTGGGGGCAGATTTTTCAGAGCGGTTTAGTTGGTGGTAGGGCTTGTTCTAAGTCCGCCTGGCTAGTTACCACCATCTTTTCTAATTTAAGTCTGTCACCATAACAGTGCAATATCAGTATTGTTGGTTTCTGGCAGTTGGAGGTAAGGTAAGACAGCTAGAGTCTTTTTATGGTTGAAGATTCTTTGTGAAGCTCGCTTCCACCTTCAGCCTGATCATTACTTTCCATCAGGGGAGATGCAGACCAAGAGCTTCCTCGTTGTGGATAAAAAAAGTATCTTGTTTGGCTACCAGTATTGAACTACGAGTTTCTATGTCGTACAGAAAAGAGTTTTTCTCATAATTAATTGTCTTGGTCCTCGTTAATCGCTCGTAATCGTGGAAGTAGGATTTATTATTAAGGCTTGGTATTTCTGCTAAAGTAGGTATTTCGCGCTGTCAAAATCTGCGCGCGCAATACTTCGCCGAAGACAGCGCGCCAAAGAGCTCTCGCGGCTACACAGTATAGAAATACGCAGTTTAGAAATACGCAGTTGGTTAGGTTAGGTNTTGCCATCGGCAATAATCCCTATACTCTAGTATACTCTTTCATTAAATAGGTGAATATTAATTTACTCGAAAAGCTCCGAATTTTTCGGCATACCTAATAATTGTGAGGAACCTCAATGGTTAATCAAATAATTGCATTCTTTCTTTGTACATACTGCTATTGATAAACTATTAGAAATAAGTATGATAGTGGTCTTATGTATATCAAGAAATTAATATTCATGACTTAACCAATAAAATCACAAAATCAATATGAAACAAACATTTATTTATTATTCAACGATATAACAGTCAAGCGTACTAACGAAATAACCTAAAAGGAACAATTTAGTGATGATGATGGTGATGCTCTGGGACGACGTGGTGGGTGTTGTGCTTAACAGTGGCGTGGAATCTGTGGAAAAAATACAAATATAAAACATGACCAAAATTGACCATCATAGATATCATTTTGGTTTAACCTATCAGTACCTTCTTACAGTTATTGATAATTTTGTACTTTACTCAAAAACTCACCCGGTGTGCTTGTCGCTGTGGTAGTGGACATCCCTGACGGAACCATCAGGCTCGTGCAGGGAGTAGAAGCCCTTCACGGCGTCTCCATCGCGGTGCTCGTGCTGGGTCTTGTGGTCGCCGGTGTGCTTGTCCTCCACTTTGTACTCGAACTCGTACTTAGGGTGGGCCTGGTGGACAAACCACAGAGGTTTTAAAACAATAGTTGCTACGGTAAGTCACATTCCAAATTAGGTTACCAAAAAAGTTTTAAACTTTACTAACGGCCGCCCGCGACTTCGTACGCGTGGATCCCGTTTTACCCCCTTTTCCCGAATTTTCTTTGCTATAAACCTCACGGAGCCCGAGACCTTTCCAACGAATGCAAAACCGTGGAAATCGGTTCGTGCGTTCTGGAGTTATAGCGTCAGGGAGGAAAACCCGACTTATTTTTATATAGTAGATTATTGTTACAAGAATGAGGATATTTTATTGATACTCTATGTCACAGCGTATCTACTTACGTAGTAATCGTGAATTTCATGAGCGTGTCCGTGTTTGTCTTTTACTTGAACAGTGACTTTCTCTGGTTTGCCGTCGTGGCGCGAGATGTGCTGCGAGGAGTAGCCGTGGTGGTGCTCGTGGTGGCCATGGTCGGACTGGGCGGCCACTGCGGCCACCAGAACGGCTAAGCAAAGCACCTGTTTGAAAAAATGATGGTATAAAATGCAGGTTTACTGTTAGAAAACATTATGTGACAGCTATGAGACTTAGGAATGTTTGAATTTTCTTACTTTTATGGAATTGATAAATCAAAAAATAAGTAAGTAATTTACCTTTGAGATCATTTTTTGCTTGTGTTACTGTTGTCAAACCCAGTAGTTGACTGATACAAAATAATTAAATGTCTCCGACTTTTATATCACTATCGGGGTCATTATCGATATAATATCATAGTGATTTGCAATCGAAAGCATGCACTTACTAATTTGGATATGGGACACTGCAATAATTTTGCAAAGGTGTTTGCTTCAGTGTGCTTTATGTGAAGTCAACGATAAGACTTGTAAAGAGAAATGTTTAATTAATCGGCGAGAAAATGGAAAATGTAAAAATAATTTTATTATTATTTCATTTGAACGCAGCTTTTTAGGTAACATTTAGATATTTTATTTAACAAAAAAAAACATGGTAGGGTTTATGTGAAGTTGTAGGAACATTCTTGCAAAACAGTGTCATGTAGCAAGAATTCTACTTCTCCTTGGTAGGTGCTCCTTTGGATAAAATCGAAACAAATTAAAATCATTTCCTGATTACAAACCTAATTTGGATTGTTCAAAGACCTTAGAGAGCCGTTTCACTTAATAGGTTTACCATACAGACCACAATAATATTAAATTTTTTGTTTGATAAATATATTTTGAAGCGCTTTGTTGTTCGATATATTATGCAGCTAGTCAAATCGAGTAAATATTGCCATGAAAATGAGAGTAGGTACTAAAACTATGTTACTCTTGTAGCGGAGTTTGGGCTGACACTGTGTAGGTTTGTTGAATAAGACTATGCCCATATTTTATAATATGGGTTTTATAATACCTTTATAGGTTGGCATACCCGTTTCTACCATCCTATTCCCAAAACGACGAATCAAAGTTTCCATCCCTCATAAGCGAAGCGAAGCTCGTTGCCAGCGTTTAACCGACAGGGACAGATAGACCCGAAACTACGCCTGCTGTACAATCAACTCGACAAAATTCTTGGGACTTTCATTAAATTCTCGGCTGCTATAGTATCAATAGCCTACTACCTACTACCTATTCAGCAAGGTAGGATGCGCGCCGTGATTATACTTTATCGATGTCAAAATGTATGATCGATAAAATGGCGAGATAACCGCTTATCGCGGCGCGCATCCTATAGGCCTACAGGGGCACCTTCAAACTGTTTCATTTTTACCAGACTGTGCCAGAAGGAGGGTTATATTTTTGTAAGTAATACCTAAAACCGCATCTATATTCTAGTGGTTAGACTATCTACTTCAGACCCTGAGTTTCAGGGTTCGATTCCTAGTGGGGGCAGATTTTTCTGGTCGGTTAGGTTGGTGGTAGGGCTTGTTCTAAGTGCGCCTGGCTAGTTTCAACTATATTATTTTCTAATTTAAGTCTGTCACCATAACAATCTTAACAGTATTGTAAGAGAGCTAGTTTCTCTGTGGTCGAGGATTTCAGCCTGATCATCACTTTCCATCAGGTGAGATGCAGACCAAGAGCTTCCACAAACACAAGTAGATTAACTGTTATTTTAACGGCAAGACTAGTAGTACCTACTACTGGATATTGCTATGGGGTTTGGCTATGTTCCACGTAAGTCGGAGTCCGCTCGTAATTATCCTCACTGCATGATTTATTATTAAAATAAATACTAGTACTAATACAGCTCTTGGCTTCGTCCTGGTGGGGTACCATAATAAGTAGCACAACTGAATATTTGATATTTTGATTTAAAGCTAGGTATATAAGATTATTCTGTAGTTGTGTTCGTGGTTGCGATGAGTAGTTTTGGTACATAAAGTAAATAACTTTGCTACGATGTCTCAGTAAATCACCCTATTTACAGAATGTGTAGGGCCTACAATGGTCTTGACGTTCATATGTATTTATATTTCCTATGAATAGGTGGTATTCTATGTAGGTACTATCACGGTAACTAAAATATATGTATAAATAATTTCCAGGACCTAATTTTACCTTTTCGAATGAATTGTTTTCCTAAGTCGCGTGTTTAGACCCATCATGCAATATGTGACTATAATGAAAATATGAAATTGTTTCAAAATTTAGTCCACAATTGTTTCAATTTTTAGTGTTACAAATCTACGTGTAGGTAGTTGTGGTATTATAGGTGGTGGTGGACTTGTACATTTTCTCAACTTAGACCATTAATTTAGACCATGGTTGGCCAAGTTCAGGGATAGACGAAAAAATGACACGTAAATTACAATTAATAAAATTTATTTATCACACAAACAGAATCTTATAAATAAGTAACACAATAACATTTTGATAGGTGGGTACGGCTCAGTGGTGATGATGGTGATGCTCAGGAACAAGGTGGTGAGTGCTGTGCTTTACAGTAGCGTGGAAGCTGAAATGAATGAGGCAACACATTAGGAATAACTTAAGCTGAACGGAGAGTTACTTAAAAGGTTTTTAGAACAAGGCAGGTAATTGACCGCAAACGCATCGATGTTAGGTGAGATGCAGTCTAGGATGGTACCTAACTGCCCTGTAAGTGCCTATTCACTCTCGCCTTAAAATGCCCCGGATTGTAGAGTTCGAGAAAGACAGCAGCAGGCAGAATTCCAGTCCCTAGCTGTTCGCATTATAAGAGAGTTATCGAAACGCCTAGTGCGAGTGGAATGTCGTCAATGGAGGGACGTTAAGCTAAAACTGCTCTGGTTCCTGGTGATGGAAGTTAGAGATATTATTTATAGCAGCACCGCTGCACTATCAACTATTGACTTTTGCATTCGTTGAATACTTACCCAGTGTGCTTGTCGCTGTGGTAGTCGACGTGTCTTTCGGAACCATCAGGCTCGTGCAGCGAGTAGAAGCCCTTCACGTCGTCCCCTTCGCGGTGCTCATGCTGAGTCTTGTGGTCACCAGTGTGCTTGTCCTCCACTTTATACTCGAACTCGTACTTAGGGTGGGCCTGGTAGACAAAGCGATGAATTACAAAAGGTGCTACAAGTAAGTCGGCATCGCAAAGTACCTACCTTATAAAAATATTTAAACTTTATTATTTTAACAATATCATTATTCATCAGACAGAGGCTTACTATTATCTACTTACGTAGTAATCGTGAATTTCATGACCGTGTCCGTGTTTGTCTTTTACGTGAACAGTGACTTTTTCTGGTTTGCCGTCGTGGCGCGAGATGTGCTGCGAGGAGTAGCCGTGGTGGTGGCCGTGGCCGTGGTCAGATTGAGCGGCCACTACAGCCACCAGAGCAGCAAGGCACAGCACCTGGTTTGAGAAATATTTAGTTAATTAAAGAAGTCCACTAAAACCATAAACTGTTCAGTGTTTTAAAATGGAATTAAAATCTTAGAACTTAAATCCTGTTGCAACAAGTTATTGATTTAGATATTTAAACTTAAAATGCGAGTGTACCTTAGAGCACATTTTTGTTGTGTTATTGTTGTCGAACCCAAAGGTAAACTGATACAGCTGATTGAAAAAACGCGACTTTTATATCTGCACCCGTGTTAATGGCAATAATATTGTCTTTATTCTATTAATCGGCAATTAAAATCATTTATGCAAATTTCAGTGTGCAATATCGTTATACGTAATGCGTTTGCTCCATACAGGTACATTCGGCAATGCGACAAATAAAGAGAAAGGTTTAATTTATGGGTGTCGAAATTTTACTTTGGGATTTTATTAGGTATTGTTATAATCGTTTTTGAATATTTAATACCTATTATTTGGGTAAATTATAGCTAGGCCATTCTCCGAATACAACTCGATGTAAGCATGTATTTTAAGCCCCGGGTACATACCTACTAGATTTTTAAACAAAACAATAAAAATATAATATTCATTTTCTCCTTGATTGGCACATAAGTACAATAAAATATTACATTATTACTTGAGAAGATAATTATACGAATGACAGCACGAATGCAATAAAATGTAGGGCATTAACTTGTTTTGTGTAAAAATGACAATTTATCGCTGGAAATAATATGTAGTTTAATGCCTCTCCTAATTTTACCACTAACACGACTAGAAATCTACGAGTAAAGCCGGGTCCAGACCGTGTAATGTAAGATTACGTGTAATGTAAAATAGTAAAATTACGTGTAATGTAACACGAATTCTACGTCATGTGGACGGCACTACGAGCATTACATGTGTGTACTACTACAATGCTGCCCATACTATTTCATGTATTACGTTTATTACACTGTGTTACATTACATTACGCGTTACATTTGTCTGGACCCGGTTTAATCAGGATCGGAAAAACAACTAAAGAAACCAGTTAGGTGCTGCTTGAGATTATCAGATGATGATAATCGCCTGAGTAAAACAAGTCTTTTGATACAATATTTATTTATTTCTGTTGAAATTCTCTATAATTTTTACGTTGTTTTTTTTGTTAAAATGTAACTTATGTTTACGAGCCATAGTAATGAATCGATTCGTCATCATCATTGACATATTAACATATTCATATTCAGCTGTTCTTTGACTGAATTCACAAAGGTTACATTATTTATTTTATGTTATAGCCATAGCAGCAATTTTAATTGTTAAATATGTACTAATTAAACTACTCTATCGCACTGGGGTAACCTGTAATGCTAGAGCTAAGATTGTTATTAAATAAATAAAATAAATAAATCATAATTTCAGCCATGGGACGTCCACTGCTGAACATAGGCCTCCCCCAATGATTTCCACAATGGCCGGTTAGTGGCGGCCTGCATCCAGCGCCTGAATGAATTGATTAAATTCACCCAAATTCGTCAAAATTTAAGTGCTAAGGAGTAATATGTGTTCGTAAATACACACATTCAAAGACTGCTAAAATCACACTCCACCCTTTGGTTTCGCCGTTAGTAAAAATTAATATGAAACTGCAAGTAAGCGACGCGAGCAAAGTAGGTAACTAAAATAAAAACTTTTTAGTACAAGTACGAGTATAGTGAACCAATCAATGAGCGTTTTTCATTTACATATAGTACAGTGGGCTGAGTGTGAGTTTACATCAAACGCATGAGCGCGTTTAAAAAATGTATGAAAATTTTAGTTTTTGAACGTTTCCCGCTCGGGGCGCTGTTCAATCCGTCATACATTTAATGTCATTTTTTGACGCGCTCACTAGTGAAGGCGTTTGATGAAAACTCACACTAGGTCCTCAGACTACCTAAGTCCAACATTTAGCGCACTCAAGTCACTGTGCGAAACATCAAGCTGTTTTATTTCCTTCCGTTTTTTGTAATGTAATTTTTATTGGGTGGTTAATTAGGTATTTACTCGTAGTTATGGGTGACTTAGGAGTCGGAGTGGTCGCCATGGCCGAAATCGGTCGGATGGATCATCATCATGGGTGACTGTTTGGAAACCTTCCCAACTCATTTCATTGTCGCATAGTCATCAAGCTAGTGTGGATCATCCACTTGCAATGGAGACTAGCGTGAATCCCGTATTCACAAACGACACTTGCTTAGGTGAAGCAGAAAATCGAACGCACAGCGTTGAATAAAGGTCTGTGATTCAACTATGAATGCAGTCTGTGCCAAAGCACAGAAACATAAATTAAAATATTCTTTTAAATAAACTGTTATAATCGAGCACTTAAATCAAATTACAATGTGTTAAAGAAGTAACATCTATTTATTATGTAAATACAATAACATTAACATAAAAACAAGAAGTAATTCGACATAAACTTATTCCTTAGTGGTGATGGTGGTGGTGCTTTTCAGGTACAAGATGGTGGGTGCTGTGCTTCACAGTAGCGTGGAATCTGAAACACAAATGAAAATTGATTAGTGACTCACAAAACTCCTTGTAAAATAATTGTGCCCTAAGAGGTTCTACTTCAATAATATTGTGGTCAATTGTTTTAAAAATTATTTTCACGATTTTTTGTTTCAGCCAAAGAATAAAGATTGTATAAATTATGTAATCTAGGTGGAGATTTGAAGCAGTCTCGTATTCTTATTACCCGGTGTGCTTGTCGCTGTGGTAGTCGACGTGTCTTTCGGAACCGTCAGGCTCGTGCAGGGAGTAGAAGCCCTTCACGTCGTCACCATCGCGGTGCTCGTGCTGGGTCTTGTGGTCACCGGTGTGGTGGTCTGTTACTTTGTACTCGAACTCGTACTTAGGGTGGGCCTGATGGATAAGGAAAAAAATGTTTTGTTAATCTAAAGCTGTCCAAAGCAAATTAAGATTTCATTTTAAAGAATTAAAATTCAATCATCAATGCTGTCAAAACAATTAATTTTATCACCTACTCAAGGTATACATATAAACTTTTAATTCAAATAGGGAAAATTAAATGTTTATCCTTTGAGGATATTAAATAATAACTTTATGATAATAGGACTTACGTAGTAATCATAGTGATGTTCATGACCGTGCCCGTGTTCATGTCCGTGTAAATGAACAGAGACTTTTTCTGGTTTGCCGTCGTGGCGTGAGATGTGCTGCGAGGAGTAGCCGTGGTGGTGGCCGTGGCCGTGGTCTGACTGAGCGGCCACTACGGCCACCAGAGCGGCTAAGCACAGGACCTAGATTGAATAAAAGGGTAGGTTATGCAAGTTGTAAAATAAAAGACTTAGTAGTTAAATAAATTTTTTTTTAATGTTAGTGTTGCTTTAAGTTTTCTTATTTTAGCTATTATGAAATCAGTGCCTGTACGAGTATACTGGTTAAGTAATATCTACGTCTAGGTACCTCGTAACTTTTGTTATAGATTTTGATTTGATTAGGTCTCAGTATTATTTTGTTAGCACCTTGATTAACGAAGCGATTACGGTCTCGACTAAAATTAATTTTGTAGTAAATATTTAAGTTATACGTAGATTCATGTTCTTTCTCCGTTAATTAATTACCATTTAATAAAACCAGACAGAATACAAAAGTTTACCTTAGACACCATTTTATTTTCAGAAGTGGTATTGTTGTTAAATCCAACGATCCACTGATGCAAATGATAAAAAATCCGCAGCTTTTATACTGGATTGGGATAGCAATAATATTATCTTTATTCTAAATTATCGGCAATTAAAATCATATTGACCAAATTGTTAATATGCAATACCGCAATAAAAAAGGCGTTTGCCCCATAAACGCACATTCAGCAAAACGACAAATTATGGAAAGGCTATGTGAAAGGTATTATTTATAGTTTCGCTTGAATACTACTTAGAGAAATAAAATAAAATAAAAATATTTCTTTTTTTACCATGGTAGGTTGAAGCAACTTGCAACAAGCAACAAAGTTGTTGTACTGTAATCACATACATAATGAGCCACCTTAATGCATGATTCACTTCGACTGACGCGATGACTCAACGTACTTTCTCAAGTATAAAATCTAATTTATTTTTTCGGAAAATTATCCTATATTGTGCTTTGGTAAGCACACAAAGTTTGTTAGGAACAAATAGGTATTCAATGTTTCAAATGTCCTAAATGGAAATCAAACCCAGAGCCTCCGAGTCAAGATGTCTCACTCTCGAAGCACTGAACCACGAAGGCGTTATTGGGATTATTACTAGTGGGATTTGACTGCCTTAATTAATTATTTTGGTATCAAATTCTATTCAAATACAACGATAGAGAAATAGATAAATTGCATTTCATTACATTAATAAGTTTTGTATACGTCTTATCGTTATTACTTTTTAGGCGTTGTAATTTCCATAACATAACACAAAGATCAAAATGCCTGTCAGTACGGCTGCATCAACTTCAATAATAATAATTGTTCGAATTCGTAGATAATGCAATAATTATTACCATAATGATTTTTTTTAAATAATTATTTGGCACTAGCCTAGGATTTCCTTAGGACGTCCACCCACAAGGTGGACCGATGCCCTCATAAAGAAAGCAGAAAGGCGCTGGATGCAGATCGCCACCAACCGGGCATTGTGGAAATCATTGGGGGAGGCCTATGTTCAGCAGGATGTCCTATGGCTGAAATGATGTAGATGATGAACCTAGAATTATTGACTTCCTAATAAAAATTAACTCACGGCATTAGGTACCTAAGTAGTTTATTTTTATTCTGAAACTAATCTCAGAATAGTAGTCGCAAGAACGCGCCTGCATTAATAATGTTTGGATATCACTCGAGTAGATACGCAACGATCGAACAAACTATAATCGTAGGACTTTAATCATGAGCAGCACCGTAGCTCGTTCATTCGTGCGTTCGTTTCAGCCAAAATAAAATAGAACAGCTGGACAAAGTATTCAACCATTTTCACAATGACTGGCCCTACGCTTCCTGCATCCAGGTGCTTCTCGAGATCTTTACTAGATCGTTGGTTCATTGAGTAGGAGGCCTGCCTACATTATGGCTTCCATCCCCTCCGCGTAGTTGTTCTTTGTATTTTTTTGTATGTGAAAGGCCTGCCACCACATTATTCTCCGCTACAGGTTCGTTCGTTCGTTCGTTTCAGCCAAATGACGTCCACTGCTGGACAAAGGCCTCCCCCAAGGTTTTCCACAATGAACGGTCCTGCGCTGCCCGCATCCAGGCTCTTCCCGCGACCTTTACCAGATCGTCGTTCCACCTAGTAGGAGGCCTGCCTACGCTACGTTTAAGGTAAGGTACAGGTAAGTAGAGACAATTTTAATTTTAACTAAAATGCTTATTTTACTTCGAAATATTTTGTTTTTATTTGAAATCTAACTTGTTTTTATCAAAATCACAAATCTAGAGCCACTTTCAGTTTCGTTGTTAACGAAGCGTTGAATGGCGCGCCCGGAGAGGCTTAGTTCAAACGATCATAGCAAATGTTGTGACAGGGATAGAGACATGCGATTTTTGGTTTTACAAAGGTACAGAATACGTAAAAGAGAATAATACAAAGTAATAAAAACCACCTGTTATAGGGGCATTTTTTGGATAAATTTATCAAATAACCAAAAAAACACGAATTTAAAAGCAGATTTTTTTCAAAAAGTATAATTTTTTATTATTTGTTGGCATTTTCTGAGTATTTTATGTATTTTTTTTAGATATCGTTGTTATTTAGCATTATTAGTTATTACTGTTTTTATTTTATCAGGATATACCTATTAGTTTAAAAGTTATTATGTTTTCTTTACAATAAGTAATCGGAAGAAAAAAAATCTATAAAAATTCCAAAAAATACTAAAAAAAAAATTGACCTCTCTTTTGTCGATAAAAATAGGTCTGGTTTCATCTATTTTCATAGTATGTACACTTTATCGTGACTCACACTGTATACATTAATGCAATGATCTTTACTGCATTGCTTGGTATTGGGACGAAATTAAGGAGGTTTCAAAGGAAATATCGAAGTAATTATAAATAGACAACTTTTAATAAGTAGGTACAAATAAGGCAACAGAACATTTTTAACTAGAAGTAATCAAAAACAACTTTTTATTAATTTTAGTGGTGGTGGTGATGCTTTTCAGGGACCAGGTGGTGAGTGCTGTGCTTCACAGTAGCGTGAAAACTGAAAATAAAAACACTTTGTTTAATAAAAGTAGCAAAAACTCTACAATTACTCATGAATTGTCTATCAACCAAAGATTATCATTGCGAAAGTCGTTCTTCTATTTCATATTATCCAAACTTCAGTTTAAGTATAAAAAATGACCTGGATTTTAAAATGTAAATATGACATCGAATGCTTACCCAGTGTGCTTGTCGCTGTGGTAGTCGACTTTTCTTTCGGAACCATCAGGCTCGTGCAGGGAGTAGAAGCCCTTCACGACGTCTCCATCGCGGTGCTCGTGCTGGGTCTTGTGGTCGCCGGTGTGCTTGTCCTCCACCTTGTACTCGAACTCGTATTTAGGGTAGGCCTGATGAACAAAGTAAGAAAATTATATATGCTTACCAAGATTAACATGAAACGTCTAAAACTTAAAAATGCTCTGAACTTGTTACTAAAATCTTAGTGAGTTGAATTATGTCTTTCTCACAAATTGAATTCTTATATTATTCGTAAGATGGCTATCTAAGAATGTACTTACGTAGTAATCGTGAATTTCATGCTCGTGTCCGTGTTTGTCTTTTACGTGAACAGAGACTTTTTCTGGTTTGCCGTCGTGACGCGAGATGTGCTGCGAAGAGTAGCCGTGGTGGTGGCCGTGGCCTTGGTCGGACTGAGCGGCTACTGCAGCCACCAGAGCAACGAAGCACAGTACCTGTTTAAAAAGAAAAATGTCACATAACTTTCAACGCGTTTCGTAATATTTTTTGAATTGAAGGTATTCTAATCATTTTACGCCCTTTGTAGAAATAGGTAACTTTAACTTTTTAACTACAGGGTTGTTTCTAATACTGAGATTGACTTGGTTAATATCTATTAAATCTAATATTTCACCTCTACCTTACCTTTGAGATCATCTTTAGTTGTGTGTTGCTGTTGTCAAACTCAACGCTCAACTGATACCAATAATTGAAAATCAGCGACTTTTATATCGCCACGAGGGTTAATAACAATTACATTATCTTTGTATACATATAAATTATCGGCAATAAAATTCATATTGCCGAATTTGTTAATGTGCAATACTGCTATCAGGCGTTTGCTCCATATACCTAATTTGGCAATGTGACAAATACAGAGAAAGGCTTCGTGAAAGGTTTGTAAAAACCTTTCTAAAACAGTGCCTAATTGAAGCTTAATTTAAGTAATTTAGAAACAATAGCAACATAAATTAGTAATTAAATAGTGAAAACAAAATTGATCAGTTAGTCTTCTTTTTCCCTCTTTTGTCTAATATATAAAACATTTGGACAAAATTACATTTTATCCAATACAGCAGCTTCCATTTTGATAAAGAAACTATGAAAGTCATAGGTGTCTTATATTCAGTTTCAGTCATTTCTTTCTACAAACTTAATCTAGGTATCTTTTTCTCTTACAGTTCATCAGTTATAACTTTTTCAGTACCTAACTATCAAATGTATTTATCATTCCAATGACACACATTTTGTTGGATATTCGCAAATGTTGTTTCTCTGAATTTTTTTTTTTATAAAAAAATCCATTCTGTTTTAATTAGTCATACATCAAAAGGTCCTACATTTGTAACCATTATTTGTTTGCCTTATGTTATACGTGTTATAACACCATGCCATGCCATGCTGCCATGCCCTTAACAAATGTTATTCGTTTCTGATAAATTATGACTCTGCCTTCGGAAGCACGGAACCATCAAGTCGATGCAGGCCTGCAATATCTTGACCCGCTAGGAACAGCAACACATCTCCTATAGCGACTTTAAGAGCTCGACATTTTAACCATTATTCTTGACTTTTCATTGTATTTCGTACTATCGTAATCATAGTCGTAAGATGGGGATAGCGGTGCGGGTTGTACAATAACTAAATGTCGATGTATAACTTTACTGCATATCTGAATTGTACAATTGTTTGTTATCCTAAATAAAATAAAATAAAATAAAATAGTAATCATAATTTTCATACAACTATAGCGGCGTTATTTTATTTTCATACAAAAAAAAACGATTACCATACCTTATCGAGAACGATGTTTATTTGTGCTTCGGGTCTTACTACTTTTATGTTACGAGTACTTATGGACTTAATTTACATTGCTAGCTTACTACAATTAAACGTAATTAGCAGAAAAAAATACGTCTCACAATAAGGGGGGAGAGGGTGTTGAATCAACACTGTTGATGAAGTACGTATGACGTGTGGCAAAGGATGGGAGGGTTCTTTTCGTGAAGATGTATAATTTCAATATCTAATTATTATGTTACTAGCTAACCTAAGTTTAGTTTAGGTAATTTAAGAGATTGTTCTCTCTCACCACTAGAGATGTGCCGCTGAGAAAGTTCTCGTTCCCGGCAATATTCCCAGTGAGAATATTCTCGAGAACCGAGAACGCTCCCGGGAATATTCTCAGTGTTCTCGATAGAATACATTTAGTTTTAATTTAAATTTTGTTGTTTATGTGATATTATTTGTAATGTTTCGAAACTGGGCGTTAAGACTAGTCGTTATAAACAAGGCATGACATGTGTGAGTGAGATATTGCTGTCTTGCTCACTCTTTTCGTGGCGAACGCGTACCGCGGCTTTAGGACTCGGCTACGGTATTTGAACATCAGTGTGCCTCTGAGTTTTAAGGCCCTTGCCACCCTAGCGGATTGCAAGCGGATTCAAAGCGGATTTAAAGCGGAGCGGCAACGCGACGGAGACGCCGCGTGAAAATATCGTGAAGCTTCCCGAAGGCTGCCCAGCCGAGCTGGATTCGATGATTGACCTTTTTTCGAAGTTGAACCTACCTAACTAGACTTTTTGTCCCAGGTATACATTATTGTCAACAACTTCGAGTGTAGTCTCCAGCTTTTAGAGGAGTGGGTGCNCTCACCACTAACATTACAATAGGCCCAATCATTAAAGGGCTATTCAGTTTTAAGTTCAATAATACCTTTACCTATTGAATTAAAACGTAATAAAGAATTTGAATTTGAATAAATTTTTGCAGAAGTTGAAATGTTCGGTTTTTGAAGAGTTGGGTTTTCAGAAAGAAGGTTTTCAATAAGTTCGTTTTATTTATTCAAAATATTCTTGCTTTCATTACAGTCCCAGAAAATAAATAAGAAAATAAATGAATTAAATGCGTGACTCGAGGAAATTAAAACGAACTAAAAATTACTATGAAAATCCAAATTGACATTAAATATCCGACAAAAATATAAAGCTCTCGAATACGAGTAGTAATCCTAGCTACCTTATAAGGATATATCGGATAATATTAAGAAAGATAGAATGAATTACATTAATCAACTTTTTACTAAATGTTAGGTAGATAGGTAAGTACAACTTTTTTTTTTTTTTTTTTAATGTGATAGGAGGCAAACGAGCAGACGGATCACCTGATGGTAAGTGATTCTTGGTGCATGTTATTTTATTTTGTACTTGCAAAGAATAAATACTTTTCTTTCTTTCTTTCTTTCTTTCTTATTATTTTAAGAAGATTTAGAATCTGTCAGCAGGGGCTGATTTGTGATTTGCATGTTGAGTTTTTCCCTTGAAAATTGTTGTGATTTATTAGTGAATACTCGTAAGAGTTAGGTATTTTATTAATTGACATAATTAAGTTTGGTGTGTAAAGAGTTTATGAATGAAAATTCAAAGTAATTACAAATAATATAACATTTATTACGTATACAAACAGGGTAACAAAAAATTTACTATTTTTATCCTTTTTAGTGGTGATGATGATGTTCGGGGACCAGATGATGGGTGCTGTGCTTCACAGTGGCGTGGAAACTATAAGAAAGAAAATATATTATTAATTGGTGAAATAGACAAAATGAAGAATATTTGTAAGTAAGAACTAAAATATCATCACAGTGTATTTTATTTGGTGTTATTTTATTAAAATTGTATGGTCTTAATGGCTGATAATATTTTCATGTTACAGTCGTTATGACATTGGATGCTTACCCATTGTGCTTGTCGCTGTGGTAGTCGACGTGCCTTTCAGAGCCGTCGGGCTCATGCAGGGAGTAGAAGCCCTTCACGGCGTCTCCATCGCGGTGCTCATGCTGGGTCTTGTGGTCGCCGGTGTGCTTGTCCTCCACTTTGTACTCGAACTCATATTTAGGGTAAGCCTGAAGAAGGGTATTAACGTTAATTTAAGTAATGAGAATTTCAAGATATTGCTCCTAAGATTTTAGAGAAACCTGGCACTTACATAATAATCATAATGATGTTCATGACCGTGACCGTGTCCATGACCATGTTCATCTCCATGTAAGTGAACACTGACTTTCTCGGGTTTGCCGTCGTGTCGGGAGATGTGCTGCGACGAGAAGCCATGGCCATGTTCGTGGCCGTGATGTTCATGGCCGTGGTGTTCAAGACCATGGTGTTCATGACCATAGCCATGTTCAAACTGGGCAGAGGCTACAGCTGCCAGAGCAGCAAAACATAGAACCTGTTTTGAACAAAAAGAAACATATCTTTGTGATACTGAATAATAATCCTTTTTAAATATTATTGTCAAAGATATTTACAACATTTTTACTTTATATTTTGGGATACTTTAGGTAGAATGGTCTTATCTTAACAATAACCGTTAGGTATATTTAAATGTTACCTTAGAAATCATTTTGTTTGGTTGTGTTATTGTTATCAAACCCAAAGGTGAACTGATACCATTTGGTACATGCCCACGACTTTTATATTCACATCAGGGCTAACCGCGGTCATAATAATCTATATTTAATCTAAATTATTGGCAGTAAAAAAATAATGTGCGAAGTTTTAGTATGCAATACTGTAATCGTTTCGTAAAGGCGTTTGCTCTACATGCGTACGTTCGGCAACGCGACAACCATCTAGAGAAAGGTTCAATTAACAATTCGAATTTGATTTCAGCCTTCCGTGAAACAATATCTACTATTGTAATGGTTATTGGTTTTTAATTCATGGAAGGTTCTTTAATTTGGTCGGCGCCTCTTAGAGAAAGTTAATCTTATTTTGATCATAAATTAATTTGAACGTTTTTAAAACGAAATTAATTATTTTGTTTCAGACGTATTATAGAAGGAGGTAAAGCAGTAGGTATATTAAGAAGCAAATTGAATTCCCAACGTCACAATGATCCAAACGATAATAAAATTATGATCCTTGGTGTATCAAGTGGAGGAGAACAGCAACAGTTGGTAGCAGTACGATTCTGTTCGGATAGCAACAAGAACAAAAAGTTAGTTTGCTAAAGAAAATAATATATTACTTTCGTCACTTAACTAACAGGTGAATCTTATAAGATGGATAGTATTATACGTCTTAATAATATTCAGCTGTTGTTCAAAAAGTGTACAGGAGAGCATTTTAATGAGTATATCTATAAACAATGAACATTCTTGCGAATCATACAGTACAGGTAAAAACTTAATTTCTAAAGCGCGTTTGGTTCTTGAAAGGGTGATACACCATATCACAGCTGTTTTTTTAGGTAAGTAAATGTGTTCGTTATAGCATGTCGAACTTATTATTTAGGTACTTTAACTCTATCTGACAGTTGAAAAGCTCTTGAAAAGACCTGGAGTGAGATCAAGCGAGAAGCTCAAGACCGAACGAGATGGAGGACTGTTGTGGACGCCCTCTACCCCATCTAGGGGACATAGGAACATAAGTCAAGTAAGTCAAGACAGTTGAAAAGGCCCGTAACAGTGTGCTTACTGTGAGTTTGCATTGACCGTCCTAAAAAAATCTATGAAGATTTTGGTTCTTGAAAGTAGGGAAGCTGTACAACTTGTCATAAATTTAATGTCGTTTTTTACGCAGTCGATAGCGATCACGTTTGATGTAAACTCGCACTAAACACACTGGTAACGTAAATAGTAATTTACTATGGACTCTGATAGTTCTTTATATTTTAAGTCATTGACTATAATTTCATCATTCTTATAACTCTTCCCAAGCACTATCTTAAATGCACGTTTTAAAATTAGTTTAATTACCAGTTTCAGGTAATGTTGATCTACCTAAACATATTTCTTCATACTGAATTGTTTTGTAGATGTACTTATAGTAAAATAAATAAAAACGGATAAGACAAGACTTACTCAGGCTGGGTTGCACCATCTTACTTTAACTTCAAAAAACGTCAAAAATCTGTCAAACTCCATATAAAAAGCACCGGTTATTGTTATAACTGTTAAAGTTAGGTGATACAACCCCACCTTAGATAACTGAAGATATTTATAATATTAATTACTGTACGTTATTCGCCAATTAGTTAGAAATGACTAAATTAAGAAAATTAGAATAAATGAATACGAGTATCATGTCTTTCTTAAGGATACCTTTTGTTATAGGAATACTTAATTTGTTTTATTAAATAAAAAATAATCTTGTAAAATATTTGCTTGCTCCGCTTTGTAAACTAAAAATGTCTTAGACGAGTAGGTTTATTTTATTTTATTAATATTAATTGTTAATGTCAGTGCAGCAAAATTACTAATTTGTTGGCTTAAATATTATTGAACTATTCATTAACTTCATGAAAACAAGCATCAATCAGAAGTTTTTGCAATGTACTAATTAGAAAAATACTACTTAGTTTTTCTTAAGTTGAGTTTGAAACATTCACTGTCTTTTTCAGTTTTCAATAAACTATGTTCACTTCAGTTATTAATGAATAATGTAATCAACTAAATAACTTTCTTTTGTGTATTTGTTTCTTGTTTTATGTGGTGTACTTCTTCTTCTTCGTACTCTTGCCAGAGCGATCGTGGTCGTCACACCTGATTTGGTGGCAGCTTCACAATCCGTCGCCATTCCTCCCACATTGCAGCCTTTCATGTGCACTCGTGGAATGGACCATTGAGTGCGGTTTTGACCTGATCAGTCCAGCTCATGGGTGTCCTGCCGCGCGCTCTTGTGGTGTGCAATAAGGTGTTTATCTATCTTAATACTAATTGAAGTAAATAATGTTTATAGCATTTATAAAGTGAAATTAAAAGAAAATATAAAGCATAAAGGTATTTATTGTATCACATTTTTTTACAGAATATAAAACATATCAAAAGTAACAGGTAACAATCACAGGTAACAGGTAGGAACCAAAGGTAACATTATCGTGTTCAATAATGGTGCTTGTGGTGGGGCACGATGTGGTGGGTGCTGTGCTTGACGTCGGCGTGGAAGCTGAAAAAGAAGAAGATACATTTTAATAAGTCTTCAGATAATATGGAGATAATAAAGGCTGCAACTAGCGAAAATAACCCAGGAAATGATTTTTGAAACAATTTCAAAATGCTAAAACAAATTCGAAAAATACGTCTAAGTTCAATATTTATAGGACTGCAGCACTGTAAGATCTGTGTTTACTATTTAGAACACCAATACATTACAAGTAGAATTACTAGAAGAATCATTGAACATTATCATTAGTATCAGAAATACTAAATCATGGTAGCATTGGCGAAAATGTATGCCTTGATTAAATACCTAATTACTGTCGACCTACTATTAACTACTTACGAGTAGGTACGCGGACTACCCACCGGGCAGCATGGAAAGCGTTGGGGAAGGCCTATATTCAGTAGTGGACGTCATATGGCTGAGATGATGATGATGTTGACTATTAACTACCTACTGTAAAGTCCTCATACTAATGGAAAAATATCCAACATAATAAAGTCTTACCCAGTGTGCTTGTCGCCATGGTAGTGGACGTGTCTGACGGAGCCATCAGGCTCGTGCAGGGAGTAGAAGCCCTTCACGACGTCTCCGTCGCGGGACTCGTGCTGGGTCTTGTGGTCGCCGGTATGGGGGTCTTCTACTTTGTATTCGAACTCGTATTTCGGGTAAGCCTGTGAAGTAATTTTATATTCAGAGCCGTTATACCTTTCAGTTTATTATAGTCCAAAACATGATGTGTTGGGTTTTGATGCTATTATTACAAATTCAATCTCTAATTTTTTTCGTCTCGTTATTATTATTATATCTCATACTTTAATCCTTTTGTCTTTATCGATTAAGTAATCATAGCTAAGAAACTATCGCTTAGAGATATGTCACTTATAGTAACTGACGGAAAAAAAGGATTGTACTTAGTAGTGTCCCTTGTGGGAGACCTATGTCAACCATCTATCCTATGATAACAATTCCTAAAATAATCAGTTGGTTCGGTTTATCTGCAATGAGTATAACTTACATAGTAGTCGTAGTGGTGGCCGTGTCCGTGGTCATGTCCGTGTCCGTGTCCGTGAACGGCCACAGGGTGCGCATGGCCATCGTGTCTCGAGATGTACTGGGAAGAGAACCCGTGGCCGTGGTACGCAGCCACCACGGAAGCGAAAGCAACGATGCAAATGACCTGGAAAAAATGGTGAACATTTTACATTAGTAGAAGGAACAAATAGTTGAAAAATTTTAGATGACAAAGTTGATTCAAAACAAGAAAATTCCAAAATTGATATTGTCACAATTAGAGTTGTAGTTGATACTTGTCTTGAACTTGTTAACATCGTAAGTCATCAAAACTTTTATTCAACAAATCTTTATTAATAAAATACTACCTTAGAGAACATTTTGTTGTATTGTTGTGCTAATGTTTCTAACAACAGCAGGAAACTGATACATTGGCTAAAAATTCACGTCTTTTATATCGATAACAAGGGCAGCCAAGGTAAAATTTGATTTCACTTGCAAGTAGATAGGCAGTTAAAATTATTCACGAGCTTAGAATGCAGTGTTTGCAACAATTTCGTAAAACAATTTTGTTCTACATGCTTGAGTGCAATTACAATGCGGTGTGACAAAAATCTGATATTAGTTTATTGCATGTTAAGCGCCAATATTTGATAAAACACTTTATCTAGCTGATCTTTCTGAAAGTTAGTTTTTATATTGTTTTTTAATTTCCTCTCAAAACGTTTGTTGCATGTTGTTTAGTGAAACTAATTACTAGTTTGCACAACTAATGTGCTATATTTAAATATTGCATTTAGGTTTTTAAACGAGGCTTGCGATGGATACAATCAGTGGACAGTCATACTGGATGTCGTTGTTGTAGTTGCACACGAAGGTCTTAGTGATATACTTACTAATTTACTTATTATTCATGAAATTATAGCATGATAGCCAGAATATCAGTGTGGAGACATAATAATTAGGGTATCATTGGTCAAAACAATCTAAGCACTACACTCTCGCATAGAGGGTTCCGTGCAACTTCATCATATGACACTATTTGCTTTTCATGATAAATTACTTGTTTTCCCTAATTTTATTGTGAAGATTTAGTAAAATCATTTATTTTCCTCTTCTTTAAAAACAGTGGGTGAAAGTGGGTTTTTCCGTTATTTAAGTATTTTAAACCGCAAAGCTTCGTTTTCATATAAGTTACTAGATGTGCCCGTGACTTGTTCTTTCATTTCTTTCTCCTCCCTATTTTTTGGATCACTTTAAAATCTCTGCGTCCAATTTCAAATTTATCTACTGAGGGGTTGAAAATCATAAAGGCGTTTTTAATAGGCTTGTACGGAATCCTAAAATCGATCAGCGATGCTCTCACTTTTTGTAAGCTTTGCCGAGTATCGTTGAAGACGTGCTCATGGTTCACTAAATTTAGGCTATGGGGCCAATAACAATGACCTATTGGTGTTTTCCATTTATTTTAACCATGAATACCACAATGCTACTGTTTGTTACCGCTATTGCATGCGTGTGTATAATTGTCGTTTTATTAGCATGTGGTACTAGTAGGTATTTTTCCTCTAAGGGTCAATTGATCCGAAATTAACTCATAGAATTGTCTTAAAACGTTTAAACATGAGCAAAATGTGTTATACGAATAAAGTTATTTCGACTTTGAGTATTTTTTCCAAGTCTATTTCAGCCATAGTTATCTTTATTTTAACTGCTGATCAAAAAACTAACTCTAATTAGTAAGTACCTGTTTCGTTTGTGTATGTTTAAGGTTTGAACTTACTTCTCCCATGCTAGATTGTTAGGCCCTTTTCACATGTCCCGGTTGCCGGCTAACCGGCGCCGGGTACCCGGTGGTGAAGTGTATGGACATGCCGGATTAATTACGCTGGTACATGTGAAAGCTACGTACCATGCCCATACACTTCACCACCGGGTACCTACCCGGCGCCGGTTAGCCGGCAACCGGGACATGTGAAAAGGGCCTTAGGCTATACGCTATTTGCGTTATGTTGGTATCGAAAATAAATAGTATGAGTTGTACGTGTGGAAACCCGCTTCACGCATCCGCACCACACCGCAATACCCCTGACGAAAGCAAGATGTCTGGTAAACTTTTTTTGAACTCTTTCTATCCGTAATGAGTGATTAGTGTAATGTGGTCTCCAGACAGTACTTGCATACTCCAAGGTGGATCGAACGAGTGAGTTATAGAGGAGAATTTTGGTTGAGATTCCAAACTCTTTGCTGTTTCTTATTAAAAACCCTAGTGCCTTTGATGACTTTTTAATAATATTATTTATATGAGGAACAAAAGTGAACTTACTGTCCATTAGAACACCTAGGTCTCTTACCACCTTTAACTCTTGCAAATCAATCCCATTAATAGAGTATTTGGTTGGAATGATATTATTTTTTCGTGTAAATTTCATAAGCGAACATTTTTTTACATTGAGATCCATTCCATTAATGTCACACCATTTCTTAAGGGAATCGAGGTCCTCTTGGAGCATAACCGCGTCATCCAATGAGTCAACAACTTTTGAAAGTTTGAGGTCATCAGCGAATAAGTATGGGATAGAGTAGCGAATGCAGGACGGCAGATCATTGACAAACATGTTGAACAAAACAGGGCCCAAGTGCGATCCCTGTAGGACACCGGACGTAATATAATGAGTGCTAGACGTGAAACCATTGACAACTACGTAAAATTGTCGTTCCTTAAGGTACGAGTCCAACCAGCCCAACATAGATCCAAAAAAGCCATAAGAAGAAAGCTTTTCGATCAAAATTTTGTGTGGCACCCGATCAAAAGCCTTGCTGAAGTCCGTGTACACCACATCTATTTGTTTGCTAGCGTCAATGGACTCTACAAGATCCTCAGCAAAGCTCATTAAGTTGGTACATGTTGACCTAATTATACAAACACACTGGAAAGGGCCTAAGTACTGAATCAATTATTTCATTTGATTTTGCATCTAACCGACCTGATAACGTTGTAAAGGATGGCCATTTTTTATTTATCTTGTTTGTCAATTTATTGTAAAAAAAATAATTCATAGTTCGAAAATTACATTTAAAGATATAGGTCCAATTTAATGAAAACACGTTTAATTTTTCATTACATCGTCGTTTCAGCCGAAAGACGTCCACTGCTGGACACATAATTTATACACACTTTCATTATATAATTTATATTATTTTATTGACGTTAAGTACTTACTTTACGTCAAAAAAACATATGTATATGACAACCCTCTGCCTGGCTAATGGTAGCGGGTTGGAGCCGGACTTACTATGCCAATATTCGTGGATTAAATCCCCGCAGCATATCACATTTCTGTTCATAAACATACAATTTGTTTGTATTTTTATTATTATGTGGTATCGCTCTGAGTGCGAAATGTGCTTCTCTTGTAGCTGTCTGGTACACGGAAAAAATACCTCGTAGTGATTACGATAATTCTGGCCTAAACCTGTGTAACAATACAAGTTCTCGTTTTTCTAAATTAAAAAATTGTGATGATTACAAGAATGTTTAATACTACTACTAGTTTCTAGTTCGTGGGACATTTTTGTAAATTACTAATCGTTCTAGTAGTCTCGTACGTAACTCTAAATTTATTTCAGTGTATGGGTAGGCCATACGCGTAGTTCAAGCTTTGCTTAGTTTGGGATTAGATGGCGCAGTGTAGTCTATGGTAGTGTCCAAGGATAATACAGGGTTGTGGGTGGCATATACACTGGTCATCACAAAAATCGACCCTCCCGCGACAAGCACTTTCAAACGTATGCATTCCCACTTCCCACATATGTTACCTCAAAAAATGGTCTTTAGAAGGATCCAGAGTCACTTCTTCAAAAAATAGGTAGTTACGCTTGAGCCAACTTTTATGGTTTTAATAGTGTTAAGTTGGGATTAATCGCTATCCATCTGCTAAGAGGACACGTGAGATCATTTTTTGGTTTCATTACCATAAAAATTGGTCTAATTGATCCCAGAGGTGAGCTCAAAGTTAGGTCTTTTTTCAAGTCACATTTATTGCATATGTTAATCGTTTATTAAGAAATTAAATGTGTTTTTATTTATGGATATTTATTGGGCTTTCAAATAACACCAATATTGTTGGCGCACCATGATTATGTCAGTAGAAACGAGTTTTCCTGTAAAACGTAGGTGGGTGGTTTGTGATGACCAGTGTACTTATGTTTTTTTCTAAAAGGTGAATTTTGAAAGAGGAAATTAATAAGATGTAGAGAGACGAGTAAGGACAATGAACTTCAGTAAGCGAGTCATCTGGGATTTTTTTACGCTTTGCTTTTTACTTATGCTATGTGTCATTTCTCATCTTTTCTTTTCCAAAAAATTCTAAAAAATGCTATTCTGTAAGAATTAAAAATATTTAGTGACTTATTTTAAACTTTCCACAAAAAGCTTGAACGTGTGTGGAACATTAGTATTTTTTAATAAATAATATGGAATGGAAATGTCTTTATTGTAATAAATTGTAGTAACGGGGATATTTTTATGAATCGGGAAATCAGATATCAACAAAATAAAAGATTCACTTTTACAAATAGGTGAAAAAGTGTATTTGGTAGAAAAGTAACAACATCACAGTCCAACAAACGATCACAGTATGACTAAGGTCTCAGGTCTTCAGTGGTGGTGCTTGGGCACGACATGGTGGGTGCTGTGTTTCACATCGGCGTGGAATCTGGAAAAATTAAAGACATTTTATTAGTTTCTATAATATCCTCCGAAATTAACTTATGGATTACAAGTTAGGGTCTGTCAGGTAGGCAATTTGTAAATTAGTGTTCATTTAATATGTCGCAGTCGGATTGTATAATCCGCCATTTTACATTACCACTAGGCATTTTACATTACAGCTCTGTTTTGTGATACGGCGGTTCATCGTTTAGGCGGATTGAATACGACTGAATGAAAATCCGCCGGAATGTATTCGGCGCCAAACGTTTTCAATACGGCTAGCCGTAATGTAAAACAGCGTGTCATTACCCGCCGCTTTGACAGTTTTTAGTTCCCATTTTCAATTCCGTGGCGCTGCCTGACATAACAACAACAATGGCGTCGGATGCAGTAAATGTGTTGCTAAATTACGGAATTATTTCTGAATCGAATAAAGAAAACGTTATAAATATGTGTGTCGACAGTGAGTTTAAGAACAATTTTAACTTGCAATTGAAGAATTTCTATTCTTCACAATGTGGAACAGTCAAAAAACCGTGGACAAGGGACCGAGTTTTGGAGGTTATAGCCCACATCAAAACCGCTAAAGTGGCTATGGATTCTGGTGTTCGGCGGAATCCTACGCAATATTATTGGTGCAAAAAGTATGATATTATGACAGTGGCCGGTGAAGATTTTGAGATATCTTTTATTTTAAGAAGTTTGTACCTTGTGATTACTCAATACTCATTATGTTTAAAAATGACTAAATCCAAATCTTTCATTATATTATTAACTTTCAAAAAAAGTTTATTTGTTTTGAGATAGCTGTCCTTGTGATTTATAAACATACAAAAAAAATACTGAAGCCAAATATATTATTTAGTATTACTTACAGTAACGAAGATAATAATTCTTACTTAATCACTAAGGAATATCGTGAGAAGAAATCTTTCGTATTAAAATTTATTTACATTAAACATTGTTTTATTTTGTAAGTATGGTCACCCTACTAAACGTGGGCCGCCGTATTGAAGAACGTATCGCAATAACAATCCGCCTAAACGTTGAACCGCCGTATTACAAAACAGAGCTGTAATGTAAAATGCCTAGTGGTAATGTAAAACGGCGGATTATACAATCCGACTGCGACAAATACACTATTCGCAGTAAAAATATTAACGCCCGTATTCACAAACATTACTATGAGGAATCACAGTGCGCGTGGACGCAGAGGGCGACATATGAACGAATCACAGAGCTCTATTCAATGCTGTGCGTTCGATTTGATGCTGCTTCACATAAGCAAGCGTCGTTTGTGAATACGTGCGTAATTACGAGTATATTGGAAGATTAGTTCAATTCGAATTCAATCTGAGTTCTAACGAACGCTGAATGAAGGCTATAAGTGATTATTTCATAGCATGTTACGCCTTGTTAAATTTTTAACTACAGAGGTTACATAATTTAATTACTCGTTAACGATTAACTATCCGTGTAGATTATCTACATATTCGATTAAGTCAATAGGAGAACAACTACTACGAATGCTATAAATCTTGAAACTTTTTACAGTTTTTCGGCTTGGTAAGCGATGTAAAGGTATCACCTTCTTTTATTAAGGTAGGACCTTTTTTTATTTATTTTCTACCTGCCCAGAGTGCTTGTCAGCGTGGTAGGCAACGTGCCTGACAGAGCCATCGGGCTAGTGCAGGGCGTAGTAGCCCTTGACGACGTCACCATCGCAGTGCACGCTAGAAAGTCTCACAAATGGACTATAATTCATCAAACTTTGTGTTTATTGGGTACGTACCCAGAGTACCTGTCAGCGTGGTAGGCGACGTGCCTGACAGAGCCATCAGGCTCGTGCAAGGTGTAGTAATCTTTGACAACGTCACCATCGCGGTGCTCGGTAGAAAGTCTCACAAATGGACTAAAAAGGCATCAAACCTTCTTGTATTTATTTTCTACCTGCCCAGAGTGCTTGTCAGCGTGGTAGGCAACGTGCCTGACAGAGCCATCGGGCTAGTGCAGGGCTTAGTAGCCCTTGACGACGTCACCATCGCAGTGCACGCTAGAAAGTCTCACAAATGGACTATAAAGGCATCAAACCTTGTGTTTATTGGGTACGTACCCAGAGTGCCTGTCAGCGTGGTAGGCGACGTGCCTGACAGAGCCATCAGGCTCGTGCAAGGTGTAGTAATCTTTGACAACGTCACCATCGCGGTGCTCGGTAGAAAGTCTCACAAATGGACTAAAAAGGCATCACACCTTCTTGTATTCATTGGCTACGTACCCAGAGTGCTTGTCAGCGTGGTAGGCGACGTGCCTGACAGAACCATAAGGCTCGTGCAGGGCCTAGTAGCCCTTGACGATGTCACCGTCGCGGTGCACACTAAAAAGTCTCACAAATGGACTACAAAGGCATCAAACCTTCTGATATTTATTGACTACGTACCCAGAGTGCTTGTCAGCGTATTGGCGACGTGCCTGACAGAGCCATCAGGCTCGTGCAAGGTGTAGTAATCCTTGACAACGTCACCATCGCGGTGCACGCTAGAAAGTCTCACAAATGGACTATAAAGGCATCAAACCTTGTGTTTATTGGCTACGTACCCGGTGTGCTTGTCAGCGTGGTAGGCGACGTGCCTGACAGAACCATCGGGCTCGTGCAGGGCGTAGTAGCCCTTGACGACGTCTCCGTCGCGGTGCTCCTGTTGGCTCTTGTGGTCGCCGGTGTGAGGGTCCTCTACTTTGTATTCGAACTCGTATTTGGGATGAGTCTGTGGAGTTGTAATTAATAAATTATTATGCAACTTCTTACATGTACATAATACGAGTAGATATATTACATTGATTGATAATGATAATTCAACTGTTTTGGGCAGCTTCGAAACCATTTGTTGAAGTCACGATCGTTTGTCATATTACTCATGTCATATAAGATCTTCTCCCTCCCTGATAGGAGGTAATTTTGGGCCGGAGAACAGTAGATACCTTTGTAACATCTTGAAAATCAGTTCGTAACCCGAAGTATACTTAAGATTCCTGCATATTTTCTGGTGAACGTTGACTTACTTGAACCTAATATCAACAAGGGCTTAGTATCAACATATCAAGATTATCCATGTCTTACATAGTAGTCATAGTGCACTTCGTGGCCGTGGCCGTGTCCCACCGCCACCTTCTCGGAGGGGCCGTGGTGGTTGGAGATGTGCTGCGAAGAGAAGGCGTGGCCGTGGCCAGCCACCACCGACGCTAGGGGACGAGCCATCTAGAGGAGAACACTACTTACATAGTAGTCATAGTGCACTTCGTGGCCGTGGCCGTGTCCCACCGCCACCTTCTCGGCGGGGCCGTCGTGTTTGGAGATGTGCTGCGAGGAGAAGGCATGGCCGTGGCCAGCCACCACCGACGCAAGTGCGAGGATGCAAGCAACCTGGAAGATTATTAACCCAATATTAGTAAGACCAAAATGTATGTAGGTATAGTGTAAACTTCAGGATAGTAATCAACTAAGTTAAAAATGTCTTTATCGAAGATGTTGTTGACACAGTATGCAGCTCGAAGAGCCTGACTCAAAAAATTTGAAAAATCAAAAACACTGAGTTATGCTTTCATCTCCTTGTTAAATTTGATATTAGTCAGCTACTTCACGCCTAAAAAATATTTTTACAGCTCCTTTTTTTAAGCTGCTTGAGATGTCATGATTCACAAACAAGGGCTCAATTAATCAATCCAGAATTTGAAGTATCGATTATCACTTTCCGATAGATCACAATAAACACAATAACGTCGATATCCATCATACTAAACCAACACAAACACTGTTTTAACGATTCACCAAGTATCAAAAAAGATACTTTAATAAATTAAATATTACCTTGGAGATCATATTGATTAGTTGTTAATAGTTCAAAGTGGAACTGTAAACTGATGCCAACAGGTTGTAACCCCCGGCTTTTATACTTCGCACAAGGGTAGTCAAGGCAACGTTAGTTTCACTATAATAGTTAGCGGTGAACTCATTATGTTAACACTCTTTTAGTATGCAGCGATTGATAATTTCGCAAAGTAGGTTCTAGTACGAACAATAAATACAACATTGCTAAAGTTTCATTATTAGCTACTGTCAGAATTACGCAAAGGACAATGACCAAAAGTGGTCCAAATGTCCACCACTAATGAGACCTATATTGGCTTATAGTCCATTAAATAGATAATAACTTTCGGTATGGGACGAAAAAAAAATAAGCTGTCAGTAAAAAGTTATGACAGTTTGAAAAATTGTAGTAGTTTACGCGCTAATCTCAGGAACTACAGTGTACCTACCATGAGTTTACGTTAGGTGTACTCGCTAGCGACTACGTAAAAAAATGACATTAATTAGTATGACATATTGTGCAGCGCCCCTAGCGGCTACTTTCAAGAAACAAAATCTTTATAAAGATTTTTGACGTAATCGCTAGCGAGCACACCTAACGTAAACTCATGGTAGGTACACTGGTCCTATTTGAAAAAATATTTTTGTCATGGATAGCCCATTTATCAAGGATGGTTTTAGGTTATTTAACATCACCCTACAACCAATAGGGGCGGAGCAGTGAAGACAAATGTTGTAAAAATGGGAAATATTATCAAACTATTTTCACGCGCGCAAAGTCATAGCTAGTATAATATAATAATTCGTCTACATATAACCCAGTACCTACCAGTTGGAAAAAAGACTATTTTTACCCCTTTCGCATATTCAAAGTATTCCAATATTGTTGTCTTTCTTCTGAGCTTATTTTTTTTTCTTTTAGCGAGAACCTAACACGGCACACTAAGCGACATGACATAACATGCATAGATTAGTCCAAAATGTGCGATGGATAGACTGATATCGAGAACATTTTTCAGATGAAAAGGTGAAAAACATGACTTTTCATTCAGTCATAACTTTTTACTGACAGCATATTTTTGATTGCGGTTTGGTTATAATTAATCAGTATTTAGTAGACTATTTTACAACATAGGTCTCGTTAGTGGTGGACATTTGGACCACACTCCATACATTTTTGGTCATTGTCCTTTATCTGTGTAACTATTGACACAAATGAAACTAGACAAATCAATGAAATCAAATGTTCATTATAAAAATTTAATTGTTTTATTTTTTGCCCTTAATAACTTACATGCAATCGTTTAATTTATAGTTCCTGTCTCATTAAGACCTAACTGATGCGTATAGGCATAATTCGGGTTAAGGCTTTCATTTATAACTGGTTAAATTTTGACGAGACATAAAACGATAATTGGCGGCCATAAATATCCAGTTTGATTGAATATTACAGCGAAGCGAGCGTATTCCATTGTACCTACCGATAGATATGGTATGCGAGTACAACAATCAAGTTGTTTTAAGTGTTGTACTAATTCGAAACAGTATTGTTATTGGGATTTCCTCATGAATATACAGTATTTGAGATAAGGCTAGCGATAATTTAAGGCGATATTGTGATGTCAATTTTATCGACAAAAATGCCCCCATGTGGGCCCACCCCCTTCCTCTTGGAATGGGGGGGGGGCTTAATTTTTTTTTGTGACTATATAAAAATTGTTTGTATTATTTTTTTTTAAGTGCCCCGTCTTACAGATAAATAAAAAATTGCATTTATAAGCCAAAAATAATGTGTCATTAAAAAAACACAAAAATGAAAAATAATGACCAAAAAACTTAAAAAAAAAACATTAAAACATTAAACATTAATTTTAGTTTTTGTCAAAAAAAACAGTTTTGACTGGCACGTTTTTGGGGTATTTGTCGATAAAATTGACAAAATAACATCGCCTTAAATTATCGCTAGTCCTATCCCAAACATACTGTATAAATACATACTTATTTTATTATTATATCTCATTTTTTTTTACTTGAGAGCAAAATAAAGGGTGTAGGTGGAACTAGAGACAGACAATTTTTAAGTCTTATACATTGTTGTAGAGAACTCAACAGCCTTTAAGCCCTATTACGTGCATACGTTGCGTGTTAAACAAAACGTTGTAATTTGACTCCCATTTATAGCTCGCTTACGGGTGCACTTTAGTAATGATTACGAGAATTAAATAATACGCTGTAGTTAAAATTAGAAGAATTTATGACCGAATATACGAATAATTTTGCTTCATTTTAATTTTTTTATTGCAATAACTCTGATCAAATTATCAAGGGTCGAGTCATCAAAATCAAAATCAAAATTACCTTTATTTGTTTAGACTAATTAAATTAGTAGGTACTTGCAAATCGTCAAATGCTCTTAAGGAGCCTATACATGTCTCATTCTTTTTTGCCCTACCAGCGCTTCGAGACAAACATTTGGCAAGTGCTGAGAAGAAGCGCCGCAACAAACTCAGTCACCACTGCATGCCGGTTTAAAAATATATCTTTTTCACCCAACGTCAAAAATAGATCAAGTCGTAACCTGAAAATATTTTAGGACTGGATTCAAAAAAAAAGGTTAGGGTATAGCAAAGGGGGTGCAGGACCGGTAAAAATATTCTATTTAATCATTTTAAATCGATTGAAGTACCATCATCATCATCATCATCATCATTGCAGCCATAGGACGTCCACTGCTAAACATAGGCCTCCCTAATGCTTTCCACGTTGATCGATTGGTAGCGCCCAGCGTCCAGCGCTTCCCTGCTACCTTTACGATGTCGTCGGTCCACCTTGTAGGTGTACCAACATAAACGTAATCTACACAGCATATTAAAACAGCCCAAGTGGCCAACACCATAACCGTGACCTGCGATCTCTATTTAAACGAGATCATAATCTTTACTACAAACAATCCGATTACTCCGACTCTCAGGTCAAGTTCAGCCGAGCAAGAAAACGGCGCCCGAGTCAGGGCCACTCATCTTCTGAATGGAAGTCGTAATGTTGCGACATTAAACTGTCTACAGATGGATAACTTTGATATTGCGTGGATTATTTAATTGTGATGCTCTATAAGCTGTTGTAGGCAACATTCAACGTAAAATATTGTGCTGTTTATTATGTTTGAACATTTACGCTTTTGTTTAATAGTGTCTGTCTAAAGTTGCACGACATTTTTAGTATTTTAAGATATGCAATTAGTTGCCTGAAAAGTAGAAAGAGTGTAGGCATTACTTTTCTTATAAAAATAATTTATTGTTTACAAATACAAATAGTTTTTGAAAAATTTGTGATAAAAAACATAACCCTCCTTCTGGCGTAGTCGGGCATGACAGGACAAACAACATTAATCTAATTATCATCTGGCGTCTTTGTAGTTGTCATCGTTTCAGCAGAATGACGGCCACTGCTGGACAAAAGGATTTTCACTAAGACCGGTCCTGCGCCGCCCGCATCCAGGCACCTTCCGCTTTGTAGTCGTAAAATCTAAATATTCACCCTCTTACCAAAAATTATACGCTCGATGAACAGTATAACTTGATGACTTGATTGATAAGCAATGGTAAGCAATACTGTTTCGCAGTGGCAAGCAAGAATGCGCGAGACGCGGCTGGCAATGTCGAGGTTGAAAAAAAAAAGTTTCGTGAAACCAATTTCGGGAAACTAGCGACATGCTTAGATGGACATTTGTCCCTAGTCAAACAAAGTCTGCTTCAGTTGTCTTCATAATAATTGGTGATGACTAACACAAGCAGTTTATCGGGATAAAAAATAATAATTGCAATATCTAAATTACAACAATTAACTCAATTAAGTAGTTTTAAACATGTCGAGACACGCACGCATTTAGTACGCCAAGTCAGAATATTAAGCAGAGGCGTAAAGACGCTCGGCTGGGTTTTGAAAGTGAAACCTGACCGGTAATCAAAAATGGGAAGGCTTTAAAAGTAGATCACCTCGCTACCTTGCAGCCATGGTTCCCATAAGGATTCATGACATTGACAAAAAGGCTGCAATGGTTTTATACGAACAAAAAGTTTGCATGCATGAACATTATGTTAGTATTGGTCGGTAAAAAGATACTTGATTTATGAATTTTTGTATTTGTCAAAACAAAAGAGCAACAAAATTTATTTTCTTTCATAAATAAAAAATAAAAAGTATGTTGGTAAACCTCTTTGTTAGTTTCCAACAAGGCATAGTAGGTACACACACACACAGTTTACAAGGTTTGCTTAATTTTGGTCTTATAGTGCTAGTACTTATACTAATACTTAATAATAAAACATGTATGTTTTATCCAGATAATGTTATCTGAAATACTAATAATTTCAGTCACACTTATGTACCTACATTGAGTTCTAGTTTTTGATTTGACCTTATTAACTAAGCATGAGTCACTATGATTATTACTGTTATGTAATAATGTTTGAAAGCACGTCACTATTGAATCATTAATTAGCACTTGAAAACACAAAGTCGATCTTTGATGCAAAAATTGAGAAAACGCTACTTTAGAAATTGATGTTGCATATGTTTGATTATGCTTGAATATACTTTGCATACTCGAGTTTTTTTATGAATGAAACTACATTATTTTAAAAGGCAATAAACATGAAAATTAGACAGCTTCTTTTAAATTACAAAACGTTTTTTGACGGGAGAGAATGGGTTTTCCTCTCTTTGTTTTATTGTTATTTTGGGCTCTTTTATTTACTAAAATAAAAGAAAGGCTCGATTAATCTGAACCCCACTTTACACTTGAGTGAATATCGGAGGGTGTTACGCAAGGTGTCCAATTAGGACCACTCAAATTACACATGAACCAGATTTTCAGTTTGTGAATGAAAAAAGTGCTCTTTTTACTTTTCAAGGCGAGTAACCCAAATTGTATCAAACCAGTTTTGGAGAGTTGTTTTTAATGTATAAAGGCAAGAGGTCCCGGTGAGTGAGGCACCAGACTTGTGTCCGAAGTTGTGGGAAAAGCAACAATATGGCTGCCAAGGTAAATTAATAAAAAAACAAGGAAGATACTTTCTTAAGAAATTCCTTAGCATTTAATACAACTTCTAAGTTTACACTTTGAAATTTGAAATATTTATTAATTTAATTTTTTTCTTTAATAGTTTCAAATTATAGTTCGCTATCATTTATTGAAAAAAAAAAAGTAATTTTAGATTTTATCTCTATAGCGTCTAAATAAAATAACCTAAATAAAAAAAATAAGCCTTATGAATAAAAAAATGAATTAATAAGGCCTTTTTACCTTATTAATTCAGTTGCGTTAATTACATTATCATCAGCATTATGACGGGCGTTAAAAGATTAACTATTATTATTTTCAACAGGTTCTGTGCTTCCTCGCCCTCGCGGCGGCTGCCTCTTGCCAGGACTACCACCACCACGACTACCACCATCAATACAAGACGGTCATCCAACACGAAGCACCCAAGAAAATTGAGGTGCATCACCCCGTCCATACAATCTCATACAAGGTAAGTTTACACAGACCAACAAAGTTAATTTAGCTCCTACTACTAAACCAATCGATCAACGTGGAAAGCATTTTGGGAGGCCTATGTTCAGCAGTGGACGTCCTGTGGCTGAGATGATGATGAAAGTAATGAACTACGAGTAAGTGTCTACTTAGGTAGGTACTACAGTGTTGCTCTGAGTCGTACCTATTCAATTTTTCGTTATCACATTGACTGCAATAGACAAATAGGTTGTCAATCTAGTTCTATACCTATTTTTGACAAAACCATGTTGATGTGGTTACAAGAAAGGCTCAAAATGGAATAGCATCATAAACGAATGTTTCGAACAACTTAGCACAATAAGACAGAATACTGTTTAAGATGAATTTCAGTGTAGCTATACCTAGTCTTAAAATGAACCTGAGAGAAGGATTATATTTCTTACACGGCTATCTTTGATCCCAAGTACTTACTTGAAGGAGGTCACATCCATTGTTCAAAAATCTAATATTTCAATAACTTCTAGGCTGTCCCAGTCCACACAGTCCACGTGACTCAACAGAAGCACGAAGCTCCTAACCACTACTTCGTGCCTGCGCAGCCTGCCCCAGTTCACGAGATCCTGGCTCCAGTTCATGAGCTNGATCATTTACTTGAATGGCGCGTCAATTTTTAAGAGAAAATATTGATGCACTCACTTCAATCATCAATTACACACAACTGAAAAGAATAACTGTCAATTTTTATTCCTAGAAGCATAGACCATATCTATTGGCTACGACTTGCATCAATTAGAGCACTGCATCTTTTCACGTGTTAATGTATAGAGCCAAATTAAAACACACAAAAAAGTGGTACCATATGGGACCGCTAGTCTATAATGGGTTAACAGAAAAAAATTACGTCTCACGTTAAGGGGTGTTGAATCAACACTGTTGATGAAGTACGTATGACGTGTGGCTAAGGATGGAAGGGTTTTTCGTGACGATATAATTTCAATATCTAATATTTATAAGTTTACTAGCTAACCTAAGTTTAGTTTAAATTGTTCTCTCTCATCACTATCATTGTAATACCCAATAAACCATTAACGGGTTATTCAGTTTTAAATTCAATGAATAAAAAGAAAAGACCTATTGAATAAATATGCAACAAAGAATTTGAATTTGAATAAATTTTTGCAGAAGTTGAAATGGTTTTTGAAGAGTTGGGTTTTCAGAAAGAAGGTTTTCAATAAGTTCGTTTTATTTATTCAAAATAATTCTTGCTGTCATAACAGTTCAAGAAAATAAATAAGAAAATAAATTAATTAAATGTGTGACTCGAGGAAACTAAAACGAACTAAAAATTACTATGAAAATCCAAATTGACATTAAATATCCGACAAAAATATAAAGCTCTCGAATACGAGTAGTAATCCTAGCTACCTTATAAGGATATATCGGATATAATAAGAAAGATAGAATGAATTACATTGATCAACTATGTATTTACTAAATGTTAGGTAGATAGGTAAGTACACCTTCTTATTATTTTAAGAAGATTTAGAATATGTCAGCAGGGGCTGATTTGTGATTTGCATGTTGAGTTTTTCCCTTGAAAGTTGTTGTGATTTATTAGTGAATAAGAGTTAGGTATTTTATTAATTGACAAAATTACGTTTGATGTGTAAGGAGTTTATAAATGAAAATTCAAAGTAATTACAAATAATATAACATTTATTACGTATACAAACAGGGTAACAAAGAAATGTAACTATTTTTATCCTTTTTAGTGGTGATGATGATGTTCGGGGACCAGATGATGGGTGCTGTGCTTCACAGTGGCGTGGAAACTAAAAGAAAGAAAATATATTATTATTAACTGGTGAAAAAGACAAAATTAAGAATAATTGTTAGTAAGGACTAAAATATCATCACAGTGTATTTTATTTGGTGTTATTTTATTAAAATTGTATGGTCTTAATGGCTGATAATATTTTCATGTTACAGTCGTTATGACATTGGATGCCTACCCGGTGTGCTTGTCGCTGTGGTAGTCGACGTGCCTTTCAGAGCCGTCGGGCTCGTGCAGGGAGTAGAAGCCCTTCACGTCGTCACCATCGCGGTGCTCGTGCTGGGTCTTGTGGTCGCCGGTGTGCTTGTCCTCCACTTTGTACTCGAACTCATATTTAGGGTAAGCCTGATGAAGGGTATTTAAGTTAATTTAAGTAATGAGAATTTCAAGATATTGCTCCTAAGATTTTATAGAAACCTGGCACTTACATAATAATCATAATGATGTTCATGACCGTGACCGTGTCCGTGACCATGTTCATCTCCATGTAAGTGAACACTGACTTTCTCGGGTTTGCCGTCGTGTCGGGAGATGTGCTGCGACGAGAAGCCATGGCCATGTTCGTGGCCGTGATGTTCATGGCCGTGGTGTTCAAGACCATGGTGTTCATGGCCATAGCCATGTTCAAACTGGGCAGAGGCTACAGCTGCCAGAGCAGCAAAGCATAGAACCTGTTTTGAATAAAAAGAAACATAATAATATCTTTGTGATACTGAATAATTATCCTTTTTAAATATTATTGTCAAAGATATTTACAACATTTTTACTTGATATTTTGGGATACTTTAGGTAGAATGGTCTTAAATTAACAATAACCGTTAGGTATATTTAAATGTTACCTTAGAAATCATTTTGTTTGGTTGTGTTATTGTTATCAAACCCAAAGGTGAACTGATACCATTTGGTACAAGCCCACGACTTTTATATTCACATCAGGGCTAACCGCGGTCATAATAATCTATATTTAATCTAAATTATTGGCAGTAAAAAAATAATGTGCGAAGTTTTAGTATGCAATACTGTAATCGTTTCGTAAAGGCGTTTGCTCTACATGCGTTCGTTCGGCAACGCGACAACCATCTAGAGAAAGGTTCAATTAACAATTGGAATTTGATTTCAGCCTTCCGTGAAACAATATCTGTTATTGTAATAGTTATTGTCTTTTAATTCATGGAAGTTTCTTTAATTTGGTCGACGCCTCCTTCAAAGTTGATCTTATTTTGTCTTATTTTGATCATAAATTAATTTGAACGTTTTTAAAATGAAATTAATTATTTTGTTTCAGACGTATTATAGAAGGAGGTAAAGCAGTATCTTAAGAAGCAAATTGAATTCCCAGCGTCGCAATGATCCAAGGGATAATTAATATCCTTGGCGTATCCAAGTTGAGGAGAACAGCAGCAGTTGGTAGCAGTACGATTCTATTACGTTACAATAAAACAAGATCAAAAAAGTAGGTCTGCTAAAAAATATTTTTTTCGTCCTTAACTAACAGCTTATCATAGACACTGGACTAACACTAGAGTATTTTCACGAACATTTCTATGAACCGTCTTGTGAATGGTACAATACTAGTAAAATGTCAGTTTCCAAAGCGCGTTTGGTTCGTGAAAGGGTGATACACCATATCATGGCTCATTGTTTTGTTATAAGTAAATGCTCTAGGTTTTTGTTTTGGTCATCTATAATATTTTTTTAATAGTAAATGTGTTCATTAAAGCATGTCGAACTGTCGAACTAATTATTTAGCCACTTTAACTCTGACAGTTGAAAAGGCACGTAACTAGTCACGTAGGCAGTAATTTACTATTCGGACTCCGTTAATTCTTTATATTTTATGTCATTAGCTATAATTTTATCCTTGTTATAACTTTTCTCGAGCACTACCATAGATGCACGTTTTAAAATTTGTTTAGTTTCCAGTTACAGGTAATGTTGATTTATAAAAACCTAGTTTTTCATACTGAATTGTTTTCCAGATATTTAAATAGAAAATAAAAATGGTTAACAATAACTTAGGCTGCTTGTACACGCTAAGAAAAGTCGCCGGGCCTTCGCAAGAATTAGTGTCGTTTCTACATAATACATGAACCGTGTACATTGCTCCAGCACTGACCAAGAAATAATTGAAGGGGTGAGTGGACAAAGGTCTTAACTAACAAAATGAGTTATGTGTGTTTGAAAATGTTAATCTGCTCATACCACATTTGAATCCTGAAATGTATGAATGCTTGTCAGATTTTAACACCTTTGTTGAGGTTTGACACGTAACAAAATTGCGTGTTTTGAGCTCATTAGTCGTATTTATCATCACTTAACATAGGTTATGTTCATGCAAAAAAGTCGATTCCTCAGTTTTGTCAGATAACACCTTTGTCTACTCACCCCTTCAATTCTTGTCTGCGTTAGATACGACATGCGGATGACGCGCACTGTGTGACAATTTTCGTAGCTAGGTTCGACAAAATTCTTGTCTTACCTTGTCTTTGGCAGACACGGTGAAATTTCTTAGCGTGTACAAGAAGGCTTACTCAGATAATGTAATGTAAGAGATATTTAAGGTACTATACACAATTAGCCAATTAGTTAGAAATTACTAAAATAACATTAGAAAAAAATAATATCTTGTCTTTCTTAATGATACCTACCTTTTTTATAGATGCTCTGAATACTTCATATTTTTTGTTTTATTTAAATATTGTTGCTCCACTTTGTAAAATGTATTAGACGAGTAGGTTTCTTTTCTTAATAAGTATTAATTGTTAATGTCAATGCAGCAAAATTATTTGTTGGCTTAAATATATTGAACTGTTTAACTGCATGAAAACAAGCATCAATCAGAAGTTTTTGCGATTAAATAAATAATAATCAATTAAATTATTTTATTTTGTGTATTTGTTTCTTATTTAATGTGGTGTACCTACTTATTCTTCTTCGAGCTACACTCTTGCCAAAGCGATCGTGGTCGTCACACCTGGTTTGGTGGCAAGCTTCACAATTCGCCATTCCTCCCGCGTTGCAGCTTTTCATGTGCACTCGTGGAGTGGACCATGGAGTGTGGTTTTGACCTGATCAGTCCAGCTCATGGGTGTCCTGTCGTACGCTCTTGTGGTATGCAATAAGGTGTTTATCTATCTTAATACTAATTTAAGTAAATAATGTTTATAGCATTTATAAAGTGAAATTAAAAGAAAATATAAAGCATAAAGGTATTTATTGTATCACATTTTTTTACAGAATATAAAACATATCAAAAGTAACAGGTAACAATCACAGGTAACAGGTAGGAACCAAAGGTAACATTATCGTGTTCAATAATGGTGCTTGTGGTGGGGCACGATGTGGTGGGTGCTGTGCTTGACGTCGGCATGGAAGCTGAAAAAGAAGAAGATACATTTTAATAAGTCTTCAGATAATATGGAGATAATAATGAGTACGCGTATAAGGCTGCGACTAGCGAAAATAACCCAGGAAATGATTTTTAAACAATTTTAAAATGCTAAAACTAATTCGAAAAATACGTGTAAGGACTGTCCAGATTTAGAGGACTGCAGCGCTGTAAGATCTGTGTTTACTATTTAGAAAACAAACACATTACAAGTTACTTGAAGAATAATTTAAAATATAACTAGTATCAGAAATAATAAAAGACTAAATAATGGTAACATTGGCGAAAATATATGCCTTGATTAAATACCTAATTACTATCGACCTACTATTAACTATTTAGGTACGCGGACTACCCACCGGGCAGCATGGAAAGCGTTGGGGAAGGCCTGTGTTCAGTGGACGTCCTATGGCTGAGGTGATGATGATATTGTTGACTATTAACTACTGTAAAGTCCTCATACTAATGGAAAAATATCCAACATAATGAAGTCTTACCCAGTGTGCTTGTCGCCATGGTAGTGGACGTGTCTGATGGAACCATCAGGCTCGTGCAGGGAGTAGAAGCCCTTCACGACGTCTCCGTCGCGGGACTCGTGCTGGGTCTTGTGGTCGCCGGTGTGCGGGTCTTCTACTTTGTATTCGAACTCGTATTTCGGGTAAGCCTGTGAAGTAATTTTATATTCAGAGCCGTTATACCTTATGTTTATTATAGCCCAAAAGATGATGTGTTGGGTTGTGATGTATTATTGTTTGTGTATTACAAATTCAAGCTTTATTTTTTCCTTCTTGCTGTTATTTTTGAGACCTTGAGACCTTGTCTTTATCGATTAAATAATTCACTCATAGTAATTGAAGGAAAAGATGGATTGGACTTAGTGGCGTCCCTTGTGGGCTTGTGGGAGATCCATATTGTCAACCATCTACCGTATAATAACAATTCCTAAAATAATCGGTTGAATCGGTTAATCAACAATTACAATAACTTACATAGTAGTCATAGTGGTGGCCGTGTCCGTGATCATGTCCGTGTCCGTGTCCGTGAACGGCCACAGGGTGCGCATGGCCATCGTGTCTCGAGATATACTGGGAAGAGAACCCGTGGCCGTGGTACGCAGCCACAACGGAAGCGAAAGCAACGATGCAGATGACCTGGAAAAAATTGGTGAACATTTTACATTAGTAGAAGGAACAAATAGTTGAAAAATGTTAGATGACAAAGTTGATTCAAAACAAGAAAATTCCAAAATTGATATTGTCACAATTAGAGTTGTTGTTGACACTTGTCTTGAACTTTTTAACATCGTAAGTCATCAAAACTTTTATTCAACAAATCTTTATTATTAAAATACTACCTTAGAGAACATTTTGTATTGTTGTGCTAATGTTTCTAACAACAGCAGGAAACTGATACATTGGCTAAAAATTCACGTCTTTTATATCGATAACAAGGGCAGCCAAGGTAAAATTTGATTTCACTTGCAAGTAGATATGGCAGTTAAAATTATTCACGAGCTTAGAATGCAGTGTTTGCAACAATTTCGTAAAACAATTTTGTTCTACATGCTTGAGTGCAATTACAATGCGGTGTGACAAAAATCTGATATTAGTTTATTGCATGTTAAGCGCCAATATTTGATAAAACACTTTATCTAGCTGATCTTTCTGAAAGTTAGTTTTTATCTTTTTATATTGTTATTTTAATTTCCTCTCAAAACGTTTATTGCATGTTGTTTAGTGAAACTAATTACTAGTTTGCACAACTAATGTGCTATATTTAAATATTGCATTTAGGTTTTTAAACGAGGCTTGCGATGGACACAATCAGTGGACAGTCATACTGGATGTCGTCGTTGTACTTGCACACGAAGATCTTAGTGATATACTTACTAATTTACTTATTATTCATGAAATTATAGCATGATAACCAGAATATCAGTGTGGAGACATAATAATTAGGGTATCATTGGTAGGTACCTTTTGCGTGCGGACCCTAAAAACAATCCAAGCACTACACTCTCGCATAGAGGGTTCCGTGCATCTTCATCACATGACACTATTTCCTTTTCATGATAAATTACTTGTTTTCCCTAATTTTATTGTGAAGATTTAGTAAAATAATTTATTTTCCTCTTCTTTAAAAACAGTGGGTGAAAGTGAGTTTTTCCGTTATTTAAGTATTTTAAACCGCAAAGCTTCGTTTTCATATAAGTTACTAGATGTGCCCGTGACTTCATACGTGTGAAAACATAGGATTTTCATTACAAACTTCCAACCCTCGTTTTACCTTCTTAGATTCGTAAAATCCTTCTTAGTGGTAGTGTAGTCCTTCTACATCCTATAAGGACCTTACCTGCCCATGTTTGTTGGTGTTATATTTTCTGAAATTTCGTGATTAATCAGTGAGTGGTATTTCGCTTTTGTATATGTAGATTTATTAATATTTCTTTGGAATATTATTGTGGCTTGCTCTTTCATTTCTTTCTCCTCCCTATTTTTTGGATCACCTTAAAATCTCTGCGTCCAATTTCAAATTTATCTACTGAGGAGTTTAAAATTATAAAGCCGTTTTAATAGGCTTGTACGGAATCCTAAAATCGATCAGCGATGCTATCACTTTTTGTAAGCTTTGCCGAGTATCGTTGAAGACGTGCTCATGGTTCACTAAATTTAGGCTATGGGGCCAATAACAATGATCTATTGGTTGTTTTCCATTTATTTTAACCATAAATACCACAATGCTACTGTTTGTTACTGCTAATGCATGCGTGTGTATAACTGTCGTTTCAGTTTTATTAGCATGTGGTTCTAGTAGGTATTTTTCCTCTAAGGGTCAATTGATCCGAAATAAACTCATACAATTGTCTTAAAATGGTTAAACATGAGCAAAATGTGTTATTCGAATAAAGTTATTTCGATTTTGAGTATTTTTTCCAAGTCTATTTCAGCCATAGTTATCTTTGACTATTTTTAATTGCAGATCAAAAAACTAACCTTAAGTAGTAAGTATCTGTTTCGTTTGTGTATGTTTAAAGTTTGAACTTACTTCTCCCATGCTGGAGTGTTAGGCTATACCTACGTTAAAATTTGCGTTATGTTGGTATCGAAAATAAATAGTATGAGTTGTACGTGTGGAAACCCGCTTCACGCATCCGCACCACACTGTTGCTCTTACTATTTTTACCTGACTACGGCAAAGCAAAAGGAGGGTTATTCAATTGGTACAGATGTAGACACGCATGTGTGCGCCCGCAGCAGTCTTACACCCGTATTCACAAACGATGCTTGCTTAAGTGAAGCAGCCAATTGAACGCACAGCGTAGAATAGAGCTCTGTGACTGGTTCGTGTGTTACCCTGTGTGTCCACGCGCACTGTGAAAGCTCATAGTAATGTTTGTGAATATGGACGTTAGTGTAAACCCTTAGTATTAGAAGCATAATATCTAACTGAGTTTCTTCCGCCACTTCTTCTCAGCACCAGCCCATATGTAGATGTAGTCCCGAAGTGGTGGTAGGACAAGCTACATTTGGGAAGTGTATATGTCACCGTAAAATTGTGAATTCCGTCAGATTATAATCTGACGTAGTTAAATTACATCTAACCTAACCTAACCCACTGTTAGTTTACAATCTAACGCGTTATATTATGAACTGACAGAGTTCACAATTTCACGTTGACATAATTATACAAACACACTGGAAAGGGCCTAAGTACTGAATCAATTATTTCATTTGATTTTGCATCTAACCAACCTGATAACGTTGTAAAGGATGGCCATTTTTTTTAATTATCTTAGTTGTCAATTAATTGTCAAAAAAAATTCATAGTTCGAAGATTACATTTAAAGATATAGGTCCGAATTTAATGAAAACACGTTTAATTTTTCATTACATAATTTATATTATTTTATTGACGTTAAGTACTTACTTTACGTCAAAAAAACATATATGCCGAACTTACTATGCCAATATTCGTGGGTTAGTGGTATACGGGCTGGAAGACGTAGCGTGGGCAGGCCTCCTACTAGGTGGACCGACGATCCTGGTAAAGGTCGCGGGAAGAGCCTGGATGCGGGCAGCGCAGGACCGTGCATTGTGGAAAACCTTGGAGGAGGCCTTTGTCCAGCAGTGGACGTCATTTGGCTGAAACGAACGAACGAACGAACGATTCGTGGGTTAAAACCCCGCAGCATATCACATTTCTGTTCATAAACTTACAATTTGTTTGTATTTTTATTATTATGTGGTATCGCTCTGAGTGCGAAATGTGCTTCTCTTGGAGCTGTCTGGTACACGGAAAAAAATACCTTGTAGTGATTACTATATATTCTTAATTCTGGTAAACCTGTGTAACAAACACAAATTCTCGTTTTTCTGATTTTGTGATGATTACAAGAATGTTTAATACTACTAGTTTCTAGTTCTGGGACATTTTTGTAAATTACTAATCGTTCTAGTAGTCTCGTAACTCAAATTTTCTTTCAGTGTACCCATACGCCTCCATACGCATAGTTCAAGCTTTGCTTAGTTTGGGATTAAATGGCACAGTCTATGGTAGTGTCCAAGTTTAATTCAGGGCTGTGGGTGGAATAATACTTATGTTTTTTTCTAAAAGGTGAAAAAAATTTATTATTATTGAAAGGGGACGTTTCGCACGAATGTGCGAACTTCCCCTTTCAATAATAATTTTTTTTAGTAGGCGTTACGCCCGGATTTTTCAAAAGTATTAAAAACGGGTGCGAATCGACCTCTTTGAGAACTAGTAATCGCATACTACTAGTTCAAAAAAGAGTCGATTCGCACGCGATTTTAATACGTTTAATACATCCGGGCGAAACGCCTACTAAAAAAAAAATTATTATTGAAAGGGGACGTTTCGCACGTTCGTGCGAAACTACTACTAACCCGTCATTTCTCATCATTTCTTTTCCAAACAATTCTAAAAAATGCTATTCTGTAAGAATTAAAAATATTCAGTGAGTTTTATTTTAAACTTTCCACAAAAAGCTTGAACGTGTGTGGAACACAAATTTTTTATACCAGTATCAATTAATATGGAATGGAAATGTCTTTATTGTAATTGTGGTTACGGGGATATTTTTTATCATTGAGATGAATCGAGAAAACAGATAATAATATTAACAAAATAAAACAGTCAACTTTAAAAATAGGTGAAAAAGTGTATTTGGTAGAAAAGTAACAACATCACAGTCCAACAAACGATCACAGTATGACTAAGGTCTCAGGTCTTCAGTGGTGGTGCTTGGGCACGACATGGTGGGTGCTGTGTTTCACATCGGCGTGGAATCTGGAAAAATTAAAGACATTTTATTAGTTTCTATAATATCCGCCGAAATTAACTTAATCCTTCAAGCCCCGCGAATCTAGACACAATAGATAATCAATTGTTATGGCATTAATGTATGCCGTCTGGGACTTTAAAGGTTAAGGATTAGTTAGGGGTCTGTCAGGTAGGCAATTTGTAAATTAATGTTCATTTAATACAAACTATTCGCAGTCAAAAATATTAACGCCCGTATTCACAAACATTACTATGATGTATCACAGTGCGCGTGGAGCTCTATTCAGTGCTGTGCGTTCGATTTTGATGCTTCACATAAGCAAGCATCGTTTGTGAATACGGGCGTAATTACGAGTATATTGGAAGATTAGTTCAATTCGAATTCAATCTGAGTTCTGACGGACGCTGAATGAAGGCTATAAGTGATTATTTTATAGCATGTTACGCCTTGTTAATTTTTTAACTGCCGCGGTTACATAATTTAATTACTCGTAAACGTTTAACTATCCGTGTAGATTATCTGCATATCCGATTAAGGCCTAGTTTTTTTATTCGTAGTTAAAATAACTAATTGTTAAATTTTGCTACTAATGGTTAAATATTAACAAAATGTAAACTAATAGTTAAAAAATGTACTACAAGTCAAGCTATCCATTGTTCGAAAAACATTTTTTTCTGATATTTTTAACCACTTCACGTCAAATTTGACCATTGGTAATTTTAACTACGAATCAAAAAACCGGGCCTGTCAATAGGAGAACAACTACCTACTACGAATGCTATAAATCTTGAAACTTTTTACTGTTATTCGGCTTGGTAAGCCATGTATCAGACTTTCTTGTATTTATTTTCTACCTACCCAGAGTGCTTGTCAGCGTGGTAGGCGACGTGCCTGACTGAACCATCAGGCTCGTGCAGGGCGTAGTAGCCCTTGACGACGTCACCATCGCGGTGCACGCTAGAAAATCTCACAAATGGACTACAAAGGCATCAAACCTTCTTGTATTTATTAGCTACGTACCCGGAGTGCTTGTCAGCGTGGTAGGCGACGTGCCTGACTGAACCATCAGGCTCGTGCAGGGCGTAGTAGCCCTTGACGACGTCTCCATCGCGGTGCTCCTGCTGGCTCTTGTGGTCGCCGGTGTGAGGGTCCTCTACTTTGTATTCGAACTCGTATTTGGGATGAGTCTGAGGGTATTAAAACAATAAATTATTAACGGCAGTCTTTAAAGACTCATTGACAGATAGTGAATTGATTGAACGTTATCAAATACCGTTTTGGACAGCTTCGAAACGAAAAAAATATAAATGAATCGGTTCTAGCAATAAAGTTACTAATTTGATTAAATCGTTGACTAAGGGTCTCTACACATCAAGCCCGCTGGAATCTCAGTGGGTTGGTGTCGGCGGCTTTATTTCAGAAGAATCATATCAACGACTTGTATTTTCTATGGCATTCACCAACATGTCAAAAGTTGACGACTCGTGTCGATGAATATGATAAGTATCAACGTATCTAGATTATCCATGACTTACATAGTAGTCATAGTGCACTTCGTGGCCGTGGCCGTGTCCCACCGCCACCTTCTCGGCGGGGCCGTCGTGCTTGGAGATGTGCTGCGAGGAGAAGGCGTGACCGTGGCCAGCCACCACCGACGCTAGGGCGAGGATGCAAGCAACCTGGAAGATTATGTATGTATATATGGTAAAATTTATGTATGGTGTAAAGTTCAGAATAGTAATGAACTAAGTTAAAAATTTCTCTATCGAAGATGTTGTTGACACAGTATGTAGTTCGAAGAGCCTGACTCAAAAAATTTTGAAAAATCAAAAACACTGAGTTATGCTTTCAGCTCCCTGTTAAGTTTGATATGAGTCAGCTACTTCACGCTTAAAAAGATTTTTTACAGCTTCTTTTTCGAAGCTGCTTGAGATGTCACGATTCACAAACAAGCGCTCAATTGATCAATCCAAAATTTGAAGTATCGATTATCACTTTCCGATAGATCACAATAACGTCGATATCCATCATACTAAACCAACACAAACACTGTTTTAACGATTCACCAAGTATCAAAAAAGATACTTAAATTAAATAATATTACCTTGGAGATCATATTGATTAGTTGTTAATAGTTCAAAGTGGAACTGTAAACTGATGCCAACAGGTTGTAACCCCTGGCTTTTATACTTCGCACAAGGGTAGTCAAGGCAACGTTAGTTTCACTATAATAGTTAGCGGTGAACTCATTATGTTAAAACTCTTTTAGTATGCAGCGATTGATAGTTTCGCAAAGTAGGTTCTAGTACGAACAATAAGTATAACATTGCTAAAGTTTCATTATTAGCTACTGTCAGAATTACGCAAATTTCTCTGTGTAACTATTGACACAAATGCAACTAGACAAATCAATGAAATCAAATGTTCTTTATAAAAAATTAATCGTTTTAATTGTTTTATTTTTTGCCCTTAATAACTTACATGCAATCGTTTAATTTATAGTTCCTGTTTCATTAAGACCTAACTGATGCGTATAGGCGTAATTCGGGTTAAGGCTTTTATTTATAACTGGTTAAATTTTGACGAGACATAAAACGATAATTGGCGGCCATAAATATCCAGTTTGATTTAATATTACAGCGAAGCGAGAGTATTCCATTGTACCGATAGATATGGTATGTGAGTATAACAATCAAGTTGTTTGAAGTGTTGTACTAATTCGAAAGAGTATTGTTATTGGGATTTCCTCATGAATATACAGTGTGTTTGGGATAGGGCTAGCGATAATTTAAGGCGATGTTGTGATGTTAATTTTATCGACAAAAATGCCCCCATATATGTAGGCCCACCCCCCTCCTCTTAGAATGGGGGGGGGTTATTTTTTTATGTGACTCTACATAAAAATTGATTGTATTTCTTATGTGCCCGTCTTACAGATATTTGTAAATAAAAAAATTGCATTTGTAAGCCAATAATAATGTGTCATTAAAAATACAAAAATGAAAAATAATGACCAAAAAACTTCAAAAAACATTAATGAATTTTAGTTTTATCAAAAAACGTTTTTGGGGGCATTTTTTTCGATAAAATTGTCATAATAACATCGCCCTAAATTATCGCTAGCCCTATCCCAAACACACTGTATAAATACTTATTATTATTATATCTCTTTTTTTTACTTGAGAGCAAAATAAGGGGTGTAGGTGGGACAGAGACAGCCAATTCTTAAATCGTATACAATGTTGGTAAATAATATAATAGCCTTTAAGCCCTATTGCGTGCATACGTTGCGTGTTAAACAAAACGTTGTAATTTGACTCCTGTTTATAGCTCTGTAACCGGTGCACTTTAGTAATGATTACGAGAATTAAATAATAAAACTCATTAAAACTCATTTATTTCTGTAAATAGGCTCAAAAAAAGCACTTTTACACGTCCCAGTATTAACCCTACCACTGCTTCAGGACAATAAATGGGCCAGTGCTGAGAAGAAGCAGCGCAAGAAACTCAGTCACTATTGTCAGCCTCTTTTTCAAAGGTTTACATGCTTTAAAATGTAACTACAAAGTTATAAATATATAATAATACGCTGTAGTACTTAAATAATACAGCGTATATACGAATAATTTTGCTTCATTTTAATTTTCTTATTGCATGAATAACTTTCTGATCAAATTACCAATGGTCGAGTCATCTTTTTCATCAACGACAAATATAAATCAAGTCGTAACCTGTAATATTTTTAGACTGAATTTTTAAAAAAAGTTTAGGGTATAGCAAAGGGGGTGCAGGACTTAGCGACATCCGGACCGGTAAAAATATTCCATTTAATCATTTAAAATCGATTGATGTGTCATCGGCATATGCTGAGTAGAGTCCCATTGCGATGGGCATCGCTGTTGCAACAAGGTGGCACTGCTCAGTTCATTTATTATTTCCTTGTAATATTCATGTGCTATTTCTGTCTTTTTTCCATATAAGTACTTTCTTTGTTCTCTGAGTGATGTTCATCGTAAGAAATGTTTCTTTCTTTCTTTCTTTGATGTACCAACATATACGACTAATCTACACAGCATATTAAAACAGCCCAAGTCACCAACACCATAACCGTGACCTGCGATCTCTATTTAAACGAGATCATTATCTTTACTACAAACAATCCGATTACTCCGACTCTCAGGTCAAGTTCAGCCGAGCAAGAAAACGGCGCCCGAGTCAGGGCCACTCATCTTCTGAATGGAAGTCGTAATGTTGCGACATTAAACTGTCTACAGATGGATAACTTTGATATTGCGTGGATTATTTAATTGTGATGCTCTATAGGCTGTTGTAGGCAATAGGTATTCAACGTAAAATATGTTGTTTATTATGTTTAAACATTTACGCTTTTGTTTGTTACAAGTTGCACGACATTTGCAGTATGTTATGATATAGTTGCCTGAAAAGTAGAAAGAGTGTAGGCATGACTTTTCTCATAAATATAATTTATTGTTTACAAATACAAATAGTACTCGAAAAATTTGTGATAAAAAACATAACCCTCCTTCTGGCGTAGTGGGGCATGACAGGACAAACAACATTAAGCTAAATATCATCTGGCGTCTTTGTAGTTGTTATTGTTTCAGCCGAATGACGGCCACTGCTGGACAAAAGCCTCCCCCAAGGATTTTCACAAAGACCGGTTCTGCGCCGCTCGCATCCAGGCACCTTCCGCTTTGTAGTTGTAACATCTAAATACTCACCTTCTCACCAAAAATTATACGCTCGATGAACAGTATAACTTTTGTAAGTACCTAAGGGGGTTAATGTGCTGTTGATTATACAATCAAGCAATGGTAAGCAATATTGTTTCGCAGTAGCAAGCAAGAATGCGCGAGACGCGGCTGGCAATGTCGAGGTTGAAAAAACAAGTTTCGTGAAACCAATTTCGGGAAACTAGCGACATGCTTAGATGGACATTTGTCCCTAGTCAAACAAAGTCTGCTTCAGTCGTCTTCATAATAAATTAGTGATGACTAACACAAGCAGTTTATCGGGGTAATAAATTGCAATATCTAAAACAACAAATTAACTCAATTAAGTAGTTTTAAACATGTCGAGACACGCACGCATTTACTACGCCAAGTCAGAATATTAAGCAGAGGCGTAAAGACGCTCGGCTGGGTTTTGAAAGTGAAAACTGACCGGTAATCAAAAACGGGAAGGCTTTAAAAGTAGATCACCTCGCTACCTTGCAGCCATGGTTCCCATAAGGATTCATGACATTGACAAAGAGGCTATAATGGTTTTATACGAACAAAAAGTTTGCATGCATGAACATTATGTTAGTATTGGTCGGTAAAAAGATACTTTATTTATGAATTTTTGTAATTGCAAAAATTGAGAAAACGCTACTTTAGAAATTGATGTTGCATATGTTTGATTATGCTTGAATATACTTTGCATACTCGAGTTTTTTTATGAATGAAACTACATTATTTTAAAAGGCAATAAACATGAAAATTAGACAGCTTCTTTTAAATTACAAAACTTTTTTGACGGGAGAGAATGGGTTTTCCTCTCTTCGTTTTATTGTTATTTTGGGCTCTTTTATTTACTAAAATAAAAGAAAGGCTCGATTAATCTGAACCCCACTTAACACTCGAGTGAGTATCGGAGGGTGTTACGCAAGGTGTCCAATTAGGACCACTCAAATTACACATGAACCAGATTTTCAGTTTGTGAATGAAAAAAGTGATCTTTTTACTTTTCAAGGCGAGTAACCCAAATTGTATCAAACCAGTTTTGGAGAGTTGTTTTTAATGTATAAAGGCAAGAGGTCCTGGTGAGCGAGGCACCAGACTTGTGTCCGAAGTTGTGGGAAAAGCAACAATATGGCTGCCAAGGTAAATTAATAAAAAAAATAAGGAAGATACTTTCTTAAGAAGCAACAACATATAAATTGTAATGTGACATGCAATAAACGTTTTGAATTTGAATTTGAATAAGAAATTCCTTAGCATTTAATACAACTTGTGAGTTTTTACACTTTGAAAATCGAAATAGTTATTATTATTATTTCTTTAATAGCTACTAAAAATCGTAGTTGGCTATCAATTTATTGAAAAAAAAAAACTAATTAATTTAATGAATTCAGTTGCGTCAATGGTTATCATCAGCATTATGACGGGCGTTAAAAGATTAACTATTATTATTTTCAACAGGTTCTGTGCTTCCTCGCCCTCGCGGCGGCTGCCTCTTGCCAGGACTACCATCACCACGACTACCACCATCAATACAAGACGGTCATCCAACACGAAGCACCCAAGAAAATTGAGGTGCATCACCCTGTCCACACTATCTCATACAAGGTAAGTTTAAAATAAGTTAGGGTAAAATGCCAGTCATTGGACACTTAAGAAAGTTATTGGACAGTTATTTACTGAATTAAAAATAGCATTTCTATTTTAACAACTGAGAGATTCCGACCGATGGAGATAAAAGGGCGTTTTTTTTTAAGGAATATTCATTGTATTTGAAGGAATATTCATTTTAAGAAAATTCTAGGGTTGTTTTGTCCAATGACTGGCTGCGTCCAATGACTGTCGGTTTACCCTAATTAAAGTAATGAACTACGAGTTAGGGTGAGATGCACCACCTACCACGTACGTGTCAAACTCCATACAAAAACACCGGTTATCTTTAAAGTTACGGTCAAAGTTAGGTGGTGCAACTCAGCCTAAGTGTCTACTTAGGTACTACAGTGTTGCTCTGTGTGGTACCTACTCAATTTTTTGTTATCACATTGACTACGATAGACAAATAGGTTGTCAATCTAGTTCTATACCTATTTTTGACAAAACCATGTTGATGCGGTGACAAGAAAGGCTAAAAAATGGCGGTAGAGAGCGACGAATGTTTCGAACAACTTAGCACAACAAGACATAGTGCTGATTAAGATGAATTTCATTGTAGCTAGTCTTAAAATGAACCTGGGAGAAGGATTATATTTCTTACGCGGCTATCTTTGATCCCAAATACTTACTTGAAGGAGGTCACATCAATTGATCATAAAAACTAATAATTCAATAACTTCTAGGCTGTCCCAGTCCACACAGTCCACGTGACTCAACAGAAGCACGAAGCTCCTAACCACTACTTCGTGCCTGCGCAGCCTGCCCCTGTTCACGAGATCCTGGCTCCAGTCCATGAGCTTCACGCCCCTGTAGTCCATCACGCACCAGCTCCAGTTTATCACGCTCCTGTAGTGCATCACGCTCCTGCTCCAGTTCATCACGAAGAGCCAAAGCACAAGGAATCTCACCATGAAGAGGATTACTACGTAAGTCAAACTTGATATTTAGTTTTTAGTTCTTACTATGGTATAGCAGCCAAAGATAGGTGTAGGGTTTGTGCTTCCTTATAAATAGCACACTTTTCAGTATTATTGTTTATACATCAGAATAGCATATAGGCTGTAATATAAGGCTAGGCTGTAACGATACAAATAAACGTGGCAAAGCCGCAGGCAATAGTTAGTTAAAATACAATTATAGTAAAAAAAAAAATGAATGAACTGATTGGTTCTGCCCATGTTCTTCGCTAATATTGTTCACTCAAAAATATTTTCTTGAGTTTTACGAATTGCAACAACCGTGGTAATTAGGTATATCTTCGAAAAAAAAATTATTTTCACTTATTCTAATTATAACTATGACACGTGTGAAAAACAAACATTTGACTCACCCAATTCCAGCTCACTAACAATCTTCTTTTCCAGGCTCACCCCAAGTACACTTACGAGTACAAAGTGGAGGATCCTCACACCGGCGACAACAAGTTTCAACATGAGACCCGCGACGGAGACGTCGTGAAGGGCGTCTACAGCCTGCACGACGCCGACGGATCTATCCGCACCGTCGAGTACTCCTCCGACAAGAAGTCTGGGTAAGTAGAGGAGACCGAGGTTAATTGTAACCGAGGAGTCTGACGGGCGATGGGACAGCAAAGTTCTGGAGTGAAGGCCACGAATCGGAAAGCGCAACGTAGGACGTCCCCCACAAGATGGGCCACAAGGTCATAAAGGTAGCAGGAAGGCATCTGATGAAGGCCGCCACCAACCAGCCATTGTGCAAATCATCGGGGAGACCTATTATGTTCAGCAGTGGACGTCTTATGGCTGAAATGTTGATGATTATGAGTATTGATTGATACATTGTCGATTTTTGGGAACCTATTGACATCAGGGAGCTCGCAACAGCGTGCATTTGTTAGCTCGAATCTTGAACTAAAAACGCGCACTGTTACGAGCAAGCTAGTAGTTAATAAGTTCAAATAATCGACAATGTCACAACTCTCATCTCTTACAACTCACCTTGGTCTCCCCTACGCGAAACTAATACAAATTAGACTTAGAAAGCTAGAGGATATTAATCTTTGCCTACGTGAGAAAGGCAGATCAAGATACTGTAGGCTAGACGCGATCTGGACACCATATTTTTGGTTTGATGCGAAATTTATTCTAACAATCAGTATTTGTATGGTAATGCTACTTGTTTATACCGCGAGAGTTGATAATTAGAATGTTAACTTTAACTGTAGGTTAAAACCTGTCAGAATAAAATTTTATTAAAAAAAAGCCTTCTTCAAAAACTGTTAGATGTTTATTGTAGAAGTAGGAAGGTATTTTTTAAATTGGCTTTCTCGCTAAGTCATTCACATTAGCACCAAAAAGATACTGTACCTACATGACCTACGTAATGAGACGTAATTCATTAGTTTGGCAAGAGATTTTAATATCTCTCAGTGTTTAACAAACTGAAATAATGTTCTTTCGTATGTTTAGAATATTACAACTGCCCACTAATCTTATACATTTGTTCTGTTACAGATTCAACGCTAACGTCAAGACTACAACGAAGCACGTCCAGCCTCAACACCATGAGTACCACCACTAAATTTTAGACTCTACCTAATTAAGCTATGTGTTCATTAGTTTTAAGATGTTAATATAATTTTATTCAATCATAAAACAATTTTCTTAATTCCTTATTTACCTCTATTTAAAGTTTTCACTTTATCGAGTCAATGGTAGCTTCAGCACTAACTTTACATAGTTTGGGACAAGAAGGCACTGATATTAAAAAATCAAATACATACCTGTTTATAAAAAGTCAAAAATTGTTCCAACATTATTTTAACTCTACCACTGCCTCGCAATAATAAATGGACCAGTTGCAGTGCTGAGAAAAGGTAGCCCAAGAAACTTATCTTTATAGAACCACGTATAAATAACTATGACGAGGATAAATTAATATCAATCGTTAAGAGACCATGATTGATTAAAGTCATTACTCACATCTTAAGCTTCTTTCTCTACAAACTACATGATCTACCCATCATCTCGTAAGATTTTATAAATGTAGATCAATGAATAATTTATTAAAATCATGCGTGTTTTATGATTTACTATATGTATATGATACCTTAACCGATTGATTAGTTGCATAACAAAGTTCCCAGTTACTTGCCTAATCTTGATTTTAGATGAACGAAGGAAATCCGTTTCCGTGACAGTAGAAAGTTATCGGGTTGCATACTAATATAGTCCTTTCAGTGCACGTCGTAAGTATGTTAAAGTAGGCTTACTTTAACATACTTACGTACGACGACTTATTTATACCATTACTTACTGACCCACACGAATGAATATCTTAACAAGAAATTCAAGAGTTCTAGGGAACCGAAATAGAGATGCGAACTCGGGCCCGGTGCCCTTTTCGTCACCCTCTGGGCCCGGGTCAGCGAGGAATGCAACTGAGCCCGGCCGGGTTAAAAACATACCGGGTTGCAATCTCTAATTGGAATTCCCGGGCCCGGTGGGTGCTTAAAAGGGCGCCGGGCCCGTGCGTTTGCAATCTCTAAACCGAAGATCATTAAAAATATTGCATTAAAATCGCATATTTCCAAATATACAATCACCGATGCAGACTCACTTACAGCGACTCATATTGACACAATTAATGCATAATTTGGTGGTTGCGACACAGAGTTCACGGCTTGCGAGAAACGGCAATGCGTATTGTGTCAACTTTACTCTGGTTTTAGTACAAAAAGTTTATCGAATGCGGCATTGTACTCGATTTACATAGAACTAAATCAGGGACGATATCTAATAAGGCCTTTCTGAATTGAGATTTTTCACTTGACTCCTCATCCGGATGGATGCAGGCCGCTACTAACCGTGCAATGTGGAAGTTATTGGGGGAGGCCTATGTTCAGCAGTGGACGTCCTGTGGCTGAAATGATGATGATGATGATGAGATGTGCTCCTCATTTATTCTAATTCCTTGTAGCGGAGTTTTGGGTTGACACTGTGTAGGTTTGTTGTCGACACGATAAGAAGAAGAATCTTCTAATCAAGTATAAACTTGTCATTTTAAATTCATCCTCGAGTAAGATGATCATATTGATCATGCTCAAGCTGGAAATCTTAATTATTATTATTTTCTTTTACACCCGTATTCACAAACGATGCTTGCTTAAGTGTAGCAGCAAATCGGACGTACAGCGTTGAATGGAACTCTGTAATTGGTTCGTGTGTCACTGTGCGTCCACGCGCACTGTGAGATCTCATAGTAATGTTTGTGAATACGGGCGTTGGTTTCTTTTCTCCTAATTTTTAGGGTGGGTTTAATAAAAGCTTTATTGCACACGAAAAAAGAATTGCCGTACAAAAGGCAAACTTAATGCCTCATGGCACTCCCAGTTGACCTTTGGGCCGAGCAGAAAATTTGAGTTGGCGGTGCAAAAATAACTCAGAAACCGGCCCGGCTTATTTCTTGTCTAGGTATTCAAGTCACAAAAGACAACGTAAACTCAAAATTGTCGATAGGATTATTAAATTCGACCAGTTAGTTGCAGAAACTCAAATAAAGCATTTTACAAAGAACTTGTACCTACTTATTGGCAGCTTATAATCTTGATAAAAGAAATGAATTTGTTTCATAACCGAGCAATATTAAAATAGAATTGTTATCTTTTGACGTAATAGATCAAGCAAATGATGTCATAATAAAGCAGGCCGATTGATTTTAATAATTGAGTTTGCTTATAAAAGAACGAGAATAATTTAAATGGCTGATGACAGTTGGTTTTAAAAAAAAAATTTACAATCATGAATAAAACAATTTAATAAAAATATAGTGTCAGATGCAAGGTCGTAGTTTGATTCCCGAGGCGATAAAAATTTCGGCAATAGGCAATTATTAATATAAATAATAACTTTATTTTATTCAGTACACTTACATATTATTTTTATTACATTTGACATCATACAGTTACAACTTTCATCTGCCTGTTTTAAGTGTGCAGCTAAGTTTCAATCGCTTTTAAATTTTAAAAGCTATCACTATAATTTAATTGTCACGCATGATACTGCAGATCTATCATCATTAATAATGATTTCGCAAAATATCTCTATTCAAATTAATAACTTACGTAAATTTTATTCCAGTAAAATCGTTTCTGAAACTGCTAATAGTGTAATATAATCTAGCAACCAAACGCGATTATTTTTAGCATAGGTAACTTACACTTATTTTATTTAGATGATCATTATAATAATAAAGATGTTCCAAAAGTAGGCATTTGCAAATTTATGTACTAGTTTGTGCACCAGTTAGTATATAGATTTAGACAACCTTCACATTGGTTACGTAAATTACGTCATACATAGGCTGCGCGCGCGCCGGGTTTCAAACATGACGCCCCAAGCGGTAACAAATTGATTCAATACCTACTCTCGTAACGTCTCTGGTATATATTGAGGTAATAACCTATGTTAATTCATCAGTTCTATCGCGGAAGTCAAAGGAGAAAGATCGAAATGTTAGCTAAAGTACGTGTATAGTACACAATCGTATCATTGTTTTGTATTAAACATCCTTTCACCTATTTAAATTAATCCTTTCAATTTGCAGATCCTAGTTTTTGCTGTGGTCCTGGTGGCTGCTTATAGTGAGGAGCACTACACCCTGAAAACACACATCCAGCATGAGGAACCAAAGGAGTACAGGCATAGCTACGAGCATCTGCCTTTGAGGCTGCATCAAGAAGCAATCAAGGAAGTCCAGTACCAAGCTCAGCCTGAGGCTCATGGTCATGCCTACTCATCTCAGAGCATTGTGCATCAGCAGGGTGAACAGCAAGAATCCCACGGAGCTGAAAACGCAGCGCCCGTTTACGAGTACGGTCAGAGCTCAGAGGAGATCGGTCTTCAGCAGCAAAACTATCACAAGATCCAAGCTGTTCAGTATGCCTCTCCAGACCACCATGAAAGCCAGGCGTACCACGTACCTGAGTCTCACCAGTCTCACCAAGTCCATCAATCTCATCACGCTATCCCTGTGCACTCCGCTCACGAATCTCTGAGCCACCACCAAGCTCCTCAATACCACCAGGCCGCGTACCATCACCAGCCCGAAGCTCACTCAGCCCACTCCGCCCATTTAGCTCACTCTCACGACGAACCCGTTGACTATTACGTGAGTAGTCTTCGTTAAAACCAAATTAGTACGGACGGCAGATTCCCAATTTATGGCAACTTTCCACTCGTTTATTCGAATCATGACTGTAGCTATTTTGATCACGTCTGCTCTATGCATGTGTAATGGGCTGTTATGTAAATTAACTGTGGTGAGATCCCATATTAATGTACTTTATTTATTATAATACTTTTGCTCTTCCAGGCGTACCCGAAGTACCAGTATGAGTACAAAGTGGAAGACCCTCACACCGGAGACAACAAATTCCAGCATGAGGTGAGGGATGGGGACGTCGTTAAGGGAGTTTACTCTTTGCACGAGGCTGACGGATCAGTCAGAACTGTTGAGTACACTTCGGACAAACACAACGGGTAAGACTCTAGATTCAAATCTTAACGCGTTTTTATATGTTAATCTGTCTGTAAAGTGCTAAACTAAGCCATATTTGAATGATGTCTTTGTCGTGAGACAAAGCTTGTTCTACGTTTATAACAACTTTCTTGCTTTATTTCAGATTCAATGCTGTAGTGAAACACTCTGCCCCCGGTCAACACGTGCATATTGAAAGCCATCATCGCAACTAAAATTTAAGTTCGCATGCCTCAAGACTGACGTTGTGTTTTGTATATTGTTACTAAATGTGTAATCATTGTTAAATATTAGTAAATTATTGTCATTCTACATCTTCTTTATTTATTGAAATTCCTTTTCGAACCGTGTTTTATGCGCGTGCGAATTATGTGCTTAATGATGATCATATATTAGTCTATTGATTGATGGATTCTTTGTTTTATATTACTAAACGGCTGTAAAATATTAATAATATAAAACAAAGAATCCATCAATCTAATTTAAACGGCTGTAAAATATTAACAAGAAAACATGATTACCGGTAATGACTGGTTTATCGCAATACTCGTAATTGGAATTGAAAACAAGACAATTAATTTTAGTTAGAATTCAGCTAAAGCTGTAGTCACACAGTTGGGTTGTAGTTATTTTGTATGACTTGTGATTTATTACTTGAGAGAGATTTATCTGCCGTTCAAAACGACACGCAATATGCAGTATTATAGTGTAGTGTGTCTTTTTTTATCTGCCACTAACAAAATATCTTTTTATTACTAGCAAGCAACAAAATGTGTAGGAAATTACAGAAGTATCAGTTTTTCTATTAATTACATACATATTAAGAGATTTCATCGCAGCCAAAAACGTAGACATCTGAATATTAATCTATAATTAAAGTTACATGAATCTATAAAGATAAAGAAATCAAGCCTCATTCATAAATCTGTTACATAATCGATATTTCGAACGACACGAGAGGTGTTCTAGATCGAATCGCTTAATCGTAACACGTTCCGATTAATTCATTGATGATTCTAATCCGGCTCTATTTCTTTCCTCCGCTAATAGTCCATCAATTTGACAGACAGCTGATTTGGCAATCGATTTAGATTTTAAAAGCATAAACGGAATGCACATCCGATAGAAATCTAAACGGATGCACCTTTTAGTAAAACTAAAACCCACTAAATTGACAGAAAATTGCGAAGCGAAAAGAATAAATACAATACGTAATTGAAGTAGGCCTGTGAAGATGTAATTATTTTGCTTTTCAAGAAATCTTAATTACCTCCAAAAACGAATTTCATAAGTCATAATCAAAACGTTAAAAATATAATACGAGTAGCTAGGTATTTCAGCACCTCGTTATTTCGAAGTTTATTTTTGTGTCGTAAATTAAAGATTTAAGTATTACTGATTTATATGATGATCATTTAAATAAAACTCAGTTAAATATGTATGAAATGTTATAATATTAATTTATAGTATCAGTCACAAAAACCGAAGTATTTGCATAGCACCCCGTAGGCGTGAGTCTAACGTTTCATAAAATGTATTTTCAAGTACGGAAAATCGGAGTGACACTTACACACTACAAGAAAATATAATACAAAAGTCTTTATAGTACGAAATAGATGTCGATAGCTGAATTGAAGTACACTTTGGGCCTTGGTCCCTGGATACACCTTATGAAACGCCGAGCCTTAGCGAGCGTGGCTGACCACGTAGCGTTCCTTTCGTTGTCGCATTCCGTCCGAGCTTAGCCTATGTATTTAATACGTTATGTAATAAATAGTCGTCGGTTGGGGGTGGTGGGGGTTTAGCCGAGGAGGTGTCCGTGGCCGTAGGCTGGGGCGGCCACCACGTGCGCGGGAGCTACGGCGGGATGCGCAGCGTGTCCTTGCCTGCTCACGACGGCGTTGAATCTGGGGGAAGGAATTAAAGTTCAGAAGTCATTCTATTGACATTATATTTATAATCACTAAGTTTCCCTTGCCGTGCTTTCCGAGATGCCATCTTCACTAAAAACATGTTTCTTTAACTGATGATCAGTTCTGTAATACACACTGCCTATCAATTTATTTTTTTTAGTATACTTACCCGTTGTGGTCATCAGCGGAGTAGTTGACAGTGCGCACAGGCTCTACGAGTGACTATACTGGCCTTTACCACGTCTCTCACTGGCTTTTTTGGTCACTAGTGTGCCTCCTGATTAGGAATCTTCATCAGTTCTACTTACCCGTTGTCGTCATCAGCAGAGTAGCTAATAGAGCGAATGGTGCCGTCGTGCTCCTCCCATTGGCTCTTCTAGTCACTCGTGTGTCTCTTAATCTCTAATTGTCATCTCTACGTACCCGTTGTGGTCATCAGCGGAGTAGTTGACAGTGCGCACGGTGCCATCAGGCTCCACCAGCGAGTACTGGCCCTTCACCACGTCTCCATCGCGCGCCTCCCACTGGCTCTTCTGGTCGCCGGTGTGGCCGTCAGTGACGCCGTAGTTGAACTGGTAGCGGGGGTGGGCCTGAGGGATTAGAGGGAGGGGTTTTACGAATTATATCAATCCGGGGAATTATAAGTCTTTTTTGTGACTCTTTTTTGCTATTCTTTTTTGCTCTTTTCAGGGCTCGTCGTATACCCGTCCTAAATACATCTTGCCTTCTTAACATCTCAGCCGGGCTACGATGCGCGCCGTGGTATACTGTATCGACGTCAAAATGTAGGTATGTGCAAAATCGATAAAATAGACTACTGGACAATATCGGCTGGAACTTACAAGGCCTCTGAAGGTGGCATTCTATGTTTTTTTTAAATTCACAAGTGTCATTAATTTTGACAAAATTAAATACGGATGCGTTTTGCGAATGGAGGAATCCTCTTTTGTTGCAATGGATACAGAATTTAGAGATGTATTGGAGAGAACTTACATAAACCTCAACAGGGGCGGCTGCGTGCGCGATGGGCGCGTGGTATACGGGCGCGGTGTGGGCGACCACGGCGCCGTGGCCTGAAAGTATCATACAACTGTCAAGTTCAAAGTCATTGACAGCTTCTTAGTTGGTAGGTGTTTCAAAATCTTATGAATTTGTGGTATTTGCTCAGAAAACAACTTAAAGCACCGGTAGATTTAATCTAGATATCGTAAAAAAATTTGGATTAAAGAATATTTCGCTAGTATAACAAATAAGCACAGGAGGTAGGTAGACAGAGACAGTCAAAATGGCAAAAAATAAACCAAAGGAGCATCACTAGACTAGTCTCCATTTATGACTGTTGAAAGTCTTTTCTATAGCAAAAAAAAATAATTTAAAGCACTGCCAGAAACTAAAGAAATGCTTGCACTATAAAAAAAACTCTGTATTTCTAGGCTTACCAAGCCCCAAAGCGCCATAGCCACCGTACCCACGGGCCGCGTACCCGGGAGCTCCCAGGACGATGCTTTGGCTCGACAGGGCCCCGTGGGGCGCTGCGATCAGCCCACCCTGGGCCAGGGCCACCAATGTGCAAGCCAAAACTGCCTGCAAAGTATCAAATAATTTGTTAAGAAAGTAAAATCCATCATCAGATCATATTTTTTAGAACAATGACAAACGTAAAAAATCTGTCAAACTCCATAACACGCAAGCACCGGATAATGTTATTATTACGGTTAAAATAAGGTGGTGCAACCCAGCCTTAGTGGTTTTCTTTTTAGAGCATCTTTGGTTGGCGGTCGGAGCACCGCTCTTAGCAAATTAGGTCTACGAGTAGCACTCTGTTTTGTTTACCGAATAAAACTGGCATTATTGTTTCTAATTGTATTTGAATGTGTATGCGTAAACGGTCGCGGTGTTTGCTTAAATAAAATATTTGTATTTGTATTTTTTGTTGACAAAATGTTCACGAAATGAATGTGTAATTTCGTGAATATGAACTTAAATAAATCCTATTTTCTTGTAACCAGATACTTTGGATATTTGCATAGCGTAGTCGGGTAAAAATGCTTTGGAATGAATGATAACAAGCTTAAAACACTTTCGCATTTCTACAGATTCCTATATAACTTTAAAATGTCAAATTTATCCAAATTAACACAACATGTTATTTCAAAAACATTTTTAAGATTAGCCTGAAAGAATAAATAAAAAACTTTTCCCACATATCTCACTGAAACACTTATCACAAAATACCACTTTACCTTGAAAAACATTGTCCTAATCTTTGTGATAACACGGTACTTCACTCTAAGCTCTAGGGCTTGTTCTGTGCCAAATTACGAGATACCTGTCGCTTATATAGAGGCTGTGTGTCCTATAGGTATTAGGTCCCGCCTATGCCTATATCGCACAGGAGACATAGGTACTATGTGAGATACTATATCTAATGGGCGCTGCCCGCGACTGAACTAGATCGGTGGGTTAACGTGGATACGCCGACTTTGGACGAAATGAATATTTCATTTATTCCAAAATTAGGTACACCTGAAATAACGACCTGTGAAATCTCATTATCATCGAAACTAAGGTGCACTCTCAAAAACGATTCTTCGTCTAAGTCCAAAAACGCAGAAGTCTCAACTCTATTACAATTTGAAGATTGGATTCGGATAGGAGGGCTCAGCTATAAAGTTCCATCTTTATAGACTCACTCATCACATCACCATCACTTAAGCCATACATTTCGTCCACTAATGCCCCCCAATGATTTCCACATATTGCCTGGTTGGTAGTAGCCTGTATCCAGCGCCTTCCTACTACCCTTATCACAGACTCACTCATAGAGTTTCAAAAATACTGTCTAATTGCTACCAACTTCTGCACTAGTGAATTAAATATATCAATCCACACCCCAACCAAAGTCAAAAAGTCAGATTCAATAAAACTTGAGTATAATAAAAATGTATCCACATTAGCCTAACACATGCAATAAAATAGGTCTAAGAACTATCCTAAGTAGTATAGACCTATACAAATAATAAAATACGGAATAAATTAAACTTTTGCCGGGTACTTTGCGTTCTTTATTACTGGTCAATAGGTCTAAGGGACATTCAACGATATTTCTCAGTCGTGAACTACAGTCGGTACTTTATCAACTTTGGCTAGAACGGGCAGTTCCGCACTGAATTGTGTCAAGGAAATCTTGTGGTTCAATTTTTTGCGGGTTCAGCACAAAACAAGTGAGATTTACATTTTTATTGCATTAACCACAGAAAAGTAGTTCAGATATCAATATCGGTTTTATGGGAGCGGTCACCAATCAATCAATCTAAACAGTTTCCAATAAATTTAAGATATAAATCAAATAAGGGTGTGGTATATGTCCTCTCATATACAACTTTTGCTTACCATTGCTCGAGAGAAGAGGGAACTTACTTTTTTCCATTCTGATAATAATTTTCATGAACTTTACACAAATTATGTAAGTAAGTGTATAATACATTATAATAACATAGTACTAATAATAAAAATTGCATACATGTTGTTATCTTCATACCCTAAGGCCTAAGGAATAAACATGAAACTTGTTTATGCCATGCTTATCTAGTTCTAATTTTTCTCAAAAGTAAACAAAATAGAGTACCTATTATTATAGTGTGACTGACTCTATGTGAAAATTAACATTCCTATCCAATTATAAACCTCAGTGTAAGATTAAATGTTATCAAAGAACAGTAAAAGTGTTTCGATTAATGCCAAATATGGCAGACAATTACGATACGAGGCTTAAACAAGCTTATGCACTTATAGTCATTTATAGTAGATTAGCCATTGTCTATAGAGCCGCGTGCTCAATTAGTTTTCAGATCATTTTGTATGATGTTAAGATACAAGTCTACTCATAAGTTTCTTTTTTTTTATGCTAGACAAGAATGACCACAATCGCACCTGGTGAGATGCAGTATTTGAAAACAATTAATTTAATTTAACCTAATTTATTTGTTATCAAATATACCTACGAGTAACATTTACATTATTGAATATGAATGGCTTTAAGTGTACCAACACTTCGATATTGTAGTAAACCACAAAACGCGGCGGTCTGTAAGGGGTGTTTACATGATGGAGATTTATTATTACTGAAACCTGACAAATGTAACACAGTTTAAGGAGCCGTGTTACATTTGTCAGGTTTCAGTAATATTAGGTCAAATATGGAATTATTTAGAAGACCAAAACACTTTAAAGTGACATGTTTTGACATAGATATATACGATCTTTGGAAACATTCAGTATTATTGCGTGTTGCACGCACAACAGTGACCTTGTAACAATATTCCTACTTATTACTTAATTTATCAAAACAAATCAATCACAATAAATAGCATTTATTATAGTTCATTGTTAATTAAACTAATTTTAAGATTGTTAGTTAGGATTTATAAAACTACATCATCAAAATAAACTTGGCATTTTGTTGAAACTTTTTAATGATTTAGATGAACCAGAAAAAAGTTGTCTTGCGGTAAAGTAATTTCAAGCAAGGTGACGTGAATAGAAACGAATTTCAAAATTATCTGTGTCTAACGTAAGAAATATTTAATTTAAAAATAACCTGTTTATAAAGTCTCTTTGACGAAACCGCGGCTTAAAAGAGGTGTCGTAGACGCCTGCGCTTGCGCTCCGATGTCAAGTCTGGCGTGACTCATCGGATGTCAATGAACCGAGCTTTATTGGGAGAAACAGGTTTCGCTTACTTCATTTAAATTGTGTTACAATTTCGTAGCGCGTGAAGTGCGCTTATCAATGAGATTAGGGCTTGGTAGTGATAATGAATCACCAATGATGGTAGGAGGGCCAGCTATATTAATTTGTATAATAGGAGCCCTGAAAAGGGCCTATATTCTTGTAAGGATTATGCGAATAAACTGATTTATACTGTCAAGATCTTATAACTGATTGTGATCCAAAATAAACTTGCAATTTGACTTGAGAGTTCTAATTATCATCTTTTTTTCCGCGGAGAGAATGTGTCACACATAGCTAAGTACCCTACTGTAGGGAGAGACCGTGTGCCCCAGTCACACATATTACCAAGTAGACATCACAGCTACAGGTCTTAAATCTTCAAATCTTAAGGATTTTAGTTTTTTTTTTTTCATATTAGGGAAAATATTATTTTTCTTAACAGTGTTTTTAGCACTTAATTTCCATAAAAGAGAACTAGCTTATTCAATAGGTAATAAGCAATTAGACTTAGTATAACTTTTGTGGTATAACTAAGAAATAAATTGCCAAACTTAATGCAGTTCCTAGCATTGAATGTGTAGGCGCATCCCACGTTATGAAACAATAACGTGTAATAAGATCTCCCGTAACATGTTATTAAGCGTTTCTAAAGCTAACATTCACGGTACTGACGAAACAACTTAATCAGGTGAAGAATTTAATCAATTACTTAAGTATTTCACTGCTGCATAAATCATGTTTAGTAATAGATCAATATTAGATTACATTTTCTATTAGGGAGTATATAAAAATACTGGTCGGCGCCTTTGACGCGAATGCGGGTCAATTTCTTAGCAAGGGAGTTGAACTTTGGAAAAGTTCCTTTAACTAAATTAGCATTTGACATTAAGAGACAGTAAAGAGGGAGAAAAGTGATATAAATAATATTTTTACATTCATTTTACCTAAAAACTAAGGGTTAGTTGCACCACTTTATTTTAACTTTGACTAATAACCTTTTTGTTTGGAGTTTGATAGACCCATGAGGTTCGTTTGTTAAAGTTAAAGTAATATGGTGGACCCAGCCTAATAATTCAGATTTGACATGGTCTCATAAGTACTTTCGTTTCAAACTAAATTTAGAATGAAATACAAGCTACGAAAAAACACCCAATCAATTTACTTAAAACATAATATTTTTTACATTTCTGTTTACTTTATGAAGTTGGTCTATGTATCTAACTTTCGCATTGTAATTCAGGTTCATTTCGCTTGATTGTTATTTATTTGTTAGCGTTAAACATTTATTATCTGTTATTATGCACTTGTACGCTACTTAAAATGCACATTTCGTTACTTAGTGTGTAATTTATCATAGTCCTACTTTCGTTCCGGAACTCCTCACGTTTTAGCGCGTGTTTTTATGACTGATCCAGCTGTTACACCTCCAAGCCATTCTTCATTCATTCAAGTTATACAACTGTATGTTGTACAGTCGACGGCATATCAGGCTTAACATTTAAGTTGCAAAATAGCTTTTATTACAACTAAAAAAGCTACAGTACATTAAGCTTGACGTCGTCTGTATAATCTGACATCAGTCAGTTAATTTCATGTTCTGCAGTGTTCATTTGAATATATCTAACGTGTCTGATATTATTAACCATCTATCAGTACTTAAAATTGATTGCATCACATTTTTATCATTGTATAACTTTGTTTCTTAATCGTGTCGATAAGAAAGCTGTGTCCAGAAGCTGATAATACATTTAGGTAATTAGTGCTCGTTAATTATGCACTGAATACTTTGTAGAAATTGATGTAACTCATAACGACCCATAAATAACTTCACTGTGGACGATGGTCGATGGTATTTACGAGTATGTACTCAGGCACTATTCTCTCTCGTTCCCACTGTTGGAACTCCCGTCCTGAAAAGATCTTGATAGGCGATATAAACCTAACCAGTGAAAGAATTTTATACTGTCATTTGACCCGCAACAAAATTATTCACCTGAAAATTAGGAGGAGTTTTATGTTGAGGAAAATCCTTCAGCGCAAAGAGGACTTTAGCAAATTGTATACAAAAGCGTTGATAAAATAATATGGAATGATGTCAATTTTGACAACCAGTGTACACCTAACTGGCAATTATGCACGTGTTTATGCATCCTACTATACATAATAACAGGTGCGCAAACTAACGAAGGGAGCTCGGAAAGTATTAACATTTTCTCGTTATAAATTTGACGGAACTGTTGAGACTGTCTTTAGTGTTGTTTTTCACACTGTCAATCAACTGGTTATTAATGTTGACAGAATCATGTTTCACAAACTAACGCCAATCAAGCAGCGGTAGTGTTAGTTTGTAATTTTTTCATCGCATCATTAATTTCATTCATCATAACGTCAAGTCAGAATTTGATAGCTACACCCATTTGTTTTCACGTAATGAGGTATTTTGATTGAGTGTTTATTGCTTAAACGATGACGAAGGTTTTCTGTATCTTTTTATATAACCGCTTAGTTACTTTACTGAATGGTCTAACTGCAACCTCCTTATAAGCATCTTGTAGGACTGTTGATCTAAGTAATAAACAAAATACACGTATGTGGTCCATACTATCATTATGAATAGACCATAAACCATTTACCTGACTGCATATTAAACTGAGCTTGTTATTTGGCAATTTGAATAAACAAACATATATGAAACCACCTTACCATATTTACTGCATATGTAAATTAGTCCTAGTTTGAAAATCAAGAGGTAAATTGAAGAAAATATGTTGTAGCAAATAAGTATTTCAAATTTACTTATTCAAGCTTGTATATTTTATTGGTGTTTTGTTAGATTAACAGAATGTTAAAACAGCCACTTAGGTGATGAAAGAGGAAGCTATTAAGCATGCGTGTTCTGGCTAGATAGTTATCTAGTCAAATTAGTTCCACCGGCCTAGCGTGTTGGCGACAAACTTGAATATGATTGCATACACCCTATAACTTCGGAAGTAATGTAAGTCTTACAAAATAGGACAAACTAATGTTTAGTTTGGAATGAGCTTTTGTTAGAAGAATACCTTTCACATTAACAGGTCAGTTAATCTCGGAGGAGATTAGCAGAATCATGACCATGGTCATGCAGGAGCATGACCTTCTCCAATTTACCAGAGGCAAATGCAAAGGGTTTGACCTAAACTCTCCACCCGCCAGCCAGAAAAATAATAATAATAAAAAAACAAACATCGGCAAACCTTTTATGTTTAAAAAAGGTAATGGTATAAATTCTGGTTCCCAAAGAGTACCTATAGTGTAAATTAAAAATGTCGAGCCGAAAATAGCTAGCCGCGATAGCAATTTAGGCCACGTATCTTGTAATTATGAAGGCTTTAATTATTGCTCCTTCAATTCGATCTAAACTGATTGGAAGTTAATTTGTTCTAAAAGATAAAGAGGCTGTTAAGAGCTTAGTTACATCTCAATTTATTGCTTAACAATTTATTTATTAGCTTTTATTTTCTCAACTTCTTATATCCGATTAATCTTAAGACGAATATTACTTTATTTATAATTCAATTAAACTAACTAGAATGTATTAACTAACATCATTTCAACTTGGATCCACAAAAAAAATTAAATTCACTGGACACAGTCCGCTACCCACTGGACAATCTGGATATCATTGGGGGAGACCTATATGTTCAGCAGTGGACGTCTTGTGGCTGAAATGATGATGATGATAATACAATTAAGATGACAAAGATTTAAATTAAAGTTTAGTTATGGTCATGAAGACTTAATAACAAAATTGCCATCAGGGTTCCCACGATACATATTGCAAATACTTGCAATTATGGCAACGTGACGATTATCTGCAATTGACAGGATCATTAATCACATATTCCATCAATTAAAGGCTCAGCAATGACTTGATATCGGTCAATTGACAATTATTATCACTTAAATTCATGAGATTTAGTGCACAGCTAGTGTATCATGTCTCAAATATTGTAATCTTGCAAATTGACTGAATATATTCAACGTTAGATTGAAACACTTCTAATCTAAACTTCAGTCGTGATTCGAACAACTACTCGTATGTGTAGTTTACAGAAAAAGAGTAGTTCAATTCCCTAAGCATTAACATTTTTAGATATCCTCGATCTATAAAATATTATGTCATCATCATCAAAGCTATTCATTAACCCTTAATTATAGGTAAAGCTATCTTTATTGCAAAAATCCTACCCGTCCCGACGTATAAAATGTTAGGTAAAAAGCTTTATCATTTATTTCACTTCAGTACCTCTAGCATGAACAACTTTCGTCTTCGAATCGTTTGCGTATTCGATAAAATTCGATACTCAACCTTCGAATTAAACGATAACGTGACAATTTGATTCTCAAAATAAGTTTCCTACAACCATTTCTCATACTAAGTTCACTTTACGACACGATCACAAGGGCGCTGTTTTAGTTTTCGTACTAAATCTTTTGATGCCGATTCGAATACGCAAACGATTCGAACTCGAAAGTTTTTCGTGCTAGCCGTACAGGTATGAGTACTTACGCTTATACTAATAATTCGTTTGTTTTAACCAAAAGACGTCGACAGCTTTCATCGTGACGTCAAAGGCCTTTCCTAAGGATTTCTACAACGACCGGTCTTACGCTGCCCCCATCCAGATGCTTCCTCAAACCTTCACCAGATCGTCGACCAATTAAAAGTAATGATTAAACCTAACTTCATGATCATAGCGACATTGTATATTCAACATTGTGAATATTCGAGATACAAAGTTCCCGAAATTTCTTATAGAAATGGTTAGGTTTGGGCACATTGCGACAATGCCGACCGTGTCACGGCCGCGCCCACCGGTGAATGTCCAAGGAATGCGTGCGCAGCGTGAATAAAACATAGGCCGTTCGTGGGATTGACATCTGATCACATGTCGGATTCGAATTTCGATCTAGTTTTTGGATTGCAGAAGTCGAAGTGAAACTTTTTGTTGGGTAAACTTTGTTTATGGACCACGTCCGTGGAAGTTGCCTCCTTTCACCTTTGTCCGCTACAGCAAGTCATGAATTAGTCTGGGTACAGTATCTATTACCATAGCCTATTACTGTTGCTTTGACTCTCATAACTTACCACACTTTCTAGGTTTCTTCCAATTCAAAGGTCTCCCCCAAAGATTTTCATAGCGACCGAATTTCTATATTCGTTCATCGGGCAGTTCGTAGGCTATTATTAACTTTAATTTATTTTGAACATATTCGGACATCGGGTGGATTGAAAACCAATATTTATATTGAGTAACTCATGCTTTTCATGACCACTCATTGTGAGCAATATTCATAAAAATAAGTTTTATCGAGTACTAAATAATTACGAGGACGTTTAAAATAGCTGATACTCATAACGCAAATTAAAAAGCTCCAAAAAGATAAAAAAGTAGTTCAATATAAACGTCCTTGTAGAGTTATACTCGACACTCCCACTCGCTCCAATTTCTGAGCCTTTTGCACTTTCACTGTCTTTGTAAGAATGTTTGCGTAACACCACATCGCGTGCATAATAATACCGATACAGCATTGTCAAAAGTAATTATTATCATTAAGATATAAGTGCGAAGATTAATACTGGTGCACTTTTAAGGTATTTCATGCCGCGCTTCGTAATTTAAGATCTGGAATACGTATTCGTATTTCATGTTTTGTGAGACTTTTATTAATGACTTCAGCTTCAAAACTAAAAGAATATTGATTTCACTTGGTGAAATAAAACATTAGATTATATATTTTATTGTTTGTATTTTTATTCACATTTATAATTACCAGTCGTAGAAATCTAAATAACTAGTAGATATATCTAATAAGCCTTAAACTAAAAATAATCTTATTTCACTTATCATTGTTAACAATGACATACACACACACGAAAAGACAATCAAACTGTAATTTTATTGTAAGAATTTGTTAGGAATCAACTATTATTATTGTAATGTTGCGTTATTAATTTAATAACGCTAATACGTTAATAATATTAGAAAAAAAAACAGATCAAGATTTTTGATTAAGAGGAATGCAATTATAGCAACATTGAATCATTAGAATTCACTAAAAAATCCTCTATGACAATAAATAATGATATTAAACTATAATTTAGTATATCACCAATAGCAAAACTATACTTACAATACTTTTTGGTTCAGCCACACTGCAGTCTACTTTGTATGATTAGTAAAATTTAAAATATTTATATATCAAATATATCTAGTAGGTTTATTACAGGTTTTCGTTTCTTAATTACTTTTCGGACCACTTCTTTGGGACCGTAGTTCCCTCTTGGAGGGCTAATGAATCGGTCCTCATCTTCGTCAGGATAACGGGGGCGATCGAAATCGTCGTAACTTTCGTGGTTGTATTCGTTTAGCATAACCTCTTTCGTTGGCTTCTTCTTATACTTCTTCTTCGGGACCAAGACATAGTCGTCGAGGTTGTCGCTTACTTCAGGGTACTTCGGAGGCTTGTATTTCTTCTTCGGACGAGTAGGCATATCGTCTGGGTAAAACTTATCCGGGATTGGTGCATCGGGTAAAGCAGGAAAACTGTGTTTTATAGACGAAGCTGGTTTCACGTTGTCTTCATATTTTGAGCCCTTGTAACCATATTTGTAAGGATTAAAAGGCTTATCGAAGTCGAAATTTTCGTACTTCTCAAAGTTTTCTTTGTACGAGTTTGAACTGAAACTAGGATACTTTTGTTTGCTACCATCAGAATCCAAAATACTTGTGTACAAGTTTTCGTCATTTTCTTTTTTCTTCTTTTTGCAGTTGGGATCGGCGATAAATCCTACGTGGGATTCTGCTTCGTCGTAGGGATGTTTGATGGAGTAGCTATGAGTATATTCGCTGGGTTCCAAGTCACTTGGGTAATGTGGTCTTTTCCTTGCGGAGTAGTCTCTGAATGAGTCGAATTGTGGTCGCTTTCTTTTCCTTTCATGTTTTGGGAAATAGTCTAGATCAGCGTCATCGGAATAGTCAGAATATCTTTCGTAGTCCCTCATGGCTTTATCTTCAGCATCATCTGTGAGGCTGCGGCTTGTTTCGACGACACCCACGTCTCCGTTGTTGACAACTGCTTGAAATCCTGTGTTTGGGCCTGCTGAGTACTCGACGGTTCGCACTGAACCATCTGGTTCTACAACACTGTAGTGACCTGAAAATGAATTCGTGTCAATTAGGTAAAATAATAAATATTTCTAGATCACCTTTTTTAAGGGACAGGACTCAGGAGGCAAACGAGCAGGGATCACGGTGCTTTGCCATTTTAAGTACGCTCTATTTTTGAAGATCTCAAACATAATCGGGATTTGAGCAACTATTAAATCCAAATTTTGTAATTAATCTGGATACATATTCTGTGTGATGGTAACTTTATTCTGATTCATTCAAATTTTATTTTTTAATAACTGCTTAGTTTTATTGTTTTTTCATACTGTCTTACCTTTAACAGTATCACCTTCTTTTGCTTCCCACACGCTCTTGATATCACCAGTCTTGGTGTCTGACACTCCGTAACTGAACGAATAGCTTGGATTTTCCTGCAAAAACAAATGCAAATTTGATTCCACCGCCAATCATGTTTTTATCGCTGCCTCAATTACACACTGGGTTCATATTAAAGAAAAAAACATACAGGGAATGTGTGAAGTGATAGCTTGCGTGTGCAAATTCGGTATTTTACTCGTAATGACATTCTATTGCATGCTCGCTTATTATAGTTTAATATTCTGAATAGCTAATGAGCGATATAATTGTTTCCATAACATTGGAATGTACGTAATTGCAGACAGTTTCAGTATATACTCGAATAAGTCAGGTGGTTGTCAATCGAACTGGTTGTTGGCGCATACGCGTATCATAATGATTTTCGCTCACGAATCTATTTGAAAAAAATAATCATTCAAGAATGGAAAACACTACAGTTGTTTCATAAAGCACCACTACAATAATGAAGTGTCTTTAACAAAAATAATAACAAAATATGAACAAATAAATTAAAATAACATGTTCAATGTTCAAGTTGCTAGCCCAATCAATTATTCAGACAATTATTCATTGAGTCATAATCGAAATTTTATTTATAAATTGTATTTTATTGATTAATAAATAATGTAAAATGTAATGCTAAGTCAAACTTAATTTGCAGCAACNCAGCAAGAATAATTAAGTACCTACATCCTGTTACTGATTTAAAATAAAATAAGCGTTGTCATTTATTACAGCAACAACACAAATTGATAAATGAAACTTCATTATCTAACAATTTTACTTTATTTATGAACAAACTGCACAGTAAAGTGCCGCATTCTTTAACCACTGAAACTAAGGGAAAAGGATTTCCTTAAAATTTTGTTGCTGTTGTTTCATCATCATTAGATCATTATTCATTATTATGTTTTCTAATTACCTACATATAATTTGGCTTGACACTAGCTAAATGTGCAAACCACACAAGCTGTAATAAAAAAACACGAATTTATTGACTGAAAGCTGCTCCACTAGTGCGTAAATAGTTAAAAAGTCATTGCTCCTCTTAAATGTCACTTGTCGGCGGCCATTTTCCCGCCAAGTTCAAGATGAGTCGGTGCGCGTGCGCTTCGCCACTCAATGTCAATGACGGATCGTTCACTTTCATTTGTTTCCGTCTGCGTTCACTTTTATTCGTGAATATGTATGACGGATCTGTTTGTTACGTGCTTGCCGATGGATATATTGAATTAATTTTAACGACATGATAGTTTGCAATTAGATAAATTGAATAATTTTACAGTGTAATGTAAAAATGACTAGATTGTACTGAGAAGAGAATAATATATGCGAGGATGCTTTGATTAAAAAACTCATGGCTTTTGGTGGGTCTCAGTCTATCTACATTCCCGACCAATCACCATACTGTTATGCATTTAGTCCCCCATTGATATGACTGGCCTAATTCCATCATTATAATTTCTATACAAAAATTCTCAAAATATTACTTCACTTGCTGAAAATAGCTGCAATAATGTAACAAAATGCTTTGCCAACTGTGGACCACCTTGACTTGCCTTTTGCATACTTTTTAAGACAAAATGTAACAATCTAGACCTACAAAACGAGTTGTCATGTTGCCATGGAGAAATGTGGGTGAACTGGCCCGCAATATAAACCGATATTTCGACACACGGCGACCGCTTTCGATAAGTGTTTGTACTGCTTATGTTGGTGTGTTTCGATTATGTTACTTCATTGCAATAATTATTATTACTTGTAGTTATTAAGCTCTGAGTATTGCGGAACTTTGACCATAATTACTGAGTATGTAGAGTTGCATAAAAAGTGAGTACATAGATAAATTCAAATTCAAATAGTTTGTTCAGTTCATAGGCCCTTTCCAGGGCACTTATACATGTCCCAAATTAATATAGTATAATTAATATATTGCCCTACCACCACTTCGGGACAACATAATTATGGACTGGTGCTGAGAAGAAGTGGCGGAAGAAACTCAGTCACCTTTGTCAGCCTCTTTTTCAATAGTCGATTTCAGTAGTCGATACGCCACTATGTAGCTTTAAAATGTAAATGATTCTATTACTATCTCTGGTAGCATAATGTGTATATACTTTGATAACAATCATGCAATCGTATAATAGCTACGAATAGATTTATTCATTTTCTAATCTCGGTTCTTTAGATAACAATTGCTATTAATGAGTGATATTGCATTTTTTCTTTGTGAAAATGTATTGAGAAGGTAAATCTAGTAAAACCTCATAATACTGTATTTACTCGTATGTAAGTAACGGACTTAAAACAAAAATATCTACGAAAATGTATATTACTATCATTTTCCTCATAATTTCATTTTATAGACGATTTATCTAACAATAAATTATTGTAAACAATGTATTCAAACAATGAAAATCAAAGCGTGTCAGTGAAATCGCATATTCATGTACGAAATTGACTATATTTCAAATTAATGCATGCAAAACACTCATTCATTATGAATTATAACAAAGACTGGAGATTGTTAACGGCACGAAAGAATAAACATGATTATAAATTAGTTTGCAATCAATCTTTTTAAAAACTTTATTAAAACATTTAATTACTGTTTTTTATGTTTGACGAAAGGTATTAATTTTTAATGTCAAGTAATATAATTAAAAGCCACTTATTTTTTATTTGATTATGTTAAAATTAAACTTACTTTAACAATTTGCTGTCCCAGCTCTGTCTCTACAGACTCCTCTTCTTGACCATTCAAGGCCAAACAACTAGCCAAGAGGATCTATAAAGATATTAAAACTATGTTAAATTCATTACTTTTACAAAAATTTAAATCACGCACTGTATTTAAAAAAAATGAAAGTACTTACCAGTACCACAAGAGCTTTAGCCATGTTATTAGTTAGCCACTTAATCCTATATCACCATGTAACCACCGTCACCAACTCAGAACCAAAATAAGATGTTAGACAAAGTGTTAGTACTAAAATCAGTCTGTTAGTTTAAACCTGTCCATTGCCAAGGTTGGGGTAATGCAAAGACGCGTCGAGCCATCCACCACTACGCTATTTATAAATGCACACATGTTAACAGTGTACGCATCACACACACCGAAGCATTGACAGTAATTCAACTGAGATCCAATCGTTTCAAAGCAAATTGCCGAGATTATCTCAAGAAAGCGAAAATGCGGAAAGTTATCTGCAGGAAGACAGCTATATTGTTGGAAAATTAAGGGTTATTAGCTCTAAAAGCATGGTGAATGGAATATCTAGCATTTTGACAATGATTGTATCTTTAAAACAAACTAAATAAATAAATATACTATTTGTTTATTTTGTGCAAATAGAAAGCCGCATACAGCAACTTTCGCATATAAATATTAGAGCAACATCTTTTTTTACCACACTACTTCCAATTAGTTATTAAGTTACAATAATATACAGTAAATATTTAGTAATTCTCGTTCATAATTAAATGTAATTTCACTGCTGCGTAACGCCTGACCAGTCTGGTCTGGTGGTTGACGAGTTGAACTTAAACATCAGCCACGGGTTCATACGAGTATAACCCCCTGCATTATAAAAGTCTTAGTGCAATGAAAATGAGTATACACATTAATGTAATATGTATGTATATGTGTGGAATAATTATACGAATATACGTTATATAACCATCGTTAAGTAGGTTAGTAGTAGGTACTGGTGTGATTCTTAAAAAAATCATTGTATCTGTCTTTCTATCTTGATTATTTTGATACATCTGAACTAGGTATATGAGTTAACTATTTGTTACATCATATCATAAAAGTAAACTGCTAACTAGAGACACCTAAATGACTCTACCTTCTGTTTTTTTGATCAGACAGCGCCTCAAACCTTGCGTTATACTATTTGAAGTAGAATACAACCAGTAGTAAAGACGACATCACGAAAACAATCAAATAAATCCATAATTCAATAATTTATGCAACCGCACATGCAAATCACGGCATGCGAACTTTCATACACATCTAATCGTCCGTAATGTAAATATACTTTACGATTAAAAGTCATAGTCAGACACTAAATGTCAATAATTAGATAATTAATGTTAATTTATATCCGTTTTTTTAGGGTTCCGTGTTTTATGATTGTTTGCATATCACAACTACCATTAGTGATATAAATCTATCAAGTTTTATGTTTTGTTGTTGTAAGAAAATTCAACATTTATGAAATGCCACATGGCGATGTTAGTTAAGCATACTGTAATATTAAAATATTATTTTCCATCAAAAATATAGGTGTTAGTGTCAAATGTCTTTTTAAATGATTAAAGTGGGCTAAAATTGAGACGTACAAAATATTATCTTGATTATTTTTCAAAATATTGTGCAAAGTGAAAATTAAAAAAAAAACTTAATTTCAAATAATTATCCTTTTATGTGAAAAATTACTTCATAAAGAAACACTACCAAACTGTAATTGTATCTATTTTTTTCTGTGTAATTCTCAATTATTTTTCCTATTTATCAAAATTTTGAGTAATAATTCACAATTAATGTTGTTGAAATTCTGATAATTCACTATAATGAAGTATGAAAATTAAAACACGAAAATGTTCATCTGTTAATCAATATTGTGCAATAATAATAATAATCTGTTAATCAATACCAAATGTTTGGTTTGGCAATCAAGCAATTCTCTCAAAAATACTTAATAGAAATAAGCGGTATTTATTTTTATTACATTGGGCTAAGATTAAGCCATATTGTCGACCTCAAAAGAAAATTAACATTATTAGCCACTTATCAAGTACCTATCACGGCCTGGATAACTATGTTTTACTTAATACTATACAGATACTAAACTACAGATATTAAACTAATTCCACGTTGGAGGAGCCGCGGGCAACTCTTGTCATTTAACATTGATAAAGTGTTAATTAAGCTGGATTGAAGCCGTAAACTATAATTACAGAAAAATCTCTATTTTCATCAATATTTTGAACGATAACCGTTACAAGGAACGACGTAATCCTATTATGTAAGTTTTATACTTCATAAGCATCTAATTTATGACGGGGTTTTTCATTCTAGTTAGAAGCGAATAAACACGTATTTTAATTCCTTACAATCCGGAATCAGATCTTTCGATTAGGATTGTACATAATGAAGCAAACTTGTAACAATGCTCTTTGAAAGGTGCGAGTATTCATGGTTGTATAACAATGGAGTTAGCAAATTGGTTTAATGTTGAAGAAGGAAAGCTATGCTCCACCTAGTTTAACGATGTATAAGTTAGCGCTGGGAAATCCTGATTCTTGAATCGACGAATTTAGCGCATTATTCACTGTAGATATCTGTCAACGCTTTCATTATCAGATATCTACTGTGAGTGCTTTAGCACTCTACAAAATTTTAGGTGTAAATATAAGTAATAACGCCCCTGGGACTCGTCTATGGGCGACGGTAATCACTTACCATCAGGTGATCCGTCAGCTCGTTTGCCTCCTGTCACATAAAAAAAGTATAAAGAGCGTCTAAAACTTTGGTTAAGTTTGTAAAACATCTCAACGTTCGTCCTATTACTCCCAAAGTTTAATTAATTTAGTTATACTCGTACTTATCTATGTTATCCACAACTTCACGAGAAAGCCTTTGGCCTGCATCTCACCTGATGGAAAATGATGATCAATGCATAATATCTTAATTATAAATACTGGAGTGAGCACACAGACCGCGACAGGTAAACTGAAGAAGTGTTATGGGTTGCATCATTCATAAAAGTGCGTTCAGTTCAGTTCAGTTCAACAAAGTGAACTACGAGTAGAGTTCATAAAATTTTCCACCGTCATACGACATTTCTAAAAGTCGATTGCCTCCATAATTGCACGTTGTTTCAACGTAACTCCTAAATCATAGTACCTTGCCAATTGAAGTGTAACCATATGATAGAATCCAAAGTGCTATCCATTAATAACTTTGCTTTTTATTAATGACTGCTCAACAATGTTTCATGCACGAGTTATTTTCTAACAATGATGAATTTCAGTAGGAAATTTTTTCAAGACGTTCAACACTTTCCTTTGTGAGTGATGTAGACTAATTGGTCAGTATCTTAGCGGACAGCGGGTTTTTTCAGCTATTTTCATGTTCGAAGTATGGTAATTTATGCAGGATTGATAGCTGACAAGTTTTTGTGCGTACGTGTTATACAAGCCCAACCTTTTGCTTTTACTAAAAATGATTGCATTTGTTTGCTAATTGAAAATGCAGATGAAAAGATATTATGAAGATTATGGTAACGTATGGTAAGATACAGTCTTAAATGATTAAATCTTTAAATGATTTAATTATGTACCTAATGACATTATTCAAATTCTAATAATATTATAAAATGGGGGTAGTAAAAAGTACACAAATAAAGAAAGTTAAGTCTTAAAATATTTATTTTGGTTACTTCGTATCAAAACAACAATAAAATTTGTTTTGTTGACCACCTTAAGAACTAGACAATAATCATCATTTGTCATGATTTCGAAGAATTAATTAACATACAATAAATACACGCGGAATGTATGAGTATCACAGTTCATCGATAACATATTGATAAAATACAGTGTACAATGCCATCTAGCGGATGGTGTATCAACCATTTGCTAGCTAACAATATACCTATGCTTTATCTAGCGGCAGTGGAATATTTTAACAACGCCATCTGGCGGATTTGCGGTAGATTACGTGGGAGCCGGTGTGCTTGTGGTTGCTTTTGCTAGCGCCATCTAGTGGTAGCCGTAGTAGCCTCCGTCGTAGTGGTTGCCGTAGACCTGTGGGTGGTGTGCGTGTCCGATGCGCTTGACCACCGCGTTGAAGCCGTTGTGCTTGTCAGCTGTGTACTCCACAATGCGAGTGGTACCGTCCGGCTCCGCCAGAGAGTATGCCCCTGAAAATACACATTAGCTTATAATTTTGCATGTAATAAAACCACCAAACCTGTATGTTGATCACTATTACCCGGGATCAAAAAATCAAATGAGCAAAATTAGAAAGATGACTCTACACTTTACTTTGACTTCTGTACCTCTAGCACGAACAACTTTCGTCTTCGAATCGTTAGCGTATTCGACAAAATTCGATATTCCTTCGAAAACGATAACTTGACAATTTTGATTCTCAAAATAAGTTTCGTGCAACCATTTCTCATACTAAGTTCACTATACGACACGTTGGGCGCTGTTGTTGTTTTCGTACTAAATCTTTTGATGGCGATATCTTTTGGAACCATAAGGTCATTCATGAAGTTCGTCTGAAGACGAAGATGTAAAGAAATGATGTCAAATTTTAATGTGTGACGTAGTACGAGATACAAAAGATTTCGGATTATGCTATTCCACAGTTCAATATTTTAATAGAACATACCTTTGACAACGTCACCGTCGCGGGTTTCCCATTGGGTTTTGTGGTCACCGGTGTGAGGGTCGTTCACGGAGTAGTCAAACGCATATTTCGGATGCGCCTGAAAGAAAATAGACAGCATTCTAACTTTAAAGCAAAATATTAAACTCAAAACACTGACGCGTTGAAATCTAATGAATGATATTTTATGACGGTAGAAAAAGATTTCAACGCGTTCGATTTCATGTGTATCAAGGATGTTATGGATATCCGTAACCGTAACCGAAGCTATCGGATATCTGAAAGAAAAAAATATCCATAATCGTAACCGAAACCGATTCAAAAGTTACGGATAGTTTCGGTTAAAGGCGGAGTCTAAATCTTAATATTTTTTAATATTATTTTGTTACTAGCTTTTGCCCGCGGCTTCACCCGCGTGAAATTTAGTTTGTCACATATTGACATAAATTATAGCCTATATGTTATTCTGGGTTGTAAACAATAATACTGTAAAATTTCATGAAAATCCGTTCAGTAGTTTTTGCGTGAAAGAGTAACAAACATCCAGACATCCAAACATCCACACAAACTTTCGCATTTATAATATTAGTAGGATTTGTCTGGCATTCCCTGGCACCATCTAATAACCCCGCTTGTTTTACCTTTATCATAGGTGTTGTCATAGTAGGTACATACATAAAGTGTAAACATTTTTAAAATTCTAATATCCGTAACCGAAAATATCCGAAACTTTCGAATAATCCGAAATGATTTCATATCCGTAACCGTAACCTAAACCGGTATAATATTATTCTAATACCCCTACCGTATCCATAACCGATGTGTATTTATTATGAAAATATTATATCACGCATTTTATCGACACAATAAACTGGAACTAATAATTAAAAAAAAACGTAACGGAAAAGCATTACGCACTGAAAAGCGCATAAATTAAAATGCCGATTTCTAATCCAGAATACTAATAATAGCTGATTGAAAGTGCAATCTGTTATTTATTTAAGACGACTTATAAAATTGCTTTGAACTCGTAAATAGTCACTACACGAGTACACTAACATAGTATACTATGGCTGAGTTGCACCACCTAGCTTTGACGGCAACTCCCAATCCCAACTAATATTATAAATGCGAAAGTAACTCTGTCTGTCTGTCTGTCTGTCTGTCTGTCTGTCTGTCTGTTACGCTTTCCCNTTAGTAATCCATGTATATGGATATACCTGTGGCAGGAGGCCCCACTCTTCTTACACTGGTTAAGATAATTTAAGTATTAGTTAAATTATCTTGTTTATATTTCAGTAGAAAAGTTTTTACAGTAGAAAATTCTTACAGCTATAACATACCTTTGACAACATCACCATCGCGGGTTTCCCATTGGGTTTTGTGGTCACCGGTGTGAGGGTCGTTCACGGAGTAGTCAAACGCATATTTCGGATGCGCCTGAAAGAAAATAGACAGCATTTTAACTTTAAAGCAAAATATTAAACTCAAAACACTGACGCGTTGAAATCTAATGGATGATAAATTTATGACGGTAGGAAAAGATTTCAACGCGTTCGATTACATGTGTATCAAGGATGTTATGGATATCCGTAACCGTAACCGAAGCTATCGGATATCTGAAAAAAAAAAATATCCATAATCGTAACCGAAACCGATTCAAAAGTTACGGATAGTTTCAGATAAAGGCGGAGTCTAAATCTTAATATTTTTTATTTGTCTGGCATTCCCTGGCACCATTTAATAACCCCGCATATCCCACATAGTCACTTTATGTACCTACTATGACGATATCATAGGTATCGTCATAGTAGGTACATAAAGTGACTATGTGGGTCGCGCAGCATCTTACTATTTGAATTTCACATTTTAAAATTCTAATATCCGAACTTTCGGATAATCCGAGATGATTTCGTAACCGTAACCGTTACCTAATCCCTGATGTGTATTTATTATAAAATTATTATATCACGCATTTATCGACACAATAAACTGGAACTAATCATTAAAAAAAACGTAACGGAAAAGCATTACGCACTGAAAAACGCATAACTTAAATACCGATTTCTAATCCAGAATACTAATAATAGCTGATTGAAAGTGCAATCTGTTATTTATTTATGACGACTTATAAAATTGCTTTGAACTCGTAAATAGTCACTACACGAGTACACTAACATAGTATACTATGGCTGAGTTGCACCACCTAGCTTTGACGGCAACTCCTATAACGATAAACGATGTATTTTGTATGAAGTTTGACAGATTTTAGACGTTTGTGAAAGTTAAAGTAAGATTGTGCAACCCAGCCTAACAACTAAACAAACAGTGGGCTGAGTGTGAGTTTACATTTTTTTTTTTTATCCACAACGAGGAAGCTCTTGGCCTGTATCTCACCTGATGGTAAGTGACGATCAGGCCGAAGGTGGAAGCGAGCTTCACCCGGAATCCTCAACCACGGAGGAACTGGCTATCTTACCTCTAACTGCCGGAACACAATAATGCTGTTAACATTGTTGTTATGGCGTCAGACTTAGGTAAGATGGTGGTAGCTAGCCAGGCTTTTCAATTATTTATGCAAACAATCAAGACGCCATGCGCCATGTTCAAGTTAAGAAAGAGAAAGCGATCTTGTTTTGACGTTAGAGCGATAAGGATGCGTGCGCTGCGGACATAGATTAGTTAGTGCAGAATCGTTAAAACTATAGCTATCTCTTTCATTTGCGTGCTATTTCGTATCTTTTGTTTCACTTATCAGTTACATTTGTCAATGTGTGCAATTTGGAATAGCTCGGCACGGATTCAAATCGTAATTTCTATGAACGTAACATATCTATAGTTCTTTAATATCATTGGCAACTCCTATAACGATAAACGATGTATTTTGTATGAAGTTTGACAGATTTTAGACGTTTGTGAAAGTTAAAGTAAGATTGTGCAACTCAGTCTAACTAAACAGTTTATAGAAATTACACCTGCTCCTAAAGTAAGGACAACATAATAATATAAAAGACTAGCGGCCGCCCGCGACTTCGTACGCGTGGACCTCGTTTAATTACTAATGATGTTGATAGATGGCGTTTAACGGCTTCCCCGCATGAATATTTACCAACGTCAAAATTTTTTGGCTGTAGATTTTAACCAATGACGATAAATGGCGCTTTTTACCCACGTCTTATTTATTTATTGAAATTTAGTTTGTCACATTACGTCATAAATTATAGCCTATATGTTAATCTGGGTTATAAACAGTAATACTGTGAGGTTTCAATAAAAAGAAAGAGTAACAAACATCCAGACATCCACACAAACTTTCGCATTTATAATATTATTAGGAAGTAGGATAATAAAGCTTTTACAACATTATTACACGGGAATGTCTACACAAAGAGCTTTTCAAGCTACTCCAACTCAACAACAACAACAAGTTTTTCGCAATGCTATTCATAAAGTACCAAGTTCATTTCACTACAACTCTACATAACGACGTAACGGCAAAATAGCACGTATTACGGAGACAGGAGCCACGGACCATGGTGTGGGTAAACACCGTAACCGTTGCGAGGCTTTGACGCAACATTGGCGTGTGTCAACGTAATGACCTTCACGGAAGTGCTCGATTTGATATCTATGTTTACATTAATAAGGCTGTAAAGTGTGTACTTCTAACTTTAACATCTAGGCTGCGAAGGTATGACTGTGCAACAATTTAAGAACAGTGGCGTCTTATTTCGTCGTAAACCAAGCTATTTTGCAAAAAAATTTAATCTGCGGATATGCTATGTACTAAATTAAACAAAGTAGGTACGTCCTAATGAAGATCACAAGCCTCACCCGAACTATTGAATAGCTCTGGCTACAATTTAACTCGCGGCTCAAGTTCTTATGCATATTATTGTTGGTACTATCTTTTGCCCATGGATTCGCCCGTGTAAATATTTGTCAGTCTCAGAAAGACAATAAAGTTGTAGCTGTTTCAAAACCTATATAAAACTCCTTTGTTTTGCCGTATATCTGAAACTATCTTTAAATTAAGTTATGGTATATCTATATCAATATATGTGCCGTGTGGTGACGGCAGAGTAGAATACATTTGTCACCAACCCCTACTCTTCCCGCGGGTGTCGTAAGAGGCGACTTAGGGACTACACATCAAACAGAGAACGGGCAGCAGCGTTCTCTGAAAAACGTCAATCTTTTAAACTGCGATCTCCAACCCGCCTGCCAAGCGTGGGGATTATGGCAAAACCCTCCACTATAGTGGAGGAGGTCCATAGTCTAGCAGTGGACTGTAAAGGACTGTTGATGATGATGATATCTATATCAGTCCAAGCAGTGGTGTAAATAGGTAACAGATAGACAGAGTTACTTTTGCATATTATTTTGGTATCAAATAGAATAGATTAATTTTTGAGAATTGATACAGCGATACAATGTGGTAATCCAATAACAGAATAGGCTAGTTTCCTTAAAATTAACTTTAAGTCCGAAAAAAATATTGGATACGTATATTTTTATCTGTCAATCAAACAAGTAATTACGAAGTTATGATGCATTGAAGTTCCGCGTGACGTCTCAAAGTGCTTTTTTACCCAGGAAACATCCCTATTCCTTGTAACTACAAAATGGTAAAATTACAAGATTAAATAATTAAAGTAATACTTACATAATAATCGCCATGTGCGTCACTTTCGTAGCCGTAGCCGGCCGCGCCGTAGCCTCCGTAGCCCCCGTAGCCGCCGATGTAGCCCGCACTAGCGGCCGCGCACACAGCGACGAAAATTGTTACCTGCGAGTAAGGAAGTGTTTAAATAAGGTAATTAAGGGTGGGTTTGACCAAAACAAGAGTAAATACATATTAACCTTCGGAAGGCAACAGGGGTGACTGGTCACCCCTCCAGTTCAAAAAAGTCTTGATACGATTAGTTGCTGATGTTGTATCTTTCTGTCGTTTGGTCTATTCTCTAAATGGAGGGAAAGCTATCAGTCGCATTCGTCAACATATAGCGTTAGGTTCCTGTTTTTGATATTTTGACACTGCTGGGGTGACTCATCACCCCTGTTGCCTTTTACGTATACTTTATTTTTTCGTGTTGCTAA